CAACAGGTTATGAGCCCAAGCGCCATGTCATCCAACAAGACCTCGGCCAGTGTCTCCATCGATAAGTTCGATGGGGACAACTACTCAACCTGGTGTCGCTACATGCGCGGCGTGTTTCTGACGAAGTCAGTCTGGTACGTCGTGAACCGCGAAACGTCTCCAACCTTCACCGACACGCGAGCTTCCGACGAGTACGTCAAGGCGAGCAACATCGCGTTCGGGTTGATGTTGCTCCACATGGACGCCGACTACCACCATGTGGTCGACAACTGTGAAGAAGCATGGACAGCGTGGTCGCGGTTGAAGATGCTCTATGGTGGGTCGCAGAAGGCGGGACCGCATCTACCTCAAGCGCCAGCTGTTCAGCATCAAGATGGCGGAAGGTGCCAACGTCTTGCACCATTGCAACGAAGTCTTGAACATCGGCGCCAAGCTCAGCAGCATCGGTGCCAAGATGGAAGACGAAGACATTGCGATCTGCTTGCTGCTCAGTCTCCCGAAGTGTTTCGAGAACGTGGTTCTGAACTTGGAGATGAGCAATGCAGAGCTGCGCACGCAAGATGTGGTCAAGGTGCTGACTAACGAGCACATCAAGCGACAAGGCGAGAAGATGACAACGGCAACGACAACGGTGAAGACTGAAGATGCGACAAAGGCATTCAGTACCGAGCGCAAGCCCTACCAATGCACATACTGCGGCAAGGTGGGGCACACGGCAGAGCGTTGCTGGACGAAGCAAAAGGATGAAAGTCGAGGAGCCCAACGCGGCGGCAATGGTCGTGGACGCGGGGCAAACAATGTCCAGTGGCGACATTATGATGAAGGCAACAGCTACGATCGAGTGCGGAGTTTCGACGAACAAGAATGGACCAGGAATGTGGGCCGTTGACAGCGGGGCAACACATCACATCTGCCACGACAAGTTCAAGTTTGCAAGCTTGGTCGAAGGCAATGATGGCGAGATCCTGGTGGCTGATGGCAACAAGGCGGCCATCAAAGGTGTGGGGACCATCGTGGAAAAGGTGATTCTGCCAAACGGGGAAGAGCGCGAGATCGAGATCAAGAACGCGCTCTATGTGCCCAGCATGAGCAAAAATCTGCTCTCGGTGCCGCAGATTAACAAGCACGGCAACTTCCAAGTGGTGTTTGACGGGGATACGATGTACGTCGCTCGCAAGGATTCCAATCAAGTGGTGGCAGCTGCGGATCTTGTAGACGGACTCTACTGGCTTCGCACGACGCAGCGATCGGCCAATGCGACATCACTCAGCAACGCTGTTGATCTACATGCGCGAATGGGCCATGCTCCAGTCGACGTGCTTCGCAGGATGGTGACAAGCCACATGATCAAGGACGCTCACATCCCTTCCAAGCCGAATGGATCAAGTGTGTGTCGAGGATGCCAAGAAGGGAAGATGGTCCAAAAACCATTCCCGAGCAACCGTGACAAGCGCACCTACAACACCTTCGAGATGCTCCACTTCGACATCTGCGGACCCATGGAAGAAAAATCTCTGGGTGGCAGCAAGTATCTGCTGCTGATCGTGGATGAAGCCAGCGGATGCATGAAGGGTTTTTGTCTGCATTCCAAGTCAGAGAGCGAAGAGTGCATCAAGAAGTACATCACGATGATATAGACGCAGTTCAACAAGAAGGTCAAATTTGTGCGACACGATGGAGCCCGCGAGTTTGCGACGAACTCGCTTCAAGATTTCTACGAAGTCGAAGGCATCGAGCAACAAACCACGGTGCCATACGCACATCAAGCCAATGGAACTGCTGAACGCGCGATTCGAACTATCGTCACCATCGGTCGTAGCATGCTCCATCATGCCAAGTTGGACAAGTGCTTCTGGGCTGAAGCGGCAATGACGGCCGTCTATGTGAAGAACCGTTTGCCGTCACCCAAGATTCCACACAAGACACCGTTCGAGATTGTCTACAATTCTAAGCCAAGTGTCAAGCACATGCGCGTTTTTGGGTGCCAAGCATACATCTTGACCCCGAAGGAGAAACGACTCAAGTGGGATCCCAAGGCCCGGGCTGGATTGTTTTTGGGCTACGAAGAAGTGTCCAAGGCGTATCGAGTTTACGACATCGAAGCGAGGCAGGTGATGATAAGTCGCGATGTCAACTTCGATGAGTGGGCCTTTGGAATGTCGATGATGATTTCCGATGACGATATTGATGGCCTGGACTTCGAATCGATCGATCTTGATGATGAAGAACCGCGTCCGAGACACTTCAAACAAACAGGAAAGCGCAATGCCCAACCCAATCACGACAATGACGACGCAAGCATGCCCCGAGCAGTGCGCCAACGACCCGGATTGGAAGAGTCAAGTGCGCCGGATGACCTCTCTTCACGTCGAGCCAACGAAGATGAAGAAAGGAAGTCGGAGGAACAACATGACACACCGACTTCCTCCGCGTTTTGGCATGCGAGTGCAAACGCCGTCGAAGCAGCAGTCGATTTTTCGGAGCCGTCGACATTTGAAGAAGCAGTATCTGGCCCGGACCAAGTACACTGGCGCAAGGCAATTGATGCGGAGCTCGATTCGATGAAGCTTCGCGGTGTCTTTCGTGCGGCCAAGTTACCCAACGGACAAAGCGCCATTGGCACAAAGTGGGTCTTCAAGATCAAGCGCAAAGCGGACGGATCCATCGAGAAGTACAAGGCACGTCTCGTGGCAAAGGGCTTTCGCCAAAAGTATGGAATCGACTACACGGAGACGTTTTCGCCCGTGGTCAAGTATGTGACGCTGCGAATGGTCATCGCCATTACCAAGCACTTTGGATGGACACTTGACCAACTTGATGTGGTGACTGCCTTTGTTTATGGTGTAATGAAGGAACAAGTGTTTTGCGTGATTCCTGAAGGCGTCGAACTTGACAGTACGTTCGACTGTCTGGAATTGGTGAAGGCAATTTACGGCCTGAAGCAAGCTTCGCGAGTATGGAACGAGACGTTTGACGAGTTTGTGTGTTCCATTGGATTTCAGGTGTCAGGCTTCGACCCATGTCTCTACATCAAGACTTCGGACGGCCATTGCGTGTTTATACTGGTCTATGTGGATGACGTGTTGGTGACAGGAAGCTCACCCAAGTTGATTGCACAAACCAAGAACGACCTGAAGACGCGGTTCGAAATGACGGACAGCGGCAAGTGTGCGTTTGTTTTTGGGATCGAGTTATTGGACGGTGAAGATGGCAGCGTGACTATGTGTCAGCGCCGTTATGTCGACGATGTCCTCAAGCGCTTTGGAATGGATGAGTGCAAGGCTGTGGCAAGTCCGGTGGACGTCAGCTCTCGACTGGTTCCGAGCAACTCTGCAAGCAAGGTGGATGTCCCATTCCGTGAAGCAGTGGGTGCTTTGATGCATCTGACGACTGCAACGCGACCGGACATCGCCTATGCTGTAAGCTTTGTGTCACGGTTCATGGAGAAACCCCAAGAAGAACACTGGGTTGCAGTCAAGCGCATCTTCCGCTACCTACAAGGCACCAAGATGCATGGAATCTGCTACAAGCCAAGTGCGAAGATCGACTTTCGTGGCTATTCAGATGCAGACTGGGCCGGTGACCTTGCTGATCGCAAATCGACGTCCGGCTACGTCTTCATGCTATTGGGTGCTCCGGTGAGTTGGGGCAGCAAGAAACAGCCAAGTGTGTCACTGTCTACAAGCGAAGCGGAGTAAATCGCGCTCAGCCTGGCGATCCAAGAAGGCAAGTGGATCAATCGCTTGCTGTGCGAGATCATGGCGGCTGCAAACGAAGAAGGACCCGAGCTCGTCATCCGTGAAGACAACCAGTCGTGCATCAAGATGACGAAGAATCCGGTCAACCACGGCCGCGCTAAACACATCGACATCAAGTACCATCACATCCGTGATGAAGTCAAGCGCGGCGAAGTGAAGCTTGAATACTGCGAGACGACGTTGATGTTGGCGGACATCATGACGAAGGGACTTCACGGACCGCGTCACAAGGACTTGACGGCGGCGCTTGGCATCCGTGCGTGTTCGGATTGAGGGGGCGTATTGAGGGTTACCGGTACAATCCGAACCTAGCGCGTAGTTCTTACGAGATAGTTTTTACATCGGTAATTACCTCAGAGATGATTAGACGCGTAGGATGATTGGACGCGTGTAAATCAGGTTGATTAGATGCACCATGTGATTGGATGCAGTCTAGGGTAGGCAGAAGTTAAGACCTATAAATCAATCACTTTCGAATCCTCCCTCAAGTGAGCAAGTGTTCTCTGCTTCGTTCTCTCCGGTCTCTCCGCTTCGTTTTCTCTTCGCCTCGCGCTCGAGTTACAACACAAACCAAAAACGACCTGAAGACGCGGTTCGAAATGACGGACAGCGGCAAGTGTGCGTTTGTTCTTGGGATCGAGCTTTTGGACGGTGAAGATGGCAGTGTGACACTATATCAGCGTCGGTATGTCGATGATATCCTCAAGCGCTTTGGCATGGATGATTGCAAGGCAGTCGCAAGTCCAGTCGACATGAGCTCTCGACTTGTTTCAAGTGATGCAACTACCAAGGTCGATGCTCCTTTTCGCGAAGCTGTTGGTGCGTTGATGCACCTGACCACTGCAACGCGTCCGGACATTGCGTTTGCTGTGGGCTATGTGTCGCGGTTCATGGAAAATCCTAAAGAAGAACACTGGGTTGCAGTTAAGCGTATCTTTCGCTACCTACAAGGCACCAAGACGCATGGAATTTGCTACAAGCCAAGTGCAAGGATCGACTTCCGTGGATATTCGGATGCGGATTGGGCTGGTGATCTTACCGACCGCAAGCCAACATCGGGGTACACGTTCATGCTACTCGGTGCGCCAGTCAGTTGGGGCAGCAAGAAGCAGCCAAGTGTTTCGTTGTCCACGACTGAAGCTGAATACATCGCACCCAGCTTGGCGATTCAAGAGGGCAAGTGGATTCATCGTCTGCTTTGTGAGATCGTGATGGCTGCCAATGAAGAAGGACCGGAACTCATGATTCATGAAGACAATCAGTCATGTATCAAGATGACGAAGAACCCAGTCAACCACGGCCATGCCAAGCATGTTGCATTGTAGATCGGAGCGAGGAAAGCGGATCGAACGGAGCGGACAGACCGAAGAGAGTAGAGCAGAAAACACTTGCCCAATAGTTGGAAGATTCGAAAGTGATTGATTATCGGGGCTTACTACTTACTACATGATTTATATGTGGTGTACATATAAATCATGTGAAGCGTCTCATCATCCTACGCGTCTAATCAACTATGGTAATTACCGTAAGAACTACGTCGTAAATACTAAGCTGAACAGGCGGTTCGGATTGGACCGGTCACGGTTACCAATACTGGTAGAAAACCGATGACCGTCAACACGCCCCCTCAATGCGAACTCGCACGAATGCCGAGAGCCGTCGTCAAGTCCTTATGGCGAGGTCCCGAAAGTCCCTTGGTCATGATGTCCGCCATCATCACGGAAGTCTCGCAATACTCGAGCTGCACTTCACCGCGCTTGACCTCATCACGGATGTGATGGTACTTGATGTCGATGTGCTTGGCGCGGCCATGATTCACCGGACTCTTCGTCATCTTGATGCACGACTGGTTGTCTTCACGGATGACGAGGTCCGGTCCTGGTTCGTTTGCGGCCGCCAAAATCTCGCATAGCAGGCGATGCACCCACTTGCCTTCCTGGATGGCCAGACTCAGTGCGATGTATTCCGCTTCACTCGTCGACAGCGACACACTTGACTGCTTCTTGCTTCCCCAACTCACAGGAGCACCCATCAGCATGAAAGTGTAACCCGAAGTCGACTTGCGATCAGCGTGGTCGCCGGCCCAGTCCGCGTCCGAGTAGCCACGAAAGTCGATCTTGTCGCTTGGCTGGAAGCGGAGTCCGTGCGACTTGGTCCCTTGCAAGTAACGAAAGATGCGCTTCACCGCCGTCCAATGTTCTTGCTGCGGATTCTCCATAAAGCGCGAGACGTACCCCACAGCATACGCAATGTCCGGGCGCGTCGCAGTCGTCAAGTGCATCAAAGCTCCCACAGCTTCACGAAACGGAACGTCGATCTTGGCCGCTTCGGTGCTTGCGACAAGCCGAGTGCTCAAGTCGACCGGACTTGCTGTGGCCTTGCACTCATCCATGCCGAAGCGCTTGAGGATGTCGTTGACATACCGTCGCTGGCACATCGTCACGCTGCCATCCGATTCGTCCGCCAGTTCGATGGCCAGTACAAAAGTACACTTGCCACTGTCGGTCATCTCGAAACGCGTCTTGATGTCGGCCTTCGTCTGCGCAATCAACTCGAGTGAGCTGCCGGTGACCAACACGTCATCCACGTAGACCAGCACGAGCACACAGTGACCGTCGACAACCTTGATGTAGAGACATGGGTCGAACGCCGACGCTTCGAAACCAATAGAGCATACGAACTCGTCGAAAGTCTCGTTCCACATACGTGAAGCTTGCTTGAGACCGTAGATCGCCTTCACCAACTCGAGACAGTCGAAGTCGCCATCCATCTCGACGCCTTCTGGTATCACGCAGTACACCTTCTCCTTCATCACTCCGTAGAGAAAGGCTGTCACCACATCGAGTTGGTCCAGTGGTCAGTCGAAATACTTGGTGATCGCGATCACCATACGCAGCGTCACGTACTTGACCACGGGCGAGAACGTCTCTGTGTAGTCGATGCCGTACTTCTGCTTGAAGCCCTTGGCAACGAGACGCGCCTTGTATTTCTCGACCGATCCATCCGCTTTGCGCTTGATCTTGAACAGCCACTTGGTGCCGATCGCGCCTTGGCCTCTTGGCAGTTTTGCCGCACGGAAAACTCCACGAAGATGCATCGACTTGAGTTCCGCCTTCACAGCATTTCGCCAGTGAGCTTGATCAGGACCATTGATCGCGTCTTGAAAAGTCACAGGTTCTGCTAGGTCCGTTGCTTCCACTGCGTTTGCACTTGCACGCCAAAATGTTGGAGGTGTCGAGTCGTCATCTTGATCGTAGACGCTCGCATCTTCTTCGTCATCAGACATCGTTTCTGGAGCACTTGATCGTCGTTTCTGGTGACGGTTGGAGACGTGTTCCGGCGCACTTGCTTGTTCCAACCCAGTTCGAGGGCGAGCTGAACGTGACATGCCGGGTCTTGCTTCACTCTTGCGCTTGCCAGTCTGCTTGTAGACGGTTTGACGCACGTCGTCCTCGTTGATCGCCAGGAGGTCGAGGTCCAACTCCGCATCTTCATCATTGTCACTTGGTCGGTCCATCGAAAAGCCAAAAGTCGATTCGTCGAATGTGATGTCACGACTGATCACCACTTGGCCTGCCTCAATGTCGTACACTCGATAAGCTTTTGACGCTTCTTCGTAGCCCATGAACATCCCTTCACGAGCCTTCGGGTCCCACTTCAATCGCTTCTCCCTTGGTGTCAGGATAAACGCCCGACATCCAAACACGCGCATGTGCTTGACACTTGGTTTCGACTTGTACACGATCTCGAACGGAGTCTTGTGGTCGATCTTGGGTGAAGGCAGGCGGTTCTTGATGTAGATCGCCGTCATTGCCGCTTCAGCCCAGAAACACTTCTCCAGCTTTGCATGATGCAACAAGCTGCGTCCGATCGTGACGATGGTCCTTATCGCGCGTTCTGCGGTGCCGTTGGTCTGGTGTGCATACGGTACCGTGATCTGTTGTTCGATACCATGATTTTTGTAGAAGGTCTTGATGGAGTTGGTCGCAAACTCATGCGCTCCATCGTGCCGAACAAACTTGATCTTGGTGCTGAACTGAGTTTGAATCTTGATGATGTGGTTCTTGATACAGTCTTCACTCTCAGACTTGGACCGCAGACAGAAGCCCTTCATGCAACCGCTGGCTTCGTCAATCACAAGCAGTAAGTATCTGCTGCCGCCGATCGAGACTTGTTCCATTGGCCCGCAGATGTCGAAGTGCAGCAACTCGAACACACCATATTGGCGTTTGTCACGGTTGGTTGGGAATGGTTTTTGGACCATCTTTCCTTGCTGGCAACCGCGACACACACTTGGACCAGTCGAGTTGAGAGGTGCCTTGGCGTCCTTGATCATGCCAGTGGCCACCATCTTGCGCAGAACTTCGAGGGGTGCATGACCCATGCGCGCATGCAAGTCGATGGTCCCATTGCGTGTTGCTGCATTTGCCGATCGTTGAGGAGTCCGCAGCCAGTAAAGTCCATCGACGAGATCCGCTGTTGCCACGACTTGTGTGGAATTCTTGCGCTTCACTTGCATCTTGGATCCATCGAACACGACTTGGAACCTGCCACCCTTGTTGATCTGTGGCACCGAAAGCAGATTCTTGCTCATACTTGGTACAAACAGTGCGTCCTTGATCTCGATGTCGCGTTCGTCACCATTGGGCAGAACCACCCGTTCCATGATGGTTCCCACACCCTTGATCGCAGCCTTGCTGCCATCAGCCACTGATAGTTCGCCTTCCTCTCGCTCATTCAGGCTTGCAAACTTGGCTTTGTCGTTGCAGATGTGATGCGTCGCACCGCTGTCGACTGCCCACATCCCTGGCATATTCTTGCCCGTCGAAAGTCCAGCCTCCAGCGAAACCGCGAACGCAACTCGATCGAGGTTGTCGTCGTTGTTGTTGTTGGTTAGCCACTGAACGTTGCTGGCTCCGCGTCCACGAGCATTGTTGCCGCCGCGTCGAGCTCCACCTTGATTTTCGTCCTTCTGCTTGGTCCAGCACCGCTCCGCCGTGTGCCCCAATTTTCCGCAGTATGTACACTGGCGAGGTTCACGCTCGGTAGTGAACGCCTTCGCCGCGTCTTCAGTCTTCACCGATGTCGTCTTGTCACCTTGCCTCTTGATGAGCTCATTCGTGAGAACTCTCACGACGTCTCGCGATCGCAGTTCCGCGCTGCTCATCTCCAAGTTGAGAACGACGTTCTCGTAGCTCTTGGGGAGGATGCACAACAAGCAGATCGCCACGTCCTCGTCCTCCATCTTGGCGCCGATGCTGCTGAGCTTCGCGCTGATGTTGAGGACTTCGTTGCAATGATGCATCACATTGCCGCCTTCCGCCATCTCCATGCTGAACATCTGGCGCTTCAAGTAGATGCGTACAGCCTTCTGCGACCCGCCGTACAGCGTCTTCAAACGCGCCCACGCGACCCACGCCTCTTCACAGTCATCAACCACGTGATGATAATCCGCGCTCATGTGCAGCAGCATCAAGCCGAACGCAATGTTGTTCGTCTTGACGTAGTCGTCCATGGCGCGATCGTCCGCGTAGGTCGCCGACGTCTCCTGGTTCACCACGTGCCACGCCGACTTGGTCAGGAACACGCCACGCATGTAGCGGCTCCACGTCGCGTAGTTGTCGCCGTCGAACTTGTCGATGGAGATCTTGGTGGTGGCATCATGAGCAGAGGACATCGTGCTTGGGCTCATAACCTGTTGAATGGTGAAAAGTTGGACGACCGAAACTGGGAGGGATGCTGGGAGTCCGCTCGGAAGACCGGAGAAGACACTTGGGGGTAGATGGAAGTTTGGAAAGTGATTGATTATCGGGGCTTACTACTTACTACATGATTTATATGTGGTGCACATACAAATCATGTGAAGCGTCTCATCATCCTACGCGTCTAATCAACTATGGTAATTACCGTAAGAACTACGTCGTAAATACTAAGCTGAACACGCGGTTCGGATTGGACCGGTCACGGTTACCAATACTGGTAGGAAACCGATGACCGTCAACAAGAACCTGCTCTCGGTGCCACAGATTAACAGCCATAGCAAGTTTCAAGTCGTGTTTGACGGGTCCAAGATGTATGTGACTCTCAAGAACTCACAGCAAGTGGTGGCGACAGCGGATCTCGTGGATGGACTCTACTGGCTTCGGACGACTCAACGATCAGCGAATGTGACAACAAGCGGAACCAGTTGTGCCGATCTACATGCGAGAATGGGTCATGCTCCAGTCGACGTGCTTCACAAGATGGTCTCCAAAAACATGATCAAAGATGTGGGAGTACCTCTCAAGTCAAGTGGATCAGGTACATGTCGAGGGTGCCAGCAAAAGAAAATGGTCCAAAAACCATTCCCAAGCAACCGCGACAAGCGTAACTACTATACGTTCGAGCTGCTTCATCTGGATATCTGTGGGATCATGGAAATCGAATCGCTCGGTGGCAACAGATATCTGCTACTGATCGTAGACAAAGCCAGTGGGTGTATGAGGGGCTTTGCTCACGAGTGAAGTCCGAGAGTGAAGACTACATCCGAAAGTACATTAGTATGGTACAGACGCAGTTCAGTAAAAAGGTTAAGTTTGTGCGACACGACGGAGCTCGCGAGTTTGCAACCAACTCGCTTCAACTGTTCTACGAAGACGAAGGCATTGAACAGCAGACAACGGTGCCGTATGCACATCAAACAAACAGAACAGCACAGCGTGCCATTAGGACTATTGTCACGATCGGCCGCAGCATGCTTCATCATGCCAAACTGGACAAGTGTTTCTGGGCCGAAGCAGCGATGACGGCCATCTACGTCAAGAATTGACTGCCGTCACCTAAAGTCGTGCACAAGACCCCGTTTGAGGTCGCCTACAACTTGAAACCAAGCGTCAAGCACATGCGAACATTCAAGTGTCAGACATACATACTGACGCCTAAAGAGAATCGACTCAAGTGGGATCCAAAGGCTCGCGCTGGCATATTCGTGGGCTACGAAGAAGTTTCGAAGGCATATCGTGTTTATGACATCGAGGCGGGGCAGGTGGTTATCAGCCGCGATGTCAACTTCGAAGAGTCCACCTTTGGACTTCAACTGCCGATCACTGATGAAGATGTCAATGACCTGGACTTCGAAATTCTGGATCTTGATGACGAAGAGCTGCGTCAAATGGAGTACAAGCAAACAGGCAAGCGCAAGAACCGACTCAATGATGAAGATACAGCACCTCCACGACCGCGTGCAGTGCGTCAACGACCAGGACTAGAAGAGTCAAGCGCGCCGGAAAACAACTCGTCACGCCAAGAAGAAGACGAAGAAACGAAGGATTCTGGTGATTCAACACCGCCTGTGTTTTGGCGTGCGAGTGCAAATGCCGTTGAAGCAGCAGTGGACTTATCAGAGCCCTCAACATTTGAAGCAGCAGTAAGCGGCCCTGACCAAGTGCACTGGAGAAAAGCAATTCATGCAGAGCTCGATTCAATGCGACTTCGCCGTGTGTTTCGTGCAGCCAAGCTGCCCAACGGACAACGCGCCATTGGCACAAAATGGGTGTTCAAGATCAAGCGCAAGGCGGATGGGTCAATCGAGAAGTACAAGGCACGACTTGTGGCCAAGGGTTTCCGCCAAAAGTATGGCATCGACTACACGGAGACGTTTTCGCCTGTGGTCAAGTATGTGACGCTGCGAATGGTGATCGCAATTTCCAAGCATTTTGGATGGCCCATCGACCAGCTTGATGTGGTGACAGCTTTCCTGTATGGCGTCATGAAGGAACAAGTGTTCTGCGTGATTCCTGAAAGCGTCGAACTTGACAGTACGTTCGACTGCCTTGAATTGGTGAAGTCAATTACGGCCTCAAGCAAGCTTCGCGAGTGTGGAACGAGACGTTCGACGAGTATGTGTGCTCCATCGGATGTCAAGTATCGGACTTCGACCCATGTCTCTACATCAAGACTTCGGACGGCCATTGCGTGTTTATACTGGTCTACGTGGACGACGTCTTGGTGACTGGAAGCTCGCTCGAGCTGATTGCACAAACTATTGAGGGTTACCGGTACCATCCGAACCTAGCGCGTAGTTCTTACGAGAAAGTTTTTACATCGGTAATTACCTCAGAGATGATTAGACGCGTAGGATGATTGGACGCGTGTAAATCAGGTTGATTAGATGCACCATGTGATTGGATGCAGTCTAGGGTAGGCAGAAGTTAAGACCTATAAATCAATCACTTTCGAATCCTCCCTCAAGTGAGCAAGTGTTCTCTGCTTCGTTCTCTCCGGTCTCTCCGCTTCGTTTTCTCTTCGCCTCGCGCTCAAATTGCAACAGGTTATGAGCCCAAGCGCCATGTCATCCAACAAGACCTCGGCCAGTGTCTCCATCGATAAGTTCGATGGGGACAACTACTCAACCTGGTGTCGCTACATGCGCGGCGTGTTTCTGACGAAGTCAGTCTGGTACGTCGTGAACCGCGAAACGTCTCCAACCTTCACCGACACGCGAGCTTCCGACGAGTACGTCAAGGCGAGCAACATCGCGTTCGGGTTGATGTTGCTCCACATGGACGCCGACTACCACCATGTGGTCGACAACTGTGAAGAAGCATGGACAGCGTGGTCGCGGTTGAAGATGCTCTATGGTGGGTCGCAGAAGGCGGGACGCATCTACCTCAAGCGCCAGCTGTTCAGCATCAAGATGGCGGAAGGTGCCAACGTCTTGCACCATTGCAACGAAGTCTTGAACATCGGCGCCAAGCTCAGCAGCATCGGTGCCAAGATGGAAGACGAAGACATTGCGATCTGCTTGCTGCTCAGTCTCCCGAAGTGTTTCGAGAACGTGGTTCTGAACTTGGAGATGAGCAATGCAGAGCTGCGCACGCAAGATGTGGTCAAGGTGCTGACTAACGAGCACATCAAGCGACAAGGCGAGAAGATGACAACGGCAACGACAACGGTGAAGACTGAAGATGCGACAAAGGCATTCAGTACCGAGCGCAAACCCTACCAATGCACATACTGCGGCAAGGTGGGGCACACGGCAGAGCGTTGCTGGACGAAGCAAAAGGATGAAAGTCGAGGAGCCCAACGCGGCGGCAATGGTCGTCGACGCGGGGCAAACAATGTCCACTGGCGACATTATGATGAAGGCAACAGCTACGATCGAGTGGTGATGCGGAGTTTCGACGAACAAGAATGGACCAGGAATGTGGGCCGTTGACAGCGGGGCAACACATCACATCTGCCACGACAAGTTCAAGTTTGCAAGCTTGGTCGAAGGCAATGATGGCGAGATCCTGGTGGCTGATGGCAACAAGGCGGCCATCAAAGGTGTGGGGACCATCGTGGAAAAGGTGATTCTGCCAAACGGGGAAGAGCGCGAGATCGAGATCAAGAACGCGCTCTATGTGCCCAGCATGAGCAAAAATCTGCTCTCGGTGCCGCAGATTAACAAGCACGGCAACTTCCAAGTGGTGTTTGACGGGGATACGATGTACGTCGCTCGCAAGGATTCCAATCAAGTGGTGGCAGCTGCGGATCTTGTAGACGGACTCTACTGGCTTCGCACGACGCAGCGATCGGCCAATGCGACATCACTCAGCAACGCTGTTGATCTACATGCGCGAATGGGCCATGCTCCAGTCGACGTGCTTCGCAGGATGGTGACAAGCCACATGATCAAGGACGCTCACATCCCTTCCAAGCCGAATGGATCAAGTGTGTGTCGAGGATGCCAAGAAGGGAAGATGGTCCAAAAACCATTCCCGAGCAACCGTGACAAGCGCACCTACAACACCTTCGAGATGCTCCACTTCGACATCTGCGGACCCATGGAAGAAAAATCTCTGGGTGGCAGCAAGTATCTGCTGCTGATCGTGGATGAAGCCAGCGGATGCATGAAGGGTTTTTGTCTGCATTCCAAGTCAGAGAGCGAAGAGTGCATCAAGAAGTACATCACGATGATACAGACGCAGTTCAACAAGAAGGTCAAATTTGTGCGACACGATGGAGCCCGCGAGTTTGCGACGAACTCGCTTCAAGATTTCTACGAAGTCGAAGGCATCGAGCAACAAACCACGGTGCCATACGCACATCAAGCCAATGGAACTGCTGAACGCGCGATTCGAACTATCGTCACCATCGGTCGTAGCATGCTCCATCATGCCAAGTTGGACAAGTGCTTCTGGGCTGAAGCGGCAATGACGGCCGTCTATGTGAAGAACCGTTTGCCGTCACCCAAGATTCCACACAAGACACCGTTCGAGATTGTCTACAATTCTAAGCCAAGTGTCAAGCACATGCGCGTTTTTGGGTGCCAAGCATACATCTTGACCCCGAAGGAGAAACGACTCAAGTGGGATCCCAAGGCCCGGGCTGGATTGTTTTTGGGCTACGAAGAAGTGTCCAAGGCGTATCGAGTTTACGACATCGAAGCGGGGCAGGTGATGATAAGTCGCGATGTCAACTTCGATGAGTGGGCCTTTGGAATGTCGATGATGATTTCCGATGACGATATTGATGGCCTGGACTTCGAATCGATCGATCTTGATGATGAAGAACCGCGTCCGAGACACTTCAAACAAACAGGAAAGCGCAATGCCCAACCCAATCACGACAATGACGACGCAAGCATGCCCCGAGCAGTGCGCCAACGACCCGGATTGGAAGAGTCAAGTGCGCCGGATGACCTCTCTTCACGTCGAGCCAACGAAGATGAAGAAAGGAAGTCGGAGGAACAACATGACACACCGACTTCCTCCGCGTTTTGGCATGCGAGTGCAAACGCCGTCGAAGCAGCAGTCGATTTTTCGGAGCCGTCGACATTTGAAGAAGCAGTATCTGGCCCGGACCAAGTACACTGGCGCAAGGCAATTGATGCGGAGCTCGATTCGATGAAGCTTCGCGGTGTCTTTCGTGCGGCCAAGTTACCCAACGGACAAAGCGCCATTGGTACCAAGTGGGTCTTCAAGATCAAGCGCAAAGCGGACGGATCCATCGAGAAGTACAAGGCACGTCTCGTGGCAAAGGGCTTTCGCCAAAAGTATGGAATCGACTACACGGAGACGTTTTCGCCCGTGGTCAAGTATGTGACGCTGCGAATGGTCATCGCCATTACCAAGCACTTTGGATGGACACTTGACCAACTTGATGTGGTGACTGCCTTTGTTTATGGTGTAATGAAGGAGCAAGTGTTTTGCGTGATTCCTGAAGGCGTCGAAGCTTGACAGTACGTTCGACTGCCTGGAATTGGTGAAGGCAATTTACGGCCTGAAGCAAGCTTCGCGAGTATGGAACGAGACGTTTGACGAGTTTGTGTGTTCCATTGGATTTCAGGTATCAGGCTTCGACCCATGTCTCTACATCAAGACTTCGGACGGCCATTGCGTGTTTATACTGGTCTACGTGGACGACGTCTTGGTGACTGGAAGCTCACTCGAGCTGATTGCACAAACCAAGAACGACCTGAAGACGCGGTTCGAAATGACGGACAGCGGCAAGTGTGCGTTTGTTTTTGGGATCGAGTTATTGGACGGTGAAGATGGCAGCGTGACTATGTGTCAGCGCCGTTATGTCGACGATGTCCTCAAGCGCTTTGGAATGGATGAGTGCAAGGCTGTGGCAAGTCCGGTGGACGTCAGCTCTCGACTGGTTCCGAGCAACTCTGCAAGCAAGGTGGATGTCCCATTCCGTGAAGCAGTGGGTGCTTTGATGCATCTGACGACTGCAACGCGACCGGACATCGCCTATGCTGTAAGCTTTGTGTCACGGTTCATGGAGAAACCCCAAGAAGAACACTGGGTTGCAGTCAAGCGCATCTTCCGCTACCTACAAGGCACCAAGATGCATGGAATCTGCTACAAGCCAAGTGCGAAGATCGACTTTCGTGGCTATTCAGATGCAGACTGGGCCGGTGACCTTGCTGATCGCAAATCGACGTCCGGCTACGTCTTCATGCTATTGGGTGCTCCGGTGAGTTGGGGCAGCAAGAAACAGCCAAGTGTGTCACTGTCTACAAGCGAAGCGGAGTAAATCGCGCTCAGCCTGGCGATCCAAGAAGGCAAGTGGATCAATCGCTTGCTGTGCGAGATCATGGCGGCTGCAAACGAAGAAGGACCCGAGCTCGTCATCCGTGAAGACAACCAGTCGTGCATCAAGATGACGAAGAATCCGGTCAACCACGGCCGCGCTAAACACATCGACATCAAGTACCATCACATCCGTGATGAAGTCAAGCGCGGCGAAGTGAAGCTTGAATACTGCGAGACGACGTTGATGTTGGCGGACATCATGACGAAGGGACTTCACGGACCGCGTCACAAGGACTTGACGGCGGCGCTTGGCATCCGTGCGTGTTCGGATTGAGGGGGCGTATTGAGGGTTACCGGTACAATCCGAACCTAGCGCGTAGTTCTTACGAGATAGTTTTTACATCGGTAATTACCTCAGAGATGATTAGACGCGTAGGATGATTGGACGCGTGTAAATCAGGTTGATTAGATGCACCATGTGATTGGATGCAGTCTAGGGTAGGCAGAAGTTAAGACCTATAAATCAATCACTTTCGAATCCTCCCTCAAGTGAGCAAGTGTTCTCTGCTTCGTTCTCTCCGGTCTCTCCGCTTCGTTTTCTCTTCGCCTCGCGCTCGAGTTACAACACAAACCAAAAACGACCTGAAGACGCGGTTCGAAATGACGGACAGCGGCAAGTGTGCGTTTGTTCTTGGGATCGAGCTTTTGGACGGTGAAGATGGCAGTGTGACACTATATCAGCGTCGGTATGTCGATGATATCCTCAAGCGCTTTGGCATGGATGATTGCAAGGCAGTCGCAAGTCCAGTCGACATGAGCTCTCGACTTGTTTCAAGTGATGCAACTACCAAGGTCGATGCTCCTTTTCGCGAAGCTGTTGGTGCGTTGATGCACCTGACCACTGCAACGCGTCCGGACATTGCGTTTGCTGTGGGCTATGTGTCGCGGTTCATGGAAAATCCTAAAGAAGAACACTGGGTTGCAGTTAAGCGTATCTTTCGCTACCTACAAGGCACCAAGACGCATGGAATTTGCTACAAGCCAAGTGCGAAGATCGACTTTCGTGGCTATTCAGATGCAGACTGGGCCGGTGACCTTGCTGATCGCAAATCGACGTCCGGCTACGTCTTCATGCTATTGGGTGCTCCGGTGAGTTGGGGCAGCAAGAAACAGCCAAGTGTGTCACTGTCTACAAGCGAAGCGGAGTACATCGCGCTCAGCCTGGCGATCCAAGAAGGCAAGTGGATCAATCGCTTGCTGTGCGAGATCATGGCGGCTGCAAACGAAGAAGGACCCGAGCTCGTCATCCGTGAAGACAACCAGTCGTGCATCAAGATGACGAAGAATCCGGTCAACCACGGCCGCGCTAAACACATCGACATCAAGTACCATCACATCCGTGATGAAGTCAAGCGCGGCGAAGTGAAGCTTGAATACTGCGAGACGACGTTGATGTTGGCGGACATCATGACGAAGGGACTTCACGGACCGCGTCACAAGGACTTGACGGCGGCGCTTGGCATCCGTGCGTGTTCGGATTGAGGGGGCGTATTGAGGGTTACCGGTACAATCCGAACCTAGCGCGTAGTTCTTACGAGATAGTTTTTACATCGGTAATTACCTCAGAGATGATTAGACGCGTAGGATGATTGGACGCGTGTAAATCAGGTTGATTAGATGCACCATGTGATTGGATGCAGTCTAGGGTAGGCAGAAATTAAGACCTATAAATCAATCACTTTCGAATCCTCCCTCAAGTGAGCAAGTGTTCTCTGCTTCGTTCTCTCCGGTCTCTCCGCTTCGTTTTCTCTTCGCCTCGCGCTCAAGAAACAACACAAACCAAAAACGACCTGAAGACGCGGTTCGAAATGACGGACAGCGGCAAGTGTGCGTTTGTTCTTGGGATCGAGCTTTTGGACGGTGAAGATGGCAGTGTGACACTATATCAGCGTCGGTATGTCGATGATATCCTCAAGCGCTTTGGCATGGATGATTGCAAGGCAGTCGCAAGTCCAGTCGACATGAGCTCTCGACTTGTTTCAAGTGATGCAACTACCAAGGTCGATGCTCCTTTTCGCGAAGCTGTTGGTGCGTTGATGCACCTGACCACTGCAACGCGTCCGGACATTGCGTTTGCTGTGGGCTATGTGTCGCGGTTCATGGAAAATCCTAAAGAAGAACACTGGGTTGCAGTTAAGCGTATCTTTCGCTACCTACAAGGCACCAAGACGCATGGAATTTGCTACAAGCCAAGTGCAAGGATCGACTTCCGTGGATATTCGGATGCGGATTGGGCTGGTGATCTTACCGACCGCAAGCCAACATCGGGGTACACGTTCATGCTACTCGGTGCGCCAGTCAGTTGGGGCAGCAAGAAGCAGCCAAGTGTTTCGTTGTCCACGACTGAAGCTGAATACATCGCACTCAGCTTGGCGATTCAAGAGGGCAAGTGGATTCATCGTCTGCTTTGTGAGATCGTGATGGCTGCCAATGAAGAAGGACCGGAACTCATGATCCATGAAGACAATCAGTCATGTATCAAGATGACGAAGAACCCAGTCAACCACGGCCATGCCAAGCATGTTGCATTGTAGATCGGAGCGAGGAAAGCGGATCGAACGGAGCGGACAGACCGAAGAGAGTAGAGCAGAAAACACTTGCCCAATAGTTGGAAGATTCGAAAGTGATTGATTATCGGGGCTTACTACTTACTACATGATTTATATGTGGTGTACATATAAATCATGTGAAGCGTCTCATCATCCTACGCGTCTAATCAACTATGGTAATTACCGTAAGAACTACGTCGTAAATACTAAGCTGAACAGGCGGTTCGGATTGGACCGGTCACGGTTACCAATACTGGTAGAAAACCGATGACCGTCAACACGCCCCCTCAATGCGAACTCGCACGAATGCCGAGAGCCGTCGTCAAGTCCTTATGGCGAGGTCCCGAAAGTCCCTTGGTCATGATGTCCGCCATCATCACGGAAGTCTCGCAATACTCGAGCTGCACTTCACCGCGCTTGACCTCATCACGGATGTGATGGTACTTGATGTCGATGTGCTTGGCGCGGCCATGATTCACCGGACTCTTCGTCATCTTGATACACGACTGGTTGTCTTCACGGATGACGAGGTCCGGTCCTGGTTCGTTTGCGGCCGCCAAAATCTCGCATAGCAGGCGATGCACCCACTTGCCTTCCTGGATGGCCAGACTCAGTGCGATGTATTCCGCTTCACTCGTCGACAGCGACACACTTGACTGCTTCTTGCTTCCCCAACTCACAGGAGCACCCATCAGCATGAAAGTGTAACCCGAAGTCGACTTGCGATCAGCGTGGTCGCCGGCCCAGTCCGCGTCCGAGTAGCCACGAAAGTCGATCTTGTCGCTTGGCTGGAAGCGGAGTCCGTGCGACTTGGTCCCTTGCAAGTAACGAAAGATGCGCTTCACCGCCGTCCAATGTTCTTGCTGCGGATTCTCCATAAAGCGCGAGAAGTACCCCACAGCATACGCAATGTCCGGGCGCGTCGCAGTCGTCAAGTGCATCAAAGCTCCCACAGCTTCACGAAACGGAACGTCGATCTTGGCCGCTTCGGTGCTTGCGACAAGCCGAGTGCTCAAGTCGACCGGACTTGCTGTGGCCTTGCACTCATCCATGCCGAAGCGCTTGAGGATGTCGTTGACATACCGTCGCTGGCACATCGTCACGCTGCCATCCGATTCGTCCGCCAGTTCGATGGCCAGTACAAAAGTACACTTGCCACTGTCGGTCATCTCGAAACGCGTCTTGAGGTCGGCCTTCGTCTGCGCAATCAACTCGAGTGAGCTGCCGGTGACCAACACGTCATCCACGTAGACCAGCACGAGCACACAGTGACCGTCGACAACCTTGATGTAGAGACATGGGTCGAACGCCGACGCTTCGAAACCGATAGAGCATACGAACTCGTCGAAAGTCTCGTTCCACATACGTGAAGCTTGCTTGAGACCGTAGATCGCCTTCACCAACTCGAGACAGTCGAAGTCGCCATCCATCTCGACGCCTTCTGGTATCACGCAGTACACCTTCTCCTTCATCACTCCGTAGAGAAAGGCTGTCACCACATCGAGTTGGTCCAGTGGTCAGTCGAAATACTTGGTGATCGCGATCACCATACGCAGCGTCACGTACTTGACCACGGGCGAGAACGTCTCTGTGTAGTCGATGCCGTACTTCTGCTTGAAGCCCTTGGCAACGAGACGCGCCTTGTATTTCTCGACCGATCCATCCGCTTTGCGCTTGATCTTGAACACCCACTTGGTGTCGATCGCGCCTTGGCCTCTTGGCAGTTTTGCCGCACGGAAAACTCCACGAAGATGCATCGACTTGAGTTCCGCCTTCACAGCATTTCGCCAGTGAGCTTGATCAGGACCATTGATCGCGTCTTGAAAAGTCACAGGTTCTGCTAGGTCCGTTGCTTCCACTGCGTTTGCACTTGCACGCCAAAATGTTGGAGGTGTCGAGTCGTCATCTTGATCGTAGACGCTCGCATCTTCTTCGTCATCAGACATCGTTTCTGGAGCACTTGATCGTCGTTTCTGGTGACGGTTGGAGACGTGTTCCGGCGCACTTGCTTGTTCCAATCCAGTTCGAGGGCGAGCTGAACGTGACATGCCGGGTCTTGCTTCACTCTTGCGCTTGCCAGTCTGCTTGTAGACGGTTTGACGCACGTCGTCCTCGTTGATCGCCAGGAGGTCGAGGTCCAACTCCGCATCTTCATCATTGTCACTTGGTCGGTCCATCGAAAAGCCAAAAGTCGATTCGTCGAATGTGATGTCACGACTGATCACCACTTGGCCTGCCTCAATGTCGTACACTCGATAAGCTTTTGACGCTTCTTCGTAGCCCATGAACATCCCTTCACGAGCCTTCGGGTCCCACTTCAATCGCTTCTCCCTTGGTGTCAGGATAAACGCCCGACATCCAAACACGCGCATGTGCTTGACACTTGGTTTCGACTTGTACACGATCTCGAACGGAGTCTTGTGGTCGATCTTGGGTGAAGGCAGGCGGTTCTTGATGTAGATCGCCGTCATTGCCGCTTCAGCCCAGAAACACTTCTCCAGCTTTGCATGATGCAACAAGCTGCGTCCGATCGTGACGATGGTCCTTATCGCGCGTTCTGCGGTGCCGTTGGTCTGGTGTGCATACGGTACCGTGATCTGTTGTTCGATACCATGATTTTTGTAGAAGGTCTTGATGGAGTTGGTCGCAAACTCATGCGCTCCATCGTGCCGAACAAACTTGATCTTGGTGCTGAACTGAGTTTGAATCTTGATGATGTGGTTCTTGATACAGTCTTCACTCTCAGACTTGGACCGCAGACAGAAGCCCTTCATGCAACCGCTGGCTTCGTCAATCACAAGCAGTAAGTATCTGCTGCCGCCGATCGAGACTTGTTCCATTGGCCCGCAGATGTCGAAGTGCAGCAACTCGAACACACCATATTGGCGTTTGTCACGGTTGGTTGGGAATGGTTTTTGGACCATCTTTCCTTGCTGGCAACCGCGACACACACTTGGACCAGTCGAGTTGAGAGGTGCCTTGGCGTCCTTGATCATGCCAGTGGCCACCATCTTGCGCAGAACTTCGAGGGGTGCATGACCCATGCGCGCATGCAAGTCGATAGTCCCATTGCGTGTTGCTGCATTTGCCGATCGTTGAGGAGTCCGCAGCCAGTAAAGTCCATCGACGAGATCCGCTGTTGCCACGACTTGTGTGGAATTCTTGCGCTTCACTTGCATCTTGGATCCATCGAACACGACTTGGAACCTGCCACCCTTGTTGATCTGTGGCACCGAAAGCAGATTCTTGCTCATACTTGGTACAAACAGTGCGTCCTTGATCTCGATGTCGCGTTCGTCACCATTGGGCAGAACCACCCGTTCCATGATGGTTCCCACACCCTTGATCGCAGCCTTGCTGCCATCATCCACTGATAGTTCGCCTTCCTCCCGCTCATTCAGACTTGCAAACTTGGCTTTGTCGTTGCAGATGTGATGCGTCGCACCGCTGTCGACTGCCCACATCCCTGGCATATTCTTGCCCGTCGAAAGTCCAGCCTCCAGCGAAACCGCGAACGCAACTCGATCGTAGTTGTCGTCGTAGTTGCTGTTGGTTCGCCACTGAACGTTGTTGGCTCCGCGTCCACGAGCATTGTTGCCGCCGCGTCGAGCTCCATCTTGATTTTCGTCCTTCTGCTTGGTCCAGCACCGCTCCGCCGTGTGCCCCAATTTTCCGCAGTATGTACATTGGCGAGGTTCACGCTCGGTAGTGAACGCCTTCGCCGCGTCTTCAGTCTTCACCGATGTCGTCTTGTCACCTTGCCTCTTGATGAGCTCATTCGTGAGCACTCTCACGACGTCTCGCGATCGCAGTTCCGCGCTGCTCATCTCCAAGTTGAGAACGACGTTCTCGTAGCTCTTGGGGAGGCTGCACAACAAGCAGATCGCCACGTCCTCATCCTCCATCTTGGCACCGATAATGCTGAGCTTCGCGCTGATGTGGAGAACTTCATTGCTGCGGTGCTTGGTATGAGTCAAGAACTGGTGTCTGTTGGGCTGGTGACGGCTTTGCAGTCGCTCATGCCAAAACGTTTGAGAACATCTTCCACGTAGCGTCGCTGGTACATCGTCACGCTACCGTCGTCGTTGTCCACCAGCTCGATGCCAAACACGAATGCGCACTTCCCACTGTCGGTCATTTCGAAACGCGCCTTTAAGTCACTCTCAATGCGCATAATCAGTTCGGTTGAGCTGCCAGTCACCAACACATCATCGACGTATACCAGCAAAAGCACGCACTCGCCACTTGTAATCTTGAGATAAAGACACGGGTCAAAATCGGAGACTTGAAATCCAATGGAGCAGACGAACTCATGAAAAGTCTCGTTCCATACGCGCGATGCTTGTTTTAGTCCGTAGATCGCCTTGACCAGTTCAAAGCAGTCAAAGTCTTCATCAACTTCGACTCCTTCTGGGATCGCGCAGAATAAATTTTCCTTCATTTCTCCGTATAGGAAAGCTGTCACCACGTCCAGTTGGTCCAGTGTCCAGCCAAAGTACTTCGTGATTGCAACCACCATGCGCAGCGTCACGTACTTGACTACCGGCGAAAACGTTTCCGTGTAGTCGATGCCATATTTCTGCTTGAACCCTTTTGCCACGAGGCGCGCCTTGTATTTCTCGATGGATCCATCAGCTTTCCTTTTTATCTTGAATACCCAAGGTTGGTGCCAATGGTATGCTGTCCATCTGGCAGTTTGGTCGCTCGAAACACGCCACGAAGTTTCATCGAGTCCAGCTCGGCACAGATTGCCTTACGCCAATGCACTTGATCTGGTCCACCAACAGCATCTTCAAACGTTGTCGGCTCAGACAAGTCAGTACCTTCGACTGCATTGGCAATCGCTCGCCAAAAGACTTGAGGTGTAGCATCCTCGTTATTGTTGTTTCTTGAGCGCGAGGCGAAGAGAAAACGAAGCGGAGAGACCGGAGAGAACGAAGCAGAGAACACTTGCTCACTTGAGGGAGGATTCGAAAGTGATTGATTTATAGGTCTTAACTTCTGCCTACCCTAGACTGCATCCAATCACATGGTGCATCTAATCAACCTGATTTACACGCGTCCAATCATCCTACGCGTCTAATCATCTCTGAGGTAATTACCGATGTAAAAACTATCTCGTAAGAACTACGCGCTAGGTTCGGATTGTACCGGTAACCCTCAATACGCCCCCTCAATCCGAACACGCACGGATGCCAAGCGCCGCCGTCAAGTCCTTGTGACGCGGTCCGTGAAGTCCCTTCGTCATGATGTCCGCCAACATCAACGTTGTCTCGCAGTATTCAAGCTTCACTTCGCCGCGCTTGACTTCATCACGGATGTGATGGTACTTGATGTCGATGTGTTTAGCGCGGCCGTGGTTGACCGGATTCTTCGTCATCTTGATGCACGACTGGTTGTCTTCACGGATGACGAGCTCGGGTCCTTCTTCGTTTGCAGCCGCCATGATCTCGCACAGCAAGCGATTGATCCACTTGCCTTCTTGGATCGCCAGGCTGAGCGCGATGTACTCCGCTTCGCTTGTAGACAGTGACACACTTGGCTGTTTCTTGCTGCCCCAACTCACCGGAGCACCCAATAGCATGAAGACGTAGCCGGACGTCGATTTGCGATCAGCAAGGTCACCGGCCCAGTCTGCATCTGAATAGCCACGAAAGTCGATCTTCGCACTTGGCTTGTAGCAGATTCCATGCATCTTGGTGCCTTGTAGGTAGCGGAAGATGCGCTTGACTGCAACCCAGTGTTCTTCTTGGGGTTTCTCCATGAACCGTGACACAAAGCTTACAGCATAGGCGATGTCCGGTCGCGTTGCAGTCGTCAGGTGCATCAAAGCACCCACTGCTTCACGGAATGGGACATCCACCTTGCTTGCAGAGTTGCTTGGAACCAGTCGAGAGCTGACGTCCACCGGACTTGCCACAGCCTTGCACTCATCCATTCCAAAGCGCTTGAGGACATCGTCGACATAACGGCGCTGACACATAGTCACGCTGCCATCTTCACCGTCCAATAACTCGATCCCAAGAACAAAGGCACACTTGCCGCTGTCCGTCATCTCGAAGCGTGTCTTGAGGTCGTTCTTGGTGCGCGCAATCATCTCGAGCGAGCTTCCAGTCACCAAGACATCGTCCACGTAGACCAGCACAAAAACACAATGGCCTTCCGAAGTCATGATGTAGAGACATGGATCGAATCCCGACGCTTGAAAACCAATCGAGCGTATGAACTCGTCGAAGGTCTCGTTCCAAACACGCGAGGCTTGCTTGAGACCGTAGATCGCCTTGATCAGCTCGAGACAGTCGAAATCACCTTCCATCTTGACGCCTTCCGGAACAGCGCAGAACACCTTCTCCTTCATCACTCCATACAGGAACGCAGTCACCACATCGAGCTGGTCGAGGGGCCATCCAAAGTGCTTGGTAATGGCGATGACCATTCGCAGCGTCACATACTTGACCACGGGCGAGAACGTCTCCGTGTAGTCAATGCCATACTTTTGGCGAAAACCCTTGGCCACAAGTCGTGCCTTGTATTTCTCGATCGACCCATCCGCCTTGCGCTTGATCTTGAAGACCCACTTTGTGCCAATGGCGCTTTGTCCGCACGAAAGACACCGCGAAGCTTCATCGAATCGAGCTCCGCATCAATTGCCTTGCGCCAGTGTACTTGGTCCGGGCCAGATACTGCTTCTTCAAATGTCGACGGCTCCGAAAAATCGACCGCTGCTTCGACGGCGTTTGCACTCGCATGCCAAAACGCGGAGGAAGTCGGTGTGTCATGTTGTTCCTCCGACTTCCTTTCTTCATCTTCGTTGGCTCGACGTGAAGAGAGGTCATCCGGCGCACTTGACTCTTCCAATCCGGGTCGTTGGCGCACTGCTCGGGGCATGCTTGCGTCGTCATTGTCGTGATTGGGTTGGGCCTTGCGCTTTCCTGTTTGTTTGAAGTGTCTCGGACGCGGTTCTTCATCATCAAGATCGATCGATTCGAAGTCCAGGCCATCAACATCGTCATCGGAAATCAGCATCGACATTCCAAAGGCCGACTCATCGAAGTTGACATCGCGACTTATCATCACCTGCCCCGCTTCGATGTCGTAAACTCGATACGCCTTGGACACTTCTTCGTAGCCCAAAAACAATCCAGCCCGGGCCTTGGGATCCCACTTGAGTCGTTTCTCCTTCGGGGTCAAGATGTATGCTTGGCACCCAAAAACGCGCATGTGCTTGACACTTGGCTTAGAATTGTAGACAATCTCGAACGGTGTCTTGTGTGGAATCTTGGGTGACGGCAAACGGTTCTTCACATAGACGGCCGTCATTGCCGCTTCAGCCCAGAAGCACTTGTCCAACTTGGCATGATGGAGCATGCTACGACCGATGGTGACGATAGTTCGAATCGCGCGTTCAGCAGTTCCATTGGCTTGATGTGCGTATGGCACCGTGGTTTGTTGCTCGATGCCTTCGACTTCGTAGAAATCTTGAAGCGAGTTCGTCGCAAACTCGCGGGCTCCATCGTGTCGCACAAATTTGACCTTCTTGTTGAACTGCGTCTGTATCATCGTGATGTACTTCTTGATGCACTCTTTGCTCTCTGACTTGGAATGCAGACAAAAACTCTTCATGCATCCGCTGGCTTCATCCACGATCAGCAGCAGATACTTGCTGCCACCCAGAGATTTTTCTTCCATGGGTCCGCAGATGTCGAAGTGGAGCATCTCGAAGGTGTTGTAGGTGCGCTTGTCACGGTTGCTCGGGAATGGTTTTTGGACCATCTTCCCTTCTTGGCATCCTCGACACACACTTGATCCATTCGGCTTGGAAGGGATGTGAGCGTCCTTGATCATGTGGCTTGTCACCATCCTGCGAAGCACGTCGACTGGAGCATGGCCCATTCGCGCATGTAGATCAACAGCGTTGCTGAGTGATGTCGCATTGGCCGATCGCTGCGTCGTGCGAAGCCAGTAGAGTCCGTCTACAAGATCCGCAGCTGCCACCACTTGATTGGAATCCTTGCGAGCGACGTACATCGTATTCCCGTCAAACACCACTTGGAAGTTGCCGTGCTTGTTAATCTGCGGCACCGAGAGCAGATTTTTGCTCATGCTGGGCACATAGAGCGCGTTCTTGATCTCGATCTCGCGCTCTTCCCCGTTTGGCAGAATCACCTTTTCCACGATGGTCCCCACCCACACCTTTGATGGCCGCCTTGTTGCCATCAGCCACCAGGATCTCGCCATCATTGCCTTCGACCAAGCTTGCAAACTTGAACTTGTCGTGGCAGATGTGATGTGTTGCCCCGCTGTCAACGGCCCACATTCCTGGTCCATTCTTGTTCGTCGAAACTCCGCATTCGAACGAAACTGCAAACGCCACTCGATCGTAGCTGTTGCCTTCATCATAATGTCGCCACTGGACATTGTTTGCCCCGCGTCCACGACCATTGCCGCCGCGTTGGGCTCCTCGACTTTCATCCTTTTGCTTCGTCCAGCAACGCTCTGCCGTGTGCCCCACCTTGCCGCAGTATGTGCATTGGTAGGGCTTGCGCTCGGTACTGAATGCCTTTGTCGCATCTTCAGTCTTCACCGTTGTCGTTGCCGTTGTCATCTTCTCGCCTTGTCGCTTGATGTGCTCGTTAGTCAGCACCTTGACCACATCTTGCGTGCGCAGCTCTGCATTGCTCATCTCTAAGTTCAGAACCACGTTCTCGAAACTCTTCGGGAGACTGAGCAGCAAGCAGATCGCAATGTCTTCGTCTTCCATCTTGGCACCGATGCTGCTGAGCTTGGCGCCGATGTTCAAGACTTCGTTGCAATGGTGCAAGACGTTGGCACCTTCCGCCATCTTGATGCTGAACAGCTGGCGCTTGAGGTAGATGCGTCCCGCCTTCTGCGACCCACCATAGAGCATCTTCAACCGCGACCACGCTGTCCATGCTTCTTCACAGTTGTCGACCACATGGTGGTAGTCGGCGTCCATGTGGAGCAACATCAACCCGAACGCGATGTTGCTCGCCTTGACGTACTCGTCGGAAGCTCGCGTGTCGGTGAAGGTTGGAGACGTTTCGCGGTTCACGACGTACCAGACTGACTTCGTCAGAAACACGCCGCGCATGTAGCGACACCAGGTTGAGTAGTTGTCCCCATCGAACTTATCGATGGAGACACTGGCCGAGGTCTTGTTGGACGACATGGCGCTTGGGCTCATAACCTGTTGTTTCTTGAGCGCGAGGCGAAGAGAAAACGAAGCGGAGAGACCGGAGAGAACGAAGCAGAGAACACTTGCTCACTTGAGGGAGGATTCGAAAGTGATTGATTTATAGGTCTTAACTTCTGCCTACCCTAGACTGCATCCAATCACATGGTGCATCTAATCAACCTGATTTACACGCGTCCAATCATCCTACGCGTCTAATCATCTCTGAGGTAATTACCGATGTAAAAACTATCTCGTAAGAACCACGCGCTAGGTTCGGATTGTACCGGTAACCCTCAATAGTTATCTTCGTCACTGCCCTTTTGCTCTTCGTCCAGATTGTCTCGAGCGCTTGATCGTCACTTCGCTTGGTGCGATTCAGAGTCATCCGGGGCACTTGCTTCTTCTAACCCGGTTCCACGACGCTCAAGAAGTGTCCGTTGTAGAACTTGTTCTTGACTGTTTGAACGGCTTTTGCGTTTTCCAGTTTGCTTGAACTGCATGGGGTGAGGCTCATCGCTGATGTTCATCGATTCGATATCCAGCGCAGTGTCATCAACAATTGCTTGTGGTAGCCTCGGCGAGAAACCAAGCGTTGATTCGTCGAATGTGATGTCACGACTGATCACCACTTGGTCCGCTTCAATGTCGTACACTTGATAAGCTTTTGACGCTTCTTCGTAGCCCATGAACATCCCTTCACGAGCCTTCGGGTCCCACTTCAATCGCTTCTCCCTTGGTGTCAGGATAAACGCCCGACATCCAAACACGCGCATGTGCTTGACACTTGGTTTCGACTTGTACACGATTTTGAACGGAGTCTTGTGGTCGATCTTGGGTGAAGGCAGGCGGTTCTTGATGTAGATCGCCGTCATTGCCGCTTCAGCCCAGAAACACTTCTCCAGCTTTGCATGATGCAACAAGCTGCGTCCGATCGTGACGATGGTCCTTATCGCGCGTTCTGCGGTGCCGTTGGTCTGGTGTGCATACGGTACCGTGATCTGTTGTTCGATACCATGATCTTCGTAGAAGGTCTTGATGGAGTTGGTCGCAAACTCATGCTCTCCATCGTGCCGAACAAACTTGATCTTCGTGCTGAACTGAGTTTGAATCTTGATGATGTGGTTCTTGATACAGTCTTCACTCTTGTTGATGGTGAAAAGCTTGACGACCGAAACTGGGAGTGATGCTGAGAGTCCACTCGGAAGACCGGAGAAGACACTTGGGGTTTAGATGGAAGATTCGAAAGTGATTGATTATCGGGGCTTACTACTTACTACATGATTTATATGTGGTGTACATATAAATCATGTGAAGCGTCTCATCATCCTACGCGTCTAATCAACTATGGTAATTACCGTAAGAACTACGTCGTAAATACTAAGCTGAACAGGCGGTTCGGATTGGACCGGTCACGGTTACCAATACTGGTAGAAACCGATGACCGTCAACACGCCCCCCTCAATCCGAACTCGCACGAATGCCGAGAGCCGTCGTCAAGTCCTTGTGACGAGGTCCCGAAAGTCCCTTGGTCGTGATGTCCGCCATCATCACGGAAGTCTCGCAATACTCGAGCTGCACTTCACCGCGCTTGACCTCATCACGGATGTGATGGTACTTGATGTCGATGTGCTTGGCGCGGCCATGATTCACCGGACTCTTCGTCATCTTGATGCACGACTGGTTGTCTTCACGGATGACGAGGTCCGGTCCTGGTTCGTTTGCGGCCGCCAAAATCTCGCATAGCAGGCGATGCACCCACTTGCCTTCCTGGATGGCCAGACTCAGTGCGATGTATTCCGCTTTACTCGTCGACAGCGACACACTTGACTGCTTCTTGCTTCCCCAACTCACAGGAGCACCCATCAGCATGAAAGTGTAACCCGAAGTCGACTTGCGATCAGCGTGGTCGCCGGCCCAGTCCGCGTCCGAGTAGCCACGAAAGTCGATCTTGTCGCTTGGCTGGAAGCGGAGTCCGTGCGACTTGGTCCCTTGCAAGTAACGAAAGATGCGCTTCACCGCCGTCCAATGTTCTTGCTGCGGATTCTCCATGAAGCGCGAGACGTACCCCACAGCATACGCAATGTCCGGGCGCGTCGCAGTCGTCAAGTGCATCAAAGCTCCCACAGCTTCACGAAACGGAACGTCGATTGGCCGCTTCGCTGCTTGCGACAAGCCGAGTGCTTAAGTCGACCGGACTTGCTGTGGCCTTGCACTCATACATGCCGAAGCGCTTGAGGATGTCGTTGACATACCGTCGCTGGCACATCGTCACGCTGCCATCCGATTCGTCCACCAGTTCGATGCCCAGTACAAAAGTACACTTGCCACTGTCGGTCATCTCGAAACGCGTCTTGAGGTCGGCCTTCGTCTGCGCAATCAACTCGAGCGAGCTGCCGGTGACCAACACGTCATCCACGTAGACCAGCACGAGCACACAGTGACCGTCGACAACCTTGATGTAGAGACATGGGTCGAACGCCGACGCTTCGAAACCCATAAAGCATACGAACTCGTCGAAAGTCTCGTTCCACATACGTGAAGCTTGCTTGAGACCGTAGATCGCCTTCACCAACTCGAGACAGTCGAAGTCGCCATCCATCTCGACGCCTTCTGGTATCACGCAGTACACCTTCTCCTTCATCACTCAGTAGAGAAAGGCTGTCACCACATCGAGTTGGTCCAGTGGTCAGTCGAAATACTTGGTGATCGCGATCACCATACGCAGCGTCACGTACTTGACCACGGGCGAGAACGTCTCTGTGTAGTCGATGCCTTACTTCTGCTTGAAGCCCTTGGCAACGAGACGCGCCTTGTATTTCTCGACCGATCCATCCGCTTTGGGCTTGATCTTGAACAGCCACTTGGTGCCGATCGCGCCCTGGCCTCTTGGTAGTTTTGCCGCACGGAAAACTCCACGAAGATGCATCGACTTGAGTTCCGCCTTCACAGCATTTCGCCAGTGAGCTTGATCAGGACCATTGATCGCGTCTTGAAAAGTCACAGGTTCTGCTAGGTCCGTTGCTTCCACTGCGTTTGCACTTGCACGCCAAAATGTTGGAGGTGTCGAGTCGTCATCTTGATCGTAGACGCTTGCATCTTCTTCGTCATCAGACATCGTTTCTGGAGCACTTGATCGTCGTTTCTGGTGACGGTTGGAGACGTGTTCCGGCGCACTTGCTTGTTCCAATCCAGTTCGAGGGCGAGCTGAACGTGACATGCCGGGTCTTGCTTCACTCTTGCGCTTGCCAGTCTGCTTGTAGACGGTTTGACGCACGTCGTCCTCGTTGATCGCCAGGAGGTCGAGGTCCAACTCCGCATCTTCATCATTGTCACTTGGTCGGTCCATCGAAAAGTCAAAAGTCGATTCGTCGAAGGTGATGTCACGACTGATCACCACTTGGTCCGCCTCAATGTCGTACACTCGATAAGCTTTTGACGCTTCTTCGTAGCCCATGAACATCCCTTCACGAGCCTTCGGGTCCCACTTCAATCGCTTCTCCCTTGGTGTCAGGATAAACGCCCGACATCCAAACACGCGCATGTGCTTGACACTTGGTTTCGACTTGTACACGATTTTGAACGGAGTCTTGTGGTCGATCTTGGGTGAAGGCAGGCGGTTCTTGATGTAGATCGCCGTTATTGCCGCTTCAGCCCAGAAACACTTCTCCAGCTTTGCATGATGCAACAAGCTGCGTCCGATCGTGACGATGGTCCTTATCGCGCGTTCTGCGGTGCCGTTGGTCTGGTGTGCATACGGTACCGTGATCTGTTGTTCGATACCATGATTTTTGTAGAAGGTCTTGATGGAGTTGGTCGCAAACTCATGCGCTCCATCGTGCCGAACAAACTTGATCTTCGTGCTGAACTGAGTTTGAATCTTGATGATGTGGTTCTTGATACAGTCTTCACTCTTGTTGATGGTGAAAAGCTTGACGACCGAAACTGGGAGTGATGCTGAGAGTCCACTCGGAAGACCGGAGAAGACACTTGGGGTTTAGATGGAAGATTCGAAAGTGATTGATTATCGGGGCTTACTACTTACTACATGATTTATATGTGGTGTACATATAAATCATGTGAAGCGTCTCATCATCCTACGCGTCTAATCAACTATGGTAATTACCGTAAGAACTACGTCGTAAATACTAAGCTGAACAGGCGGTTCGGATTGGACCGGTCACGGTTACCAATACTGGTAGAAACCGATGACCGTCAACACGCCCCCTCAATCCGAACTCGCACGAATGCCGAGAGCCGTCGTCAAGTCCTTGTGACGAGGTCCCGAAAGTCCCTTGGTCATGATGTCCGCCATCATCACGGAAGTCTCGCAATACTCGAGCTGCACTTCACCGCGCTTGACCTCATCACGGATGTGATGGTACTTGATGTCGATGTGCTTGGCGCGGCTATGATTCACCGGACTCTTCGTCATCTTGATGCACGACTGGTTGTCTTCACGGATGACGAGGTCCGGTCCTGGTTCGTTTGCGGCCGCCAAAATCTCGCATAGCAGGCGATGCACCCACTTGCCTTCCTGGATGGCCAGACTCAGTGCGATGTATTCCGCTTTACTCGTCGACAGCGACACACTTGACTGCTTCTTGCTTCCCCAACTCACAGGAGCACCCATCAGCATGAAAGTGTAACCCGAAGTCGACTTGCGATCAGCGTGGTCGCCGGCCCAGTCCGCGTCCGAGTAGCCACGAAAGTCGATCTTGTCGCTTGGCTGGAAGCGGAGTCCGTGCGACTTGGTCCCTTGCAAGTAACGAAAGATGCGCTTCACCGCCGTCCAATGTTCTTGCTGCGGATTCTCCATAAAGCGCGAGAAGTACCCCACAGCATACGCAATGTCCGGGCGCGTCGCAGTCGTCAAGTGCATCAAAGCTCCCACAGCTTCACGAAACGGAACGTCGATCTTGGCCGCTTCGGTGCTTGCGACAAGCCGAGTGCTCAAGTCGACCGGACTTGCTGTGGCCTTGCACTCATCCATGCCGAAGCGCTTGAGGATGTCGTTGACATACCGTCGCTGGCACATCGTCACGCTGCCATCCGATTCGTCCACCAGTTCGATGGCCAGTACAAAAGTACACTTGCCACTGTCGGTCATCTCGAAACGCGTCTTGAGGTCGGCCTTCGTCTGCGCAATCAACTCAAGCGAGCTGCCGGTGACCAACACGTCATCCACGTAGACCAGCACGAGCACACAGTGACCGTCGACAACCTTGATGTAGAGACATGGGTCGAACGCCGACGCTTCGAAACCGATAGAGCATACGAACTAGTCGAAAGTCTCGTTCCACATACGTGAAGCTTGCTTGAGACCGTAGATCGCCTTCACCAACTCGAGACAGTCGAAGTCGCCATTCATCTCGACGCCTTCTGGTATCACGCAGTACACCTTCTCCTTCATCACTCCGTAGAGAAAGGCTGTCACCACATCGAGTTGGTCCAGTGGCCAGTCGAAATACTTGGTGATCGCGATCACCATACGCAGTGTCACGTACTTGACCACGGGCGAGAACGTCTCTGTGTAGTCGATGCCGTACTTCTGCTTGAAGCCCTTGGCAACGAGACGCGCCTTGTATTTCTCGACCGATCCATCCGCTTTGCGCTTGATCTTGAACACCCACTTGGTGCCGATCGCGCCTTGGCCTCTTGGTAGTTTTGCCGCACGGAAAACTCCACGAAGATGCATCGACTTGAGTTCCGCCTTCACAGCATTTCGCCAGTGAGCTTGATCAGGACCATTGATCGCGTCTTGAAAAGTCACAGGTTCTGCTAGGTCCGTTGCTTCCACTGCGTTTGCACTTGCACGCCAAAATGTTGGAGGTGTCGAGTCGTCATCTTGATCGTAGACGCTTGCATCTTCTTCGTCATCAGACATCGTTTCTGGAGCACTTGATCGTCGTTTTTGGTGACGGTTGGAGACGTGTTCCGGCGCACTTGCTTGTTCCAATCCAGTTCGAGGGCGAGCTGAACGTGACATGCCGGGTCTTGCTTCACTCTTGCGCTTGCCAGTCTGCTTGTAGACGGTTTGACGCACGTCGTCCTCGTTGATCGCCAGGAGGTCGAGGTCCAACTCCGCATCTTCATCATTGTCACTTGGTCGGTCCAATGAAAAATCAAAAGTCGATTCGTCGAAGGTGATGTCACGACTGATTACTACTTGGTCCGCCTCAATTTCGTACACTCGATAAGCTTTTGACGCTTCTTCGTAGCCCATGAACATCCCTTCACGAGCCTTCGGGTCCCACTTCAATCGCTTCTCCCTTGGTGTCAGGATAAACGCCCGACATCCAAACACGCGCATGTGCTTGACACTTGGTTTCGACTTGTACACGATCTCGAACGGAGTCTTGTGGTCGATCTTGGGTGAAGGCAGGCGGTTCTTGATGTAGATCGCCGTTATTGCCGCTTCAGCCCAGAAACACTTCTCCAGTTTTGCAATATGCAACAAGCTGCGTCCGATCGTGACGATGGTCCTTATCGCGCGTTCTGCGGTGCCGTTGGTCTGGTGTGCATACGGCACCGTGATCTGTTGTTCGATACCATGATCTTCGTAGAAGGTCTTGATGGAGTTGGTCGCAAACTCATGCGCTCCATCGTGCCGAACAAACTTGATCTTGGTGCTGAACTGAGTTTGAATCTTGATGATGTGGTTCTTGATACAGTCTTCACTCTCAGACTTGGACCGCAGACAGAAGCCCTTCATGCAACCGCTAGCTTCGTCAACCACAAGCAGTAAGTGTTTGCTGCCGCCGATCGAGACTTGTTCCATTGGCCCGCAGATGTCGAAGTGCAGCAACTCGAACACACCATATTGGCGTTTGTCACGGTTGGTTGGGAATGGTTTTTGGACCATCTTTCCTTGCTGGCAACCGCGACACACACTTGGACCAGTCGAGTTGAGAGGTGCCTTGGCGTCCTTGATCATGCCAGTGGCCACCATCTTGCGCAGAACTTCGAGGGGTGCATGACCCATGCGCGCATGCAAGTCGATGGTCCCATTGCGTGTTGCTGCATTTGCCGATCGTTGAGGAGTCCGCAGCCAGTAAAGTCCATCGACGAGATCCGTTGTTGCCACGACTTGTGTGGAATTCTTGCGCTTCACTTGCATCTTGGATCCATCGAACACGACTTGGAACCTGCCACCCTTGTTGATCTGTGGCACCGAAAGCAGATTCTTGCTCATACTTGGTACGAACAGTGCATCCTTGATCTCGATGTCGCGTTCGTCACCATTGGGCAGAACCACCCGTTCCATGATGGTTCCCACACCCTTGATCGCAGCCTTGCTGCCATCAGCCACTGATAGTTCGCCTTCCTCTCGCTCATTCAGACTTGCAAACTTGGCTTTGTCGTTGCAGATGTGATGCGTCGCACCGCTGTCGACTGCCCACATCCCTGGCATATTCTTGCCCGTCGAAAGTCCAGCCTCCAGCGAAACCGCGAACGCAACTCGATCGTAGTTGTCGTCGTAGTTGCTGTTGGTTCGCCACTGAACATTGTTGGCTCCGCGTCCACGAGCATTGTTGCCGCCGCGTCGAGCTCCATCTTGATTTTCGTCCTTCTGCTTGGTCCAGCACCGCTCCGCCGTGTGCCCCAATTTTCCGCAGTATGTACATTGGCGAGGTTCACGCTCGGTAGTGAACGCCTTCGCCGCGTCTTCAGTCTTCACCGATGTCGTCTTGTCACCTTGCCTCTTGATGAGCTCATTCGTGAGCACTCTCACGACGTCTCGCGATCGCAGTTCCGCGCTGCTCATCTCCAAGTTGAGAACGACGTTCTCGTAGCTCTTGGGGAGGCTGCACAACAAGCAGATCGCCACGTCCTCATCCTCCATCTTGGCACCGATAATGCTGAGCTTCGCGCTGATGTGGAGAACTTCATTGCTGCGGTGCTTGGTATGAGTCAAGAACTGGTGTCTGTTGGGCTGGTGACGGCTTTGCAGTCGCTCATGCCAAAACGTTTGAGAACATCTTCCACGTAGCGTCGCTGGCACATCGTCACGCTACCGTCGTCGTTGTCCACCAGCTCGATGCCCAACACGAATGCGCACTTCCCACTGTCGGTCATTTCGAAACGCGCCTTTAAGTCACTCTTGGTGCGCATAATCAGTTCGGTTGAGCTGCCAGTCACCAACATATCATCGACGTATACCAGCAAAAGCACGCACTCGCCACTTGTAATCTTGAGATAAAGACACGGATCAAAATCGGAGACTTGAAATCCAATGGAGCAGACGAACTCATGAAAAGTCTCGTTCCATACGCGCGATGCTTGTTTTAGTCCGTAGATCGCCTTGACCAGTTCAAAGCAGTCAAAGTCTTTTGAGGGTTACCGGTACAATCCGAACCTAGCGCGTAGTTCTTACGAGATAGTTTTTACATCGGTAATTACCTCAGAGATGATTAGACGCGTAGGATGATTGGACGCGTGTAAATCAGGTTGATTAGATGCACCATGTGATTGGATGCAGTCTAGGGTAGGCAGAAGTTAAGACCTATAAATCAATCACTTTCGAATCCTCCCTCAAGTGAGCAAGTGTTCTCTGCTTCGTTCTCTCCGGTCTCTCCGCTTCGTTTTCTCTTCGCCTCGCGCTCAAATTGCAACAGGTTATGAGCCCAAGCGCCATGTCATCCAACAAGACCTCGGCCAGTGTCTCCATCGATAAGTTCGATGGGGACAACTACTCAACCTGGTGTCGCTACATGCGCGGCGTGTTTCTGACGAAGTCAGTCTGGTACGTCGTGAACCGCGAAACGTCTCCAACCTTCACCGACACGCGAGCTTCCGACGAGTACGTCAAGGCGAGCAACATCGCGTTCGGGTTGATGTTGCTCCACATGGACGCCGACTACCACCATGTGGTCGACAACTGTGAAGAAGCATGGACAGCGTGGTCGCGGTTGAAGATGCTCTATGGTGGGTCGCAGAAGGCGGGAAGCATCTACCTCAAGCGCCAGCTATTCAGCATCAAGATGGCGGAAGGTGCCAACGTCTTGCACCATTGCAACGAAGTCTTGAACATCGGCGCCAAGCTCAGCAGCATCGGTGCCAAGATGGAAGACGAAGACATTGCGATCTGCTTGCTGCTCAGTCTCCCGAAGAGTTTCGAGAACGTGGTTCTGAACTTGGAGATGAGCAATGCAGAGCTGCGCACGCAAGATGTGGTCAAGGTGCTGACTAACGAGCACATCAAGCGACAAGGCGAGAAGATGACAACGGCAACGACAACGGTGAAGACTGAAGATGCGACAAAGGCATTCAGTACCGAGCGCAAGCCCTACCAATGCACATACTGCGGCAAGGTGGGGCACACGGCAGAGCGTTGCTGGACGAAGCAAAAGGATGAAAGTCGAGGAGCCCAACGCGGCGGCAATGGTCGTCGACGCGGGGCAAACAATGTCCACTGGCGACATTATGATGAAGGCAACAGCTACGATCGAGTGGCGTTTGCAGTTTCGTTCGAATGCGGAGTTTCGACGAACAAGAATGGAACAGGAATGTGGGCCGTTGACAGCGGGGCAACACATCACATCTGCCACGACAATTTCAAGTTTGCAAGCTTGGTCGAAGGCAATGATGGCGAGATCCTGGTGGCTGATGGCAACAAGGCGGCCATCAAAGGTGTGGGGACCATCGTGGAAAAGGTGATTCTGCCAAACGGGGAAGAGCGCGAGATCGAGATCAAGAACGCGCTCTATGTGCCCAGCATGAGCAAAAATCTGCTCTCGGTGCCGCAGATTAACAAGCACGGCAACTTCCAAGTGGTGTTTGACGGGGATACGATGTACGTCGCTCGCAAGGATTCCAATCAAGTGGTGGCAGCTGCGGATCTTGTAGACGGACTCTACTGGCTTCGCACGACGCAGCGATCGGCCAATGCGACATCACTCAGCAACGCTGTTGATCTACATGCGCGAATGGGCCATGCTCCAGTCGACGTGCTTCGCAGGATGGTGAAAAGCCACATGATCAAGGACGCTCACATCCCTTCCAAGCCGAATGGATCAAGTGTGTGTCGAGGATGCCAAGAAGGGAAGATGGTCCAAAAACCATTCCCGAGCAACCGTGACAAGCGCACCTACAACACCTTCGAGATGCTCCACTTCGGCATCTGCGGACCCATGGAAGAAAAAATCTCTGGGTGGCAGCAAGTATCTGCTGCTGATCGTGGATGAAGCCAGCGGATGCATGAAGGGTTTTTGTCTGCATTCCAAGTCAGAGAGCGAAGCGTGCATCAAGAAGTACATCACGATGATACAGACGCAGTTCAACAAGAAGGTCAAATTTGTGCGACACGATGGAGCCCGCGAGTTTGCGACGAACTCGCTTCAAGATTTCTACGAAGTCGAAGGCATCGAGCAACAAACCACGGTGCCATACGCACATCAAGCCAATGGAACTGCTGAACGCGCGATTCGAACTATCGTCACCATCGGTCGTAGCATGCTCCATCATGCCAAGTTGGACAAGTGCTTCTGGGCTGAAGCGGCAATGACGGCCGTCTATGTGAAGAACCGTTTGCCGTCACCCAAGATTCCACACAAGACACCGTTCGAGATTGTCTACAATTCTAAGCCAAGTGTCAAGCACATGCGCGTTTTTGGGTGCCAAGCATACATCTTGACCCCGAAGGAGAAACGACTCAAGTGGGATCCCAAGGCCCGGGCTGGATTGTTTTTGGGCTACGAAGAAGTGTCCAAGGCGTATCGAGTTTACGACATCGAAGCGGGGCAGGTGATGATAAGTCGCGATGTCAACTTCGATGAGTCGGCCTTTGGAATGTCGATGCTGATTTCCGATGACGATGTTGATGGCCTGGACTTCGAATCGATCGATCTTGATGATGAAGAACCGCGTCCGAGACACTTCAAACAAACAGGAAAGCGCAAGGCCCAACCCAGTCACGACAATGACGACGCAAGCATGCCCCGAGCAGTGCGCCAACGACCCGGATTGGAAGAGTCAAGTGCGCCGGATGACCTCCCTTCACGTCGAGCCAACGAAGATGAAGAAAGGAAGTCGGAGAAACAACATGACACACCGACTTCCTCCGCGTTTTGGCATGCGAGTGCAAACGCCGTCGAAGCAGCGGTCGATTTTTCGGAGCCGTCGACATTTGAAGAAGCAGTATCTGGCCCGGACCAAGTACACTGGCGCAAGGCAATTGATGCGGAGCTCGATTCGATAAAGCTTCGCGGTGTCTTTCGTGCGGCCAAGTTACCCAACGGACAAAGCGCCATTGGCACAAAGTGGGTCTTCAAGATCAAGCGCAAGGCGGATGGGTCGATCGAGAAATACAAGGCACGACTTGTGGCCAAGGGTTTTCGCCAAAAGTATGGCATTGACTACACGGAGACGTTCTCGCCCGTGGTCAAGTATGTGACGCTGCGAATGGTCATCGCCATTACCAAGCACTTTGGATGGCCCCTCGACCAGCTCGATGTGGTGACTGCGTTCCTGTATGGAGTGATGAAGGAGAAGGTGTTCTGCGCTGTTCCGGAAGGCGTCAAGATGGAAGGTGATTTCGACTGTCTCGAGCTGATCAAGGCGATCTACGGTCTCAAGCAAGCCTCGCGTGTTTGGAACGAGACCTTCGACGAGTTCATACGCTCGATTGGTTTTCAAGCGTCGGGATTCGATCCATGTCTCTACATCATGACTTCGGAAGGCCATTGTGTTTTTGTGCTGGTCTACGTGGACGATGTCTTGGTGACTGGAAGCTCGCTCGAGATGATTGCGCGCACCAAGAACGACCTCAAGACACGCTTCGAGATGACGGACAGCGGCAAGTGTGCCTTTGTTCTTGGGATCGAGTTATTGGACGGTGAAGATGGCAGCGTGACTATGTGTCAGCGCCGTTATGTCGACGATGTCCTCAAGCGCTTTGGAATGGATGAGTGCAAGGCTGTGGCAAGTCCGGTGGACGTCAGCTCTCGACTGGTTCCAAGCAACTCTGCAAGCAAGGTGAATGTCCCATTCCGTGAAGCATTGGGTGCTTTGATGCATCTGACGACTGCAACGCGACCGGATATCGCCTATGCTGTAAGCTTTGTGTCACGGTTCATGGAGAAACCCCAAGAAGAACACTGGGTTGCAGTCAAGCGCATCTTCCGCTACCTACAAGGCACCAAGATGCATGGAATCTGCTACAAGCCAAGTGCGAAGATCGACTTTCGTGGCTATTCAGATGCAGACTGGGCCGGTGACCTTGCTGATCGCAAATCGACGTCCGGCTACGTCTTCATGCTATTGGGTGCTCCGGTGAGTTGGGGCAGCAAGAAACAGCCAAGTGTGTCACTGTCTACAAGCGAAGCGGAGTACATCGCGCTCAGCCTGGCGATCCAAGAAGGCAAGTGGATCAATCGCTTGCTGTGCGAGATCATGGCGGCTGCAAACGAAGAAGGACCCGAGCTCGTCATCCGTGAAGACAACCAGTCGTGCATCAAGATGACGAAGAATCCCGTCAACCACGGCCGCGCTAAACACATCGACATCAAGTACCATCACATCCGTGATGAAGTCAAGCGTGGCGAAGTGAAGCTTGAATACTGCGAGACGACGTTGATGTTGGCGGACATCATGACGAAGGGACTTCACGGACCGCGTCACAAGGACTTGACGGCGGCGCTTGGCATCCGTGCGTGTTCGCATTGAGGGGGCGTATTGAGGGTTACCGGTACAATCCGAACCTAGCGCGTGGTTCTTACGAGATAGTTTTTACATCGGTAATTACCTCAGAGATGATTAGACGCGTAGGATGATTGGACGCGTGTAAATCAGGTTGATTAGATGCACCATGTGATTGGATGCAGTCTAGAAGTTAAGACCTATAAATCAATCACTTTCGAATCCTCCCTCAAGTGAGCAAGTGTTCTCTGCTTCGTTCTCTCCGGTCTCTCCGCTTCGTTTTCTCTTCGCCTCGCGCTCAAATTGCAACAGGTTATGAGCCCAAGCGCCATGTCATCCAACAACACCTCGGCCAGTGTCTCCATCGATAAGTTCGATGGGGACAACTACTCAACCTGGTGTCGCTACATGCGCGGCGTGTTTCTGACGAAGTCAGTCTGGTACGTCGTGAACCGCGAAACGTCTCCAACCTTCACCGACACGCGAGCTTCCGACGAGTACGTCAAGGCGAGCAACATCGCGTTCGGGTTGATGTTGCTCCACATGGACGCCGACTACCACCATGTGGTCGACAACTGTGAAGAAGCATGGACAGCGTGGTCGCGGTTGAAGATGCTCTATGGTGGGTCGCAGAAGGCGGGACGCATCTACCTCAAGCGCCAGCTATTCAGCATCAAGATGGCGGAAGGTGCCAACGTCTTGCACCATTGCAACGAAGTCTTGAACATCGGCGCCAAGCTCAGCAGCATCGGTGCCAAGATGGAAGACGAAGACATTGCGATCTGCTTGCTGCTCAGTCTCCCGAAGAGTTTCGAGAACGTGGTTCTGAACTTGGAGATGAGCAATGCAGAGCTGCGCACGCAAGATGTGGTCAAGGTGCTGACTAACGAGCACATCAAGCGACAAGGCGAGAAGATGACAACGGCAACGACAACGGTGAAGACTGAAGATGCGACAAAGGCATTCAGTACCGAGCGCAAACCCTACCAATGCACATACTGCGGCAAGGTGGGGCACACGGCAGAGCGTTGCTGGACGAAGCAAAAGGATGAAAGTCGAGGAGCCCAACGCGGCGGCAATGGTCGTGGACGCGGGGCAAACAATGTCCAGTGGCGACATTATGATGAAGGCAACAGCTACGATCGAGTGGCGTTTGCAGTTTCGTTCGAATGCGGAGTTTCGACGAACAAGAATGGACCAGGAATGTGGGCCGTTGACAGCGGGGCAACACATCACATCTGCCACGACAAGTTCAAGTTTGCAAGCTTGGTCGAAGGCAATGATGGCGAGATCCTGGTGGCTGATGGCAACAAGGCGGCCATCAAAGGTGTGGGGACCATCGTGGAAAAGGTGATTCTGCCAAACGGGGAAGAGCGCGAGATCGAGATCAAGAACGCGCTCTATGTGCCCAGCATGAGCAAAAATCTGCTCTCGGTGCCGCAGATTAACAAGCACGGCAACTTCCAAGTGGTGTTTGACGGGGGATACGATGTACGTCGCTCGCAAGGATTCCAATCAAGTGGTGGCAGCTGCGGATCTTGTAGACGGACTCTACTGGCTTCGCACGACGCAGCGATCGGCCAATGCGACATCACTCAGCAACGCTGTTGATCTACATGCGCGAATGGGCCATGCTCCAGTCGACGTGCTTCGCAGGATGGTGAAAAGCCACATGATCAAGGACGCTCACATCCCTTCCAAGCCGAATGGATCAAGTGTGTGTCGAGGATGCCAAGAAGGGAAGATGGTCCAAAAACCATTCCCGAGCAACCGTGACAAGCGCACCTACAACACCTTCGAGATGCTCCACTTCGACATCTGCGGACCCATGGAAGAAAAATCTCTGGGTGGCAGCAAGTATCTGCTGCTGATCGTGGATGAAGCCAGCGGATGCATGAAGGGTTTTTGTCTGCATTCCAAGTCAGAGAGCGAAGAGTGCATCAAGAAGTACATCACGATGATACAGACGCAGTTCAACAAGAAGGTCAAATTTGTGCGACACGATGGAGCCCGCGAGTTTGCGACGAACTCGCTTCAAGATTTCTACGAAGTCGAAGGCATCGAGCAACAAACCACGGTGCCATACGCACATCAAGCCAATGGAACTGCTGAACGCGCGATTCGAACTATCGTCACCATCGGTCGTAGCATGCTCCATCATGCCAAGTTGGACAAGTGCTTCTGGGCTGAAGCGGCAATGACGGCCGTCTATGTGAAGAACCGTTTGCCGTCACCCAAGATTCCACACAAGACACCGTTCGAGATTGTCTACAATTCTAAGCCAAGTGTCAAGCACATGCGCGTTTTTGGGTGCCAAGCATACATCTTGACCCCGAAGGAGAAACGACTCAAGTGGGATCCCAAGGCCCGGGCTGGATTGTTTTTGGGCTACGAAGAAGTGTCCAAGGCGTATCGAGTTTACGACATCGAAGCGGGGCAGGTGATGATAAGTCGCGATGTCAACTTCGATGAGTCGGCCTTTGGAATGTCGATGCTGATTTCCGATGACGATGTTGATGGCCTGGACTTCGAATCGATCGATCTTGATGATGAAGAACCGCGTCCGAGACACTTCAAACAAACAGGAAAGCGCAAGGCCCAACCCAGTCACGACAATGACGACGCAAGCATGCCCCGAGCAGTGCGCCAACGACCCGGATTGGAAGAGTCAAGTGCGCCGGATGACCTCTCTTCACGTCGAGCCAACGAAGATGAAGAAAGGAAGTCGGAGGAACAACATGACACACCGACTTCCTCCGCGTTTTGGCATGCGAGTGCAAACGCCGTCGAAGCAGCGGTCGATTTTTCGGAGCCGTCGACATTTGAAGAAGCAGTGTCTGGCCCGGACCAAGTACACTGGCGCAAGGCAATTGATGCGGAGCTCGATTCGATGAAGCTTCGCGGTGTCTTTCGTGCGGCCAAGTTACCCAACGGACAAAGCGCCATTGGCACAAAGTGGGTCTTCAAGATCAAGCGCAAGGCGGATGGGTCGATCGAGAAATACAAGGCACGACTTGTGGCCAAGGGTTTTCGCCAAAAGTATGGCATCGACTACACGGAGACGTTCTCGCCCGTGGTCAAGTATGTGACGCTGCGAATGGTCATCGCCATTACCAAGCACTTTGGATGGCCCCCTCGACCAGCTCGATGTGGTGACTGCGTTCCTGTATGGAGTGATGAAGGAGAAGGTGTTCTGCGCTGTTCCGGAAGGCGTCAAGATGGAAGGTGATTTCGACTGTCTCGAGCTGATCAAGGCGATCTACGGTCTCAAGCAAGCCTCGCGTGTTTGGAACGAGACCTTCGACGAGTTCATACGCTCGATTGGTTTTCAAGCGTCGGGATTCGATCCATGTCTCTACATCATGACTTCGGAAGGCCATTGTGTTTTTGTGCTGGTCTACGTGGACGATGTCTTGGTGACTGGAAGCTCGCTCGAGATGATTGCGCGCACCAAGAACGACCTCAAGACACGCTTCGAGATGACGGACAGCGGCAAGTGTGCCTTTGTTCTTGGGATCGAGTTATTGGACGGTGAAGATGGCAGCGTGACTATGTGTCAGCGCCGTTATGTCGACGATGTCCTCAAGCGCTTTGGAATGGATGAGTGCAAGGCTGTGGCAAGTCCGGTGGACGTCAGCTCTCGACTGGTTCCAAGCAACTCTGCAAGCAAGGTGGATGTCCCATTCCGTGAAGCAGTGGGTGCTTTGATGCATCTGACGACTGCAACGCGACCGGACATCGCCTATGCTGTAAGCTTTGTGTCACGGTTCATGGAGAAACCCCAAGAAGAACACTGGGTTGCAGTCAAGCGCATCTTCCGCTACCTACAAGGCACCAAGATGCATGGAATCTGCTACAAGCCAAGTGCGAAGATCGACTTTCGTGGCTATTCAGATGCAGACTGGGCCGGTGACCTTGCTGATCGCAAATCGACGTCCGGCTACGTCTTCATGCTATTGGGTGCTCCGGTGAGTTGGGGCAGCAAGAAACAGCCAAGTGTGTCACTGTCTACAAGCGAAGCGGAGTACATCGCGCTCAGCCTGGCGATCCAAGAAGGCAAGTGGATCAATCGCTTGCTGTGCGAGATCATGGCGGCTGCAAACGAAGAAGGACCCGAGCTCGTCATCCGTGAAGACAACCAGTCGTGCATCAAGATGACGAAGAATCCGGTCAACCACGGCCGCGCTAAACACATCGACATCAAGTACCATCACATCCGTGATGAAGTCAAGCGCGGCGAAGTGAAGCTTGAATACTGCGAGACGACGTTGATGTTGGCGGACATCATGACGAAGGGACTTCACGGACCGCGTCACAAGGACTTGACGGCGGCGCTTGGCATCCGTGCGTGTTCGGATTGAGGGGGCGTATTGAGGGTTACCGGTACAATCCGAACCTAGCGCGTAGTTCTTACGAGATAGTTTTTACATCGGTAATTACCTCAGAGATGATTAGACGCGTAGGATGATTGGACGCGTGTAAATCAGGTTGATTAGATGCACCATGTGATTGGATGCAGTCTAGGGTAGGCAGAAGTTAAGACCTATAAATCAATCACTTTCGAATCCTCCCTCAAGTGAGCAAGTGTTCTCTGCTTCGTTCTCTCCGGTCTCTCCGCTTCGTTTTCTCTTCGCCTCGCGCTCAAGTTACAACAGGTTATGAGCCCAAGCGCCATGTCATCCAACAACACCTCGGCCAGTGTCTCCATCGATAAGTTCGATGGGGACAACTACTCAACCTGGTGTCGCTACATGCGCGGCGTGTTTCTGACGAAGTCAGTCTGGTACGTCGTGAACCGCGAAACGTCTCCAACCTTCACCGACACGCGAGCTTCCGACGAGTACGTCAAGGCGAGCAACATCGCGTTCGGGTTGATGTTGCTCCACATGGACGCCGACTACCACCATGTGGTCGACAACTGTGAAGAAGCATGGACAGCGTGGTCGCGGTTGAAGATGCTCTATGGTGGGTCGCAGAAGGCGGGACGCATCTACCTCAAGCGCCAGCTGTTCAGCATCAAGATGGCGGAAGGTGCCAACGTCTTGCACCATTGCAACGAAGTCTTGAACATCGGCGCCAAGCTCAGCAGCATCGGTGCCAAGATGGAAGACGAAGACATTGCGATCTGCTTGCTGCTCAGTCTCCCGAAGAGTTTCGAGAACGTGGTTCTGAACTTGGAGATGAGCAATGCAGAGCTGCGCACGCAAGATGTGGTCAAGGTGCTGACTAACGAGCACATCAAGCGACAAGGCGAGAAGATGACAACGGCAACGACAACGGTGAAGACTGAAGATGCGACAAAGGCATTCAGTACCGAGCGCAAGCCCTACCAATGCACATACTGCGGCAAGGTGGGGCACACGGCAGAGCGTTGCTGGACGAAGCAAAAGGATGAAAGTCGAGGAGCCCAACGCGGCGGCAATGGTCGTGGACGCGGGGCAAACAATGTCCAGTGGCGACATTATGATGAAGGCAACAGCTACGATCGAGTGGCGTTTGCAGTTTCGTTCGAATGCGGAGTTTCGACGAACAAGAATGGACCAGGAATGTGGGCCGTTGACAGCGGGGCAACACATCACATCTGCCACGACAAGTTCAAGTTTGCAAGCTTGGTCGAAGGCAATGATGGCGAGATCCTGGTGGCTGATGGCAACAAGGCGGCCATCAAAGGTGTGGGGACCATCGTGGAAAAGGTGATTCTGCCAAACGGGGAAGAGCGCGAGATCGAGATCAAGAACGCGCTCTATGTGCCCAGCATGAGCAAAAATCTGCTCTCGGTGCCGCAGATTAACAAGCACGGCAACTTCCAAGTGGTGTTTGACGGGGATACGATGTACGTCGCTCGCAAGGATTCCAATCAAGTGGTGGCAGCTGCGGATCTTGTAGACGGACTCTACTGGCTTCGCACGACGCAGCGATCGGCCAATGCGACATCACTCAGCAACGCTGTTGATCTACATGCGCGAATGGGCCATGCTCCAGTCGACGTGCTTCGCAGGATGGTGACAAGCCACATGATCAAGGACGCTCACATCCCTTCCAAGCCGAATGGATCAAGTGTGTGTCGAGGATGCCAAGAAGGGAAGATGGTCCAAAAACCATTCCCGAGCAACCGTGACAAGCGCACCTACAACACCTTCGAGATGCTCCACTTCGACATCTGCGGACCCATGGAAGAAAAATCTCTGGGTGGCAGCAAGTATCTGCTGCTGATCGTGGATGAAGCCAGCGGATGCATGAAGGGTTTTTGTCTGCATTCCAAGTCAGAGAGCGAAGAGTGCATCAAGAAGTACATCACGATGATACAGACGCAGTTCAACAAGAAGGTCAAATTTGTGCGACACGATGGAGCCCGCGAGTTTGCGACGAACTCGCTTCAAGATTTCTACGAAGTCGAAGGCATCGAGCAACAAACCACGGTGCCATACGCACATCAAGCCAATGGAACTGCTGAACGCGCGATTCGAACTATCGTCACCATCGGTCGTAGCATGCTCCATCATGCCAAGTTGGACAAGTGCTTCTGGGCTGAAGCGGCAATGACGGCCGTCTATGTGAAGAACCGTTTGCCGTCACCCAAGATTCCACACAAGACACCGTTCGAGATTGTCTACAATTCTAAGCCAAGTGTCAAGCACATGCGCGTTTTTGGGTGCCAAGCATACATCTTGACCCCGAAGGAGAAACGACTCAAGTGGGATCCCAAGGCCCGGGCTGGATTGTTTTTGGGCTACGAAGAAGTGTCCAAGGCGTATCGAGTTTACGACATCGAAGCGGGGCAGGTGATGATAAGTCGCGATGTCAACTTCGATGAGTCGGCCTTTGGAATGTCGATGCTGATTTCCGATGACGATGTTGATGGCCTGGACTTCGAATCGATCGATCTTGATGATGAAGAACCGCGTCCGAGACACTTCAAACAAACAGGAAAGCGCAAGGCCCAACCCAGTCACGACAATGACGACGCAAGCATGCCCCGAGCAGTGCGCCAACGACCCGGATTGGAAGAGTCAAGTGCGCCGGATGACCTCTCTTCACGTCGAGCCAACGAAGATGAAGAAAGGAAGTCGGAGGAACAACATGACACACCGACTTCCTCCGCGTTTTGGCATGCGAGTGCAAACGCCGTCGAAGCAGCGGTCGATTTTTCGGAGCCGTCGACATTTGAAGAAGCAGTGTCTGGCCCGGACCAAGTACACTGGCGCAAGGCAATTGATGCGGAGCTCGATTCGATGAAGCTTCGCGGTGTCTTTCGTGCGGCCAAGTTACCCAACGGACAAAGCGCCATTGGCACAAAGTGGGTCTTCAAGATCAAGCGCAAGGCGGATGGGTCGATCGAGAAATACAAGGCACGACTTGTGGCCAAGGGTTTTCGCCAAAAGTATGGCATCGACTACACGGAGACGTTCTCGCCCGTGGTCAAGTATGTGACGCTGCGAATGGTCATCGCCATTACCAAGCACTTTGGATGGCCCCTCGACCAGCTCGATGTGGTGACTGCGTTCCTGTATGGAGTGATGAAGGAGAAGGTGTTCTGCGCTGTTCCGGAAGGCGTCAAGATGGAAGGTGATTTCGACTGTCTCGAGCTGATCAAGGCGATCTACGGTCTCAAGCAAGCCTCGCGTGTTTGGAACGAGACCTTCGACGAGTTCATACGCTCGATTGGTTTTCAAGCGTCGGGATTCGATCCATGTCTCTACATCATGACTTCGGAAGGCCATTGTGTTTTTGTGCTGGTCTACGTGGACGATGTCTTGGTGACTGGAAGCTCGCTCGAGATGATTGCGCGCACCAAGAACGACCTCAAGACACGCTTCGAGATGACGGACAGCGGCAAGTGTGCCTTTGTTCTTGGGATCGAGTTATTGGACGGTGAAGATGGCAGCGTGACTATGTGTCAGCGCCGTTATGTCGACGATGTCCTCAAGCGCTTTGGAATGGATGAGTGCAAGGCTGTGGCAAGTCCGGTGGACGTCAGCTCTCGACTGGTTCCAAGCAACTCTGCAAGCAAGGTGGATGTCCCATTCCGTGAAGCAGTGGGTGCTTTGATGCACCTGACGACTGCAACGCGACCGGACATCGCCTATGCTGTAAGCTTTGTGTCACGGTTCATGGAGAAACCCCAAGAAGAACACTGGGTTGCAGTCAAGCGCATCTTCCGCTACCTACAAGGCACCAAGATGCATGGAATCTGCTACAAGCCAAGTGCGAAGATCGACTTTCGTGGCTATTCAGATGCAGACTGGGCCGGTGACCTTGCTGATCGCAAATCGACGTCCGGCTACGTCTTCATGCTATTGGGTGCTCCGGTGAGTTGGGGCAGCAAGAAACAGCCAAGTGTGTCACTGTCTACAAGCGAAGCGGAGTACATCGCGCTCAGCCTGGCGATCCAAGAAGGCAAGTGGATCAATCGCTTGCTGTGCGAGATCATGGCGGCTGCAAACGAAGAAGGACCCGAGCTCGTCATCCGTGAAGACAACCAGTCGTGCATCAAGATGACGAAGAATCCGGTCAACCACGGCCGCGCTAAACACATCGACATCAAGTACCATCACATCCGTGATGAAGTCAAGCGCGGCGAAGTGAAGCTTGAATACTGCGAGACAACGTTGATGTTGGCGGACATCATGACCAAGGCACTTCACGGACCGCGTCACAAGAACTTGACGGCGGCGCTTGGCATCCGTGCGTGTTCGGATTGAGGGGGCGTATTGAGGGTTACCGGTACAATCCGAACCTAGCGCGTAGTTCTTACGAGATAGTTTTTACATCGGTAATTACCTCAGAGATGATTAGACGCGTAGGATGATTGGACGCGTGTAAATCAGGTTGATTAGATGCACCATGTGATTGGATGCAGTCTAGGTTAGGCAGAAGTTAAGACCTATAAATCAATCACTTTCGAATCCTCCCTCAAGTGAGCAAGTGTTCTCTGCTTCGTTCTCTCCGGTCTCTCCGCTTCGTTTTCTCTTCGCCTCGCGCTCAAGTTACAACACATCATGCACTTACATCACCTTGGTGTCAGGATAAACGCCCGACATCCAAACACGCGCATGTGCTTGACACTTGGTTTCGACTTGTACACGATTTTGAACGGAGTCTTGTGGTCGATCTTGGGTGAAGGCAGGCGGTTCTTGATGTAGATCGCCGTCATTGCCGCTTCAGCCCAGAAACACTTCTCCAGTTTTGCATGATGCAACAAGCTGCGTCCGATCGTGACGATGGTCCTTATCGCGCGTTCTGCGGTGCCGTTGGTCTGGTGTGCATACGGTACCGTGATCTGTTGTTCGATACCATGATTTTTGTAGAAGGTCTTGATCGAGTTGGTCGCAAACTCATACGCTCCATCGTGCCGAACAAACTTGATCTTCGTGCTGAACTGAGTTTGAATCTTGATGATGTGGTTCTTGATACAGTCTTCACTCTCAGACTTGGACCGCAGGCAGAAGCCCTTCATGCAACCTCTGGCTTCGTCAACCACAAGCAGTAAGTGTTTGCTGCCGCCGATCGAGACTTGTTCCATTGGCCCGCAGATGTCGAAGTGCAGCAACTCGAACAAACCATATTGGCGTTTGTCACGGTTGGTTGGGAATGGTTTTTGGACCATCTTTCCTTGCTGGCAACCGCGACACACACTTGGACCAGTCGAGTTGAGAGGTGCCTTGGCGTCCTTGATCATGCCAGTGGCCACCATCTTGCGCAGAACTTCGAGGGGTGCATGACCCATGCGCGCATGTGTTGATGGTGAAAAGCTTAACGACCGAAACTGGGAGTGATGGTGGGAGTCCACTCGTATTGAGGGTTACCGGTACAATCCGAACCTAGCGCGTAGTTCTTACGAGATAGTTTTTACATCGGTAATTACCTCAGAGATGATTAGACGCGTAGGATGATTGGACGCGTGTAAATCAGGTTGATTAGATGCACCATGTGATTGGATGCAGTCTAGGGTAGGCAGAAGTTAAGACCTATAAATCAATCACTTTCGAATCCTCCCTCAAGTGAGCAAGTGTTCTCTGCTTCGTTCTCTCCGGTCTCTCCGCTTCGTTTTCTCTTCGCCTCGCGCTCAAGTTACAACAGGTTATGAGCCCAAGCGCCATGTCATCCAACAACACCTCGGCCAGTGTCTCCATCGATAAGTTCGATGGGGACAACTACTCAACCTGGTGTCGCTACATGCGCGGCGTGTTTCTGACGAAGTCAGTCTGGTACGTCGTGAACCGCGAAACGTCTCCAACCTTCACCGACACGCGAGCTTCCGACGAGTACGTCAAGGCGAGCAACATCGCGTTCGGGTTGATGTTGCTCCACATGGACGCCGACTACCACCATGTGGTCGACAACTGTGAAGAAGCATGGACAGCGTGGTCGCGGTTGAAGATGCTCTATGGTGGGTCGCAGAAGGCGGGACGCATCTACCTCAAGCGCCAGCTGTTCAGCATCAAGATGGCGGAAGGTGCCAACGTCTTGCACCATTGCAACGAAGTCTTGAACATCGGCGCCAAGCTCAGCAGCATCGGTGCCAAGATGGAAGACGAAGACATTGCGATCTGCTTGCTGCTCAGTCTCCCGAAGAGTTTCGAGAACGTGGTTCTGAACTTGGAGATGAGCAATGCAGAGCTGCGCACGCAAGATGTGGTCAAGGTGCTGACTAACGAGCACATCAAGCGACAAGGCGAGAAGATGACAACGGCAACGACAACGGTGAAGACTGAAGATGCGACAAAGGCATTCAGTACCGAGCGCAAGCCCTACCAATGCACATACTGCGGCAAGGTGGGGCACACGGCAGAGCGTTGCTGGACGAAGCAAAAGGATGAAAGTCGAGGAGCCCAACGCGGCGGCAATGGTCGTGGACGCGGGGCAAACAATGTCCAGTGGCGACATTATGATGAAGGCAACAGCTACGATCGAGTGGCGTTTGCAGTTTCGTTCGAATGCGGAGTTTCGACGAACAAGAATGGACCAGGAATGTGGGCCGTTGACAGCGGGGCAACACATCACATCTGCCACGACAAGTTCAAGTTTGCAAGCTTGGTCGAAGGCAATGATGGCGAGATCCTGGTGGCTGATGGCAACAAGGCGGCCATCAAAGGTGTGGGGACCATCGTGGAAAAGGTGATTCTGCCAAACGGGGAAGAGCGCGAGATCGAGATCAAGAACGCGCTCTATGTGCCCAGCATGAGCAAAAATCTGCTCTCGGTGCCGCAGATTAACAAGCACGGCAACTTCCAAGTGGTGTTTGACGGGGATACGATGTACGTCGCTCGCAAGGATTCCAATCAAGTGGTGGCAGCTGCGGATCTTGTAGACGGACTCTACTGGCTTCGCACGACGCAGCGATCGGCCAATGCGACATCACTCAGCAACGCTGTTGATCTACATGCGCGAATGGGCCATGCTCCAGTCGACGTGCTTCGCAGGATGGTGACAAGCCACATGATCAAGGACGCTCACATCCCTTCCAAGCCGAATGGATCAAGTGTGTGTCGAGGATGCCAAGAAGGGAAGATGGTCCAAAAACCATTCCCGAGCAACCGTGACAAGCGCACCTACAACACCTTCGAGATGCTCCACTTCGACATCTGCGGACCCATGGAAGAAAAATCTCTGGGTGGCAGCAAGTATCTGCTGCTGATCGTGGATGAAGCCAGCGGATGCATGAAGGGTTTTTGTCTGCATTCCAAGTCAGAGAGCGAAGAGTGCATCAAGAAGTACATCACGATGATACAGACGCAGTTCAACAAGAAGGTCAAATTTGTGCGACACGATGGAGCCCGCGAGTTTGCGACGAACTTATTGAGGGTTACCGGTACAATCCGAACCTAGCGCGTAGTTCTTACGAGATAGTTTTTACATCGGTAATTACCTCAGAGATGATTAGACGCGTAGGATGATTGGACGCGTGTAAATCAGGTTGATTAGATGCACCATGTGATTGGATGCAGTCTAGGGTAGGCAGAAGTTAAGACCTATAAATCAATCACTTTCGAATCCTCCCTCAAGTGAGCAAGTGTTCTCTGCTTCGTTCTCTCCGGTCTCTCCGCTTCGTTTTCTCTTCGCCTCGCGCTCAAGTTACAACAGGTTATGAGCCCAAGCGCCATGTCATCCAACAACACCTCGGCCAGTGTCTCCATCGATAAGTTCGATGGGGACAACTACTCAACCTGGTGTCGCTACATGCGCGGCGTGTTTCTGACGAAGTCAGTCTGGTACGTCGTGAACCGCGAAACGTCTCCAACCTTCACCGACACGCGAGCTTCCGACGAGTACGTCAAGGCGAGCAACATCGCGTTCGGGTTGATGTTGCTCCACATGGACGCCGACTACCACCATGTGGTCGACAACTGTGAAGAAGCATGGACAGCGTGGTCGCGGTTGAAGATGCTCTATGGTGGGTCGCAGAAGGCGGGACGCATCTACCTCAAGCGCCAGCTGTTCAGCATCAAGATGGCGGAAGGTGCCAACGTCTTGCACCATTGCAACGAAGTCTTGAACATCGGCGCCAAGCTCAGCAGCATCGGTGCCAAGATGGAAGACGAAGACATTGCGATCTGCTTGCTGCTCAGTCTCCCGAAGAGTTTCGAGAACGTGGTTCTGAACTTGGAGATGAGCAATGCAGAGCTGCGCACGCAAGATGTGGTCAAGGTGCTGACTAACGAGCACATCAAGCGACAAGGCGAGAAGATGACAACGGCAACGACAACGGTGAAGACTGAAGATGCGACAAAGGCATTCAGTACCGAGCGCAAGCCCTACCAATGCACATACTGCGGCAAGGTGGGGCACACGGCAGAGCGTTGCTGGACGAAGCAAAAGGATGAAAGTCGAGGAGCCCAACGCGGCGGCAATGGTCGTGGACGCGGGGCAAACAATGTCCAGTGGCGACATTATGATGAAGGCAACAGCTACGATCGAGTGGCGTTTGCAGTTTCGTTCGAATGCGGAGTTTCGACGAACAAGAATGGACCAGGAATGTGGGCCGTTGACAGCGGGGCAACACATCACATCTGCCACGACAAGTTCAAGTTTGCAAGCTTGGTCGAAGGCAATGATGGCGAGATCCTGGTGGCTGATGGCAACAAGGCGGCCATCAAAGGTGTGGGGACCATCGTGGAAAAGGTGATTCTGCCAAACGGGGAAGAGCGCGAGATCGAGATCAAGAACGCGCTCTATGTGCCCAGCATGAGCAAAAATCTGCTCTCGGTGCCGCAGATTAACAAGCACGGCAACTTCCAAGTGGTGTTTGACGGGGATACGATGTACGTCGCTCGCAAGGATTCCAATCAAGTGGTGGCAGCTGCGGATCTTGTAGACGGACTCTACTGGCTTCGCACGACGCAGCGATCGGCCAATGCGACATCACTCAGCAACGCTGTTGATCTACATGCGCGAATGGGCCATGCTCCAGTCGACGTGCTTCGCAGGATGGTGACAAGCCACATGATCAAGGACGCTCACATCCCTTCCAAGCCGAATGGATCAAGTGTGTGTCGAGGATGCCAAGAAGGGAAGATGGTCCAAAAACCATTCCCGAGCAACCGTGACAAGCGCACCTACAACACCTTCGAGATGCTCCACTTCGACATCTGCGGACCCATGGAAGAAAAATCTCTGGGTGGCAGCAAGTATCTGCTGCTGATCGTGGATGAAGCCAGCGGATGCATGAAGGGTTTTTGTCTGCATTCCAAGTCAGAGAGCGAAGAGTGCATCAAGAAGTACATCACGATGATACAGACGCAGTTCAACAAGAAGGTCAAATTTGTGCGACACGATGGAGCCCGCGAGTTTGCGACGAACTTATTGAGGGTTACCGGTACAATCCGAACCTAGCGCGTAGTTCTTACGAGATAGTTTTTACATCGGTAATTACCTCAGAGATGATTAGACGCGTAGGATGATTGGACGCGTGTAAATCAGGTTGATTAGATGCACCATGTGATTGGATGCAGTCTAGGGTAGGCAGAAGTTAAGACCTATAAATCAATCACTTTCGAATCCTCCCTCAAGTGAGCAAGTGTTCTCTGCTTCGTTCTCTCCGGTCTCTCCGCTTCGTTTTCTCTTCGCCTCGCGCTCAAGTTACAACAGGTTATGAGCCCAAGCGCCATGTCATCCAACAACACCTCGGCCAGTGTCTCCATCGATAAGTTCGATGGGGACAACTACTCAACCTGGTGTCGCTACATGCGCGGCGTGTTTCTGACGAAGTCAGTCTGGTACGTCGTGAACCGCGAAACGTCTCCAACCTTCACCGACACGCGAGCTTCCGACGAGTACGTCAAGGCGAGCAACATCGCGTTCGGGTTGATGTTGCTCCACATGGACGCCGACTACCACCATGTGGTCGACAACTGTGAAGAAGCATGGACAGCGTGGTCGCGGTTGAAGATGCTCTATGGTGGGTCGCAGAAGGCGGGACGCATCTACCTCAAGCGCCAGCTGTTCAGCATCAAGATGGCGGAAGGTGCCAACGTCTTGCACCATTGCAACGAAGTCTTGAACATCGGCGCCAAGCTCAGCAGCATCGGCGCCAAGATGTAGGACGAGGACGTTGCGATCTGCTTACTGCGCAGTCTGCCCAAGAGTTTCGAGAACGTGGTTTTCAACTTGGAGATGAGCAATGCAGAGCTGCGCACGCAAGATGTGGTCAAGGTGCTGACTAACGAGCACATCAAGCGACAAGGCGAGAAGATGACAACGGCAACGACAACGGTGAAGACTGAAGATGCGACAAAGGCATTCAGTACCGAGCGCAAGCCCTACCAATGCACATACTGCGGCAAGGTGGGGCACACGGCAGAGCGTTGCTGGACGAAGCAAAAGGATGAAAGTCGAGGAGCCCAACGCGGCGGCAATGGTCGTCGACGCGGGTCAAACAATGTCCACTGGCGACATTATGATGAAGGCAACAGCTACGATCGAGTGGCGTTTGCAGTTTCGTTCGAATGCGGAGTTTCGACGAACAAGAATGGACCAGGAATGTGGGCCGTTGACAGCGGGGCAACACATCACATCTGCCACGACAAGTTCAAGTTTGCAAGCTTGGTCGAAGGCAATGATGGCGAGATCCTGGTGGCTGATGGCAACAAGGCGGCCATCAAAGGTGTGGGGACCATCGTGGAAAAGGTGATTCTGCCAAACGGGGAAGAGCGCGAGATCGAGATCAAGAACGCGCTCTATGTGCCCAGCATGAGCAAAAATCTGCTCTCGGTGCCGCAGATTAACAAGCACGGCAACTTCCAAGTGGTGTTTGACGGGGATACGATGTACGTCGCTCGCAAGGATTCCAATCAAGTGGTGGCAGCTGCGGATCTTGTAGACGGACTCTACTGGCTTCGCACGACGCAGCGATCGGCCAATGCGACATCACTCAGCAACGCTGTTGATCTACATGCGCGAATGGGCCATGCTCCAGTCGACGTGCTTCGCAGGATGGTGACAAGCCACATGATCAAGGACGCTCACATCCCTTCCAAGCCGAATGGATCAAGTGTGTGTCGAGGATGCCAAGAAGGGAAGATGGTCCAAAAACCATTCCCGAGCAACCGTGACAAGCGCACCTACAACACCTTCGAGATGCTCCACTTCGACATCTGCGGACCCATGGAAGAAAAATCTCTGGGTGGCAGCAAGTATCTGCTGCTGATCGTGGATGAAGCCAGCGGATGCATGAAGGGTTTTTGTCTGCATTCCAAGTCAGAGAGCGAAGAGTGCATCAAGAAGTACATCACGATGATACAGACGCAGTTCAACAAGAAGGTCAAATTTGTGCGACACGATGGAGCCCGCGAGTTTGCGACGAACTTATTGAGGGTTACCGGTACAATCCGAACCTAGCGCGTAGTTCTTACGAGATAGTTTTTACATCGGTAATTACCTCAGAGATGATTAGACGCGTAGGATGATTGGACGCGTGTAAATCAGGTTGATTAGATGCACCATGTGATTGGATGCAGTCTAGGGTAGGCAGAAGTTAAGACCTATAAATCAATCACTTTCGAATCCTCCCTCAAGTGAGCAAGTGTTCTCTGCTTCGTTCTCTCCGGTCTCTCCGCTTCGTTTTCTCTTCGCCTCGCGCTCAAATTGCAACAGGTTATGAGCCCAAGCGCCATGTCATCCAACAACACCTCGGCCAGTGTCTCCATCGATAAGTTCGATGGGGACAACTACTCAACCTGGTGTCGCTACATGCGCGGCGTGTTTCTGACGAAGTCAGTCTGGCACGTCGTCAACCGTGAAACGTCTCCAACCTTCACCGACACGCGAGCGTCCGATGACTACGTCAAGGCAAGCAACGTCGCGTTTGGTATGATGCTGCTGCACATGAACGCGGACTACCATCATGTGCTGGACAACTTCGAGGAAGCCTGGGTTGCGTGGACAAGTCTGAAGACGCTGTACGGTGGGTCGCAGAAGGCAGGACGCATCTACCTCAAGCGACAACTTTTCAGCATCAAGATGGCGGAAGGTGCCAACGTCTTGCACCATTGCAACGAAGTCTTGAACATCGGCGCCAAGCTCAGCAGCATCGGTGCCAAGATGGAAGACGAAGACATTGCGATCTGCTTGCTGCTCAGTCTCCCGAAGAGTTTCGAGAACGTGGTTCTGAACTTGGAGATGAGCAATGCAGAGCTGCGCACGCAAGATGTGGTCAAGGTGCTGACTAACGAGCACATCAAGCGACAAGGCGAGAAGATGACAACGGCAACGACAACGGTGAAGACTGAAGATGCGACAAAGGCATTCAGTACCGAGCGCAAGCCCTACCAATGCACATACTGCGGCAAGGTGGGGCACACGGCAGAGCGTTGCTGGACGAAGCAAAAGGATGAAAGTCGAGGAGCCCAACGCGGCGGCAATGGTCGTGGACGCGGGGCAAACAATGTCCAGTGGCGACATTATGATGAAGGCAACAGCTACGATCGAGTGGCGTTTGCAGTTTCGTTCGAATGCGGAGTTTCGACGAACAAGAATGGACCAGGAATGTGGGCCGTTGACAGCGGGGCAACACATCATATCTGCCACGACAAGTTCAAGTTTGCAAGCTTGGTCGAAGGCAATGATGGCGAGATCCTGGTGGCTGATGGCAACAAGGCGGCCATCAAAGGTGTGGGGACCATCGTGGAAAAGGTGATTCTGCCAAACGGGGAAGAGCGCGAGATCGAGATCAAGAACGCGCTCTATGTGCCCAGCATGAGCAAAAATCTGCTCTCGGTGCCGCAGATTAACAAGCACGGCAACTTCCAAGTGGTGTTTGACGGGGATACGATGTACGTCTCTCGCAAGGATTCCAACCAAGTGGTGGCAGCTGCGGATCTTGTAGACGGACTCTACTGGCTTCGCACGACGCAGCGATCGGCCAATGCGACATCACTCAGCAACGCTGTTGATCTACATGCGCGAATGGGCCATGCTCCAGTCGACGTGCTTCGCAGGATGGTGACAAGCCACATGATCAAGGACGCTCACATCCCTTCCAAGCCGAATGGATCAAGTGTGTGTCGAGGATGCCAAGAAGGGAAGATGGTCCAAAAACCATTCCCGAGCAACCGTGACAAGCGCACCTACAACACCTTCGAGATGCTCCACTTCGACATCTGCGGACCCATGGAAGAAAAATCTCTGGGTGGCAGCAAGTATCTGCTGCTGATCGTGGATGAAGCCAGCGGATGCATGAAGGGTTTTTGTCTGCATTCCAAGTCAGAGAGACGAAGCGTGCATCAAGAAGTACATCACGATGATACAGACGCAGTTCAACAAGAAGGTCAAATTTGTGCGACACGATGGAGCCCGCGAGTTTGCGACGAACTCGCTTCAAGATTTCTACGAAGTCGAAGGCATCGAGCAACAAACCACGGTGCCATACGCACATCAAGCCAATGGAACTGCTGAACGCGCGATTCGAACTATCGTCACCATCGGTCGTAGCATGCTCCATCATGCCAAGTTGGACAAGTGCTTCTGGGCTGAAGCGGCAATGACGGCCGTCTATGTGAAGAACCGTTTGCCGTCACCCAAGATTCCACACAAGACACCGTTCGAGATTGTCTACAATTCTAAGCCAAGTGTCAAGCACATGCGCGTTTTTGGGTGCCAAGCATACATCTTGACCCCGAAGGAGAAACGACTCAAGTGGGATCCCAAGGCCCGGGCTGGATTGTTTTTGGGCTACGAAGAAGTGTCCAAGGCGTATCGAGTTTACGACATCGAAGCGGGGCAGGTGATGATAAGTCGCGATGTCAACTTCGATGAGTCGGCCTTTGGAATGTCGATGCTGATTTCCGATGACGATGTTGATGGCCTGGACTTCGAATCGATCGATCTTGATGATGAAGAACCGCGTCCGAGACACTTCAAACAAACAGGAAAGCGCAAGGCCCAACCCAGTCACGACAATGACGACGCAAGCATGCCCCGAGCAGTGCGCCAACGACCCGGATTGGAAGAGTCAAGTGCGCCGGATGACCTCTCTTCACGTCGAGCCAACGAAGATGAAGAAAGGAAGTCGGAGGAACAACATGACACACGGACTTCCTCCGCGTTTTGGCATGCGAGTGCAAACGCCGTCGAATCAGCGGTCGATTTTTCGGAGCCATCGACATTTGAAGAAGCAGTGTCTGGCCCGGACCAAGCACACTGGCGCAAGGCAATTGATGCGGAGCTCGATTCGATGAAGCTTCGCGGTGTCTTTCGTGCGGCCAAGTTACCCAACGGACAAAGCGCCATTGGCACAAAGTGGGTCTTCAAGATCAAGCGCAAGGCGGATGGGTCCATCGAGAAGTACAAGGCACGTCTCGCGGCAAAGGGCTTTCGCTCAAAGTATGGAATCGACTACACGGAGACGTTTTCGCCCGTGGTCAAGCATGTGACGCTGCGAATGGTCATCGCCATTACCAAGCACTTTGGATGGCCCCTCGACCAGCTCGATGTGGTGACTGCGTTCCTGTATGGAGTGATGAAGGAGAAGGTGTTCTGCGCTGTTCCGGAAGGCGTCAAGATGGAAGGTGATTTTGACTGTCTCGAGCTGATCAAGGCGATCTACGGTCTCAAGCAAGCCTCGCGTGTTTGGAACGAGACCTTCGACGAGTTCATACGCTCGATTGGTTTTCAAGCGTCGGGATTCGATCCATGTCTCTACATCATGACTTCGGAAGGCCATTGTGTTTTTGTGCTGGTCTACGTGGACGATGTCTTGGTGACTGGAAGCTCGCTCGAGATGATTGCGCGCACCAAGAACGACCTCAAGACACGCTTCGAGATGACTGATAGCGGCAAGTGTGCCTTTGTTCTTGGGATCGAGTTATTGGACGGTGAAGATGGCAGCGTGACTATGTGTCAGCGCCGTTATGTCGACGATGTCCTCAAGCGCTTTGGAATGGATGAGTGCAAGGCTGTGGCAAGTCCGGTGGACGTCAGCTCTCGACTGGTTCCAAGCAACTCTGCAAGCAAGGTGGATGTCCCATTCCGTGAAGCAGTGGGTGCTTTGATGCACCTGACGACTGCAACGCGACCGGACATCGCCTATGCTGTAAGCTTTGTGTCACGGTTCATGGAGAAACCCCAAGAAGAACACTGGGTTGCAGTCAAGCGCATCTTCCGCTACCTACAAGGCACCAAGATGCATGGAATCTGCTACAAGCCAAGTGCGAAGATCGACTTTCGTGGCTATTCAGATGCAGACTGGGCCGGTGACCTTGCTGATCGCAAATCGACGTCCGGCTACGTCTTCATGCTATTGGGTGCTCCGGTGAGTTGGGGCAGCAAGAAACAGCCAAGTGTGTCACTGTCTACAAGCGAAGCGGAGTACATCGCGCTCAGCCTGGCGATCCAAGAAGGCAAGTGGATCAATCGCTTGCTGTGCGAGATCATGGCGGCTGCAAACGAAGAAGGACCCGAGCTCGTCATCCGTGAAGACAACCAGTCGTGCATCAAGATGACGAAGAATCCGGTCAACCACGGCCGCGCTAAACACATCGACATCAAGTACCATCACATCCGTGACGAGGTCAAGCGCGGCGAAGTCGAGCTCAAGTACTGTGAGACTACAGTGATGTTAGCAGACATCATGACCAAGGGACTTCACGTACCGCGTCACAAGGAGCTGACAGAGGCGCTTGGCATCCGCACGTGTTCGTATTGATGGGGGGTATTGAGGGTAACCGGTACAATCCGAACCTAGCGCGTAGTTCTTACGAGATAGTTTTTACATCGGTAATTACCTCAGAGATGATTAGACGCGTAGGATGATTGGACGCGTGTAAATCAGGTTGATTAGATGCACCATGTGATTGGATGCAGTCTAGGGTAGGCAGAAGTTAAGACCTATAAATCAATCACTTTCGAATCCTCCCTCAAGTGAGCAAGTGTTCTCTGCTTCGTTCTCTCCGGTCTCTCCGCTTCGTTTTATCTTCGCCTCGCGCTCAAATTGCAACAATCAGCCACCAAGAGTTCGCCCTCATTGCACTCTGCCAAACTTGCGAACTTGGTCTTGTCGTGGCAAATGTGGTGCGTTGCACCACTGTCGACGGCCCACATTCCAGACACGTCCTTGCTCGTCGAAACTCCACATTCGAACGAGACTGCAAACGCCACTCGATCGTAGCCATTGCCTTCATCATGATGTCCCCACTGGACATTGTTAGCCCCGCGTCCACGACCATTGCCGCCGCGTCGGGCTCCCCGACCTTCGTTCTTCTGCTTTGTCCAGCAACGATCCACCGTGTGTCCCACCTTGCCACAATACGTGCATTGGTAGGGCTCACGCTCGACGCTGAATGCCTTGCTTGCATCTTCAGCCTTCACCGTAGTCGCTGTCGTTGTCCCTTTTTCTCCTTGACGCTTGGCATGCTCATTCGTCAGGACTCTCACCACATCTTGAGTGCGAAGCTCGGTGCTGCTCATTTCCATGTTGAGCACCACATTTTCGTAGCTCTTCGGAAGACTGAGTAGCAGACAAATTGCAACGTCTTCGTCTTCCATCTTCGCACCGATGCCGCTAAGCTTGGCGGAGATGTTGAGGACCTCGTTGCAGTGATGCATGACGTTCGCGCCTTCAGCCATCTTGATACTGAAAAGTTGTCGCTTGAGGTAGATGCGTCCTGCCTTCTGCGACCCACCGTACAGCGTCTTCAGACTTGTCCACGCAACCCAGGCTTCCTCGCAGTTGTCCAGCACATGATGGTAGTCCACGTTCATGTGCAGCAGCATCATACCAAACGCGACGTTGCTTGCCTTGACGTAGTCATCGGACGCTCGCGGGTCGGTGAAAGTCGGAGTCACTTCACGGTTGACAACGTGCCAGACGGACTTCGTCAAAAACACACCGCGCATGTACCGGCTCCACGTTGCGTAATTGTCTCCGTTGAACTTGTCAATGGAGGCGTCGCTGGTGGACGACATGGCGCTTGGGCTCATAACCTGTTGCATTGTAGATCGGAGCGAGGAAAGCGGAGCAAACGGAGCGGAGAGACCGAAGAGAGTAGAGCAGAAAACACTTGCCCAATAGTTGGAAGATTCGAAAGTGATTGATTATCGGGGCTTACTACTTACTACATGATTTATATGTGGTGTACATATAAATCATGTGAAGCGTCTCATCATCCTACGCGTCTAATCAACTATGGTAATTACTGTAAGAACTACGTCGTAAATACTAAGCTGAACAGGCGGTTCGGATTGGATCGGTCACGGTTACCAATACTGGTAGAAAACAGATGACCGTCAACAGCTGATGGCAACAAGGTGGCCATCAAGGGTGTGGGAACCATAATGGAAAAGGTGGTTCTGCCCAACGGTGAAGAGCGTGAGATCGAAATCAAGAACGCGCTATATGTTCCAAGTATGAGCAAGAATCTGCTCTCGGTGCCACAGATTAACAGCCATGGCAAGTTTCAAGTCGTGTTTGACGGGTCCAAGATGTATGTGACTCTCAAGAACTCACAGCAAGTGGTGGCGACAGCGGATCTCGTGGATGGACTCTACTGGCTTCGGACGACTCAACGATCAGCGAATGTGACAACAAGTGGAACCAGTTGTGCCGATCTACATGCGAGAATGGGTCATGCTCCAGTCGATGTACTTCGCAAGATGATCGCGACCAACATGATCAAGGATGTGCGAGTCCCTCTCAAGTCGGGTGGAGCAACTACATGTCGAGGATGTCAACAAGGGAAAATGGTCCAAAAACCATTTCCAAGCAACCGAGACAAGCGCAGCTACGATACGTTTGAGCTACTTCATCTGGACATCTGCGGGCCCATGGAAAAGGATTCGCTCGGTGGCAGCAAATATTTGCTGCTGATCATCGACGAAGCCAGTGGATGCATGAAGGGCTTTTGTCTACGAGTGAAGTCCGAGAGTGAAGACTACATCCGGAAATATATCACCATGGTACAGACGCAATTCTGTAAGAAGGTCAAGTTCGTGCGACACGACGGAGCTCGCGAGTTTGCAACCAACTCGCTTCAACTGTTCTACGAAGACGAAGGCATTGAACAGCAGACAACGGTGCCGTATGCACATCAAACAAACGGAACAGCAGAGCGTGCCATTAGGACTATTGTCACGATCGGCCGCAGCATGCTTCATCATGCCAAACTGGACAAGTATTTCTGGGCCGAAGCAGCGATGACGGCCATCTACGTCAAGAATCGACTGCCGTCACCTAAAGTCGTGCACAAGACCCCGTTTGAGATCGTCTACAACTTGAAACCAAGCGTCAAGCACATGCGAACATTCGGGTGTCAGACATACATACTGACGCCTAAAGAGAATCGACTCAAGTGGGATCCAAAGGCTCGCGCTGGCATATTCGTGGGCTACGAAGAAGTTTCGAAGGCATATCGTGTTTATGACATCGAGGCGGGGCAGGTGGTTATCAGCCGCGATGTCAACTTCGACGAGTCCACCTTTGGACTTCAACTGCCGATCACTGATGAAGATGTCGATGACCTGGACTTCGAATTGCTGGATCTTGATGACGAAGAGCTGCGTCAAATGGAGTACAAGCAAACAGGCAAGCGCAAGAACCGACTCAATGATGAAGATACAGCAGCTCCACGACCGCGTGCAGTGCGTCAACGACCAGGACTAGAAGAGTCAAGCGCGCCGGAAAACAACTCGTCACGACAAGAAGAAGACGAAGAAACGAAGGATTCTGGTGATTCAACACCGCCTGTGTTTTGGCGTGCGAGTGCAAATGCCGTTGAAGCAGCAGTGGACTTATCAGAACCCTCAACATTTGAAGCAGCAGTAAGCGGCCCTGACCAAGTGCACTGGAGAAAAGCAATTCATGCAGAGCTCGAGTCAATGCGACTTCGCGGTGTGTTTCGTGCAGCCAAGCTGCCCAACGGACAACGCGCCATTGGCACAAAATGGGTGTTCAAGATCAAGCGCAAGGCGGATGGGTCAATCGAGAAGTACAAGGTGATGAACTTTAGACTTCTTGGTCCGAGTGCAAAACGCAAAGTGAATATATATTTATAATAGGTACTTAGTTCGCAACTTTGAATACTACCTCTAAGCCTATTATTCGCAGTGACGTCATCCAGTGACGTCACCCACTGACGTCACCCACTGACGTCATGCAATGACGTCATCCAGTGACGTCATTTCCTGACTTCGCCCTTACTGGTACATACCGGTACCCACCGGTATAGCGAAGCTTGGTCTTCCACTTGCTTCAACACTTGACGCAGCTTGACGAGGTGTCTTCTTCACAGCTGCTGTCTTTTCAACAAAGTCAACCAAGATGGCGCTGAGCAAACGCTTCGAAATGACGGATCTCGGTGAGCTCGATTACTTTCTCGGCATGGAGATCAAGAACGACCGTAAGACGGGAATGGTGACTGTACAACAAACCAAGTTTCTCAAGTCCGTGTTGACCAAGTTCGGAATGGATAACAGCAAGCCAGTGAAGACGCCTCAAGATCCCGGCCTGAAGCTAACCAAGAACATGTGTGAACAAGAATGCAAGCACGAAGACACCATGTGCAACGTGCCATATCGAAGTGCTGTCGGAGGCATCATGTATCTCATGGTCGCCACACGTCCGGATCTAGCTGCTGCAGTGGGATCATTATCCCAGTTCTCGTCCGACCCATGCCCGACTCACTGGCAAGCTTTGAAGCGTGTGCTGAGATACCTGCAAGCAACGCCCAATCACGGTCTTGAGTTTACACGTGAAGAAGGAAGCCGTATCTGCGGTACACCGACGCAGACTGGGCCGGCGACATTGAGTCAAGACGAAGTACAAGCGGCTATGTGTTCATGATGAGCGGAGGATGCATCAGCTGGAAAAGCCAGAAACAACGGACGGTCGCGCTATCTTCAACAGAAGTAGAATACATGGCACTTTCCGAAGCAACCAAAGAAGCAGTATGGCTCAAAGTGCTTTTGGGGGAACTTGGTGAGATGACAAGCGACGAAGCGATCAAGATGTATGAAGACAACCAAGGATCAATCGCTCTCGCCAAGAACCCGGAGTTCCATAAGAGAACAAAACACATCGACATACGCTACCATTTTGTGCGTGAGAAGGTGGAATCAGGTGAAGTCGTTTTGGAGTATTGCCCGACTCAAGATATGCTGGCAGACATGATGACCAAGCCGATCGCCGCTGTACAATTTGAAAACATTCGCGATCGACTTGGGATCCAAGGTGCCGCAGCTAACGAGTCGAGAGGGAGTGTTGAAAAGACAGCGGCTGTGAAGAAGACACCTCGTCAAGCTGCGTCAAGTGTTGAAGCAAGTGGAAGACCAAGCTTCGCTATACCGGTGGGTACCGGTATGTACCAGTAAGGGCGAAGTCAGGAAATGACGTCACTGGATGACGTCATTGCATGACGTCAGTGGGTGACGTCAGTGGGTGACGTCACTGGATGACGTCACTGCGAATAATAGGCTTAGAGGTAGTATTCAAAGTTGCGAACTAAGTACCTATTATAAATATATATTTACTTTGCGTTTTGCACTCGGACCAAGAAGTCTAAAGTTCATCACCCTTGGCCACAAGTCGTGCCTTGTACTTCTCGATTGACCCATCCGCCTTGCGCTTGATCTTGAACACCCATTTTGTGCCAATGGCGCGTTGTCCGTTGGGCAGCTTGGCTGCACGAAACACACCGCGAAGTCGCATTGACTCGAGCTCTGCATGAATTGCTTTTCTCCAGTGCACTTGGTCAGGGCCGCTTACTGCTGCTTCAAATGTTGAGGGTTCTGATAAGTCCACTGCTGCTTCAACGGCATTTGCACTCGCACGCCAAAACACAGGCGGTGTTGAATCACCAGAATCCTTCGTTTCTTCGTCTTCTTCTTGTCGTGACGAGTTGTTTTCCGGCGCGCTTGACTCTTCTAGTCCTGGTCGTTGACGCACTGCACGCGGTCGTGGAGCTGCTGTATCTTCATCATTGAGTCGGTTCTTGCGCTTGCCTGTTTGCTTGTACTCCATTTGACGCAGCTGTTCGTCATCAAGATCCAGCAATTCGAAGTCCAGGTCATCGACATCTTCATCAGTGATCGGCAGTTGAAGTCCAAAGGTGGACTCGTCGAAGTTGACATCGCGGCTGATAACCACCTGCCCCGCCTCGATGTCATAAACACGATATGCCTTCGAAACTTCTTCGTAGCCCACGAATATACCAGCGCGAGCCTTTGGATCCCACTTGAGTCGATTCTCTTTAGGCGTCAGTATGTATGTCTGACACCCGAATGTTCGCATGTGCTTGACGCTTGGTTTCAAGTTGTAGACGATCTCAAACGGGGTCTTGTGCACGACTTTAGGTGACGGCAGTCGATTCTTGACGTAGATGGCCGTCATCGCTGCTTCGGCCCAGAAACACTTGTCCAGTTTGGCATGATGAAGCATGCTGCGGCCGATCGTGACAATAGTCCTAATGTCACGCTCTGCTGTTCCGTTTGTTTGATGTGCATACGGCACCGTTGTCTGCTGTTCAATGCCTTCGTCTTCGTAGAACAGTTGAAGCGAGTTGGTTGCAAACTCGCGAGCTCCGTCGTGTCGCACGAACTTGACCTTCTTACAGAATTGCGTCTGTACCATGGTGATATATTTCCGGATGTAGTCTTCACTCTCGGACTTCACTCGTAGACAAAAGCCCTTCATGCCTCCACTGGCTTCGTCGATGATCAGCAGCAAATATTTGCTGCCACCGAGCGAATCCTTTTCCATGAGCCCGCAGATGTCCAGATGAAGTAGCTCAAACGTATCGTAGCTGCGCTTGTCTCGGTTGCTTGGAAATGGTTTTTGGACCATTTTCCCTTGTTGACATCCTCGACATGTAGTTGCTCCACCCGACTTGAGAGGGACTCGCACATCCTTGATCATGTTGGTCGCGATCATCTTGCGAAGTACATCGACTGGAGCATGACCCATTCTCGCATGTAGATCGGCACAACTGGTTCCACTTGTTGTCACATTCGCTGATCGTTGAGTCGTCCGAAGCCAGTAGAGTCCATCCACGAGATCCGCTGTCGCCACCACTTGCTGTGAGTTCTTGAGAGTCACATACATCTTGGACCCGTCAAACACGACTTGAAACTTGCCATGGCTGTTAATCTGTGGTACCGAGAGCAGGTTCTTGCTCATACTTGGAACATATAGCGCGTTCTTGATTTCGATCTCACGCTCTTCACCGTTGGGCAGAACCACCTTTTCCATGATGGTTCCCACACCCTTGATGGCCACCTTGTTGCCATCAGCCACCAAGAGTTCGCCCTCATTGCGCTCTGCCAAACTTGCGAACTTGGTCTTGTCGTGGCAAATGTGGTGCGTTGCACCACTGTCGACGGCCCACATTCCAGACACGTCCTTGCTCGTCGAAACTCCACATTCGAACGAGACTGCAAACGCCACTCGATCGTAGCCATTGCCTTCATCATGATGTCCCCACTGGACATTGTTAGCCCCGCGTCCACGACCATTGCCGCCGCGTCGGGCTCCCCGACCTTCGTTCTTCTGCTTTGTCCAGCAACGATCCACCGTGTGTCCCACCTTGCCACAATACGTGCATTGGTAGGGCTCACGCTCGGCGCTGAATGCCTTGCTTGCATCTTCAGCCTTCACCGTAGTCGCTGTCGTTGTCCCTTTTTCTCCTTGACGCTTGGCATGCTCATTCGTCAGGACTCTCACCACATCTTGAGTGCGAAGCTCGGTGCTGCTCATTTCCATGTTGAGCACCACATTTTCGTAGCTCTTCGGAAGACTGAGTAGCAGACAAATTGCAACGTCTTCGTCTTCCATCTTCGCACCGATGCCGCTAAGCTTGGCGGAGATGTTGAGGACCTCGTTGCAGTGATGCATGACGTTCGCGCCTTCAGCCATCTTGATACTGAAAAGTTGTCGCTTGAGGTAGATGCGTCCTGCCTTCTGCGACCCACCGTACAGCGTCTTCAGACTTGTCCACGCAACCCAGGCTTCCTCGCAGTTGTCCAGCACATGATGGTAGTCCGCGTTCATGTGCAGCAGCATCATACCAAACGCGACGTTGCTTGCCTTGAAGTAGTCATCGGACGCTCGTGGGTCGGTGAAAGTCGGAGTCACTTCACGGTTGACAACGTGCCAGACGGACTTCGTCAAAAACACACCGCGCATGTACCGGCTCCACGTTGCGTAATTGTCTCCGTTGAACTTGTCAATGGAGGCGTTGCTGGTGGACGACATGGCGCTTGGGCTCATAACCTGTTGCACTGTAGATCGGAGCGAGGAAAGCGGAGCAAACGGAGCGGAGAGACCGAAGAGAGTAGAGCAGAAAACACTTGCCCAATAGTTGGAAGATTCGAAAGTGATTGATTATCGGGGCTTACTACTTACTACATGATTTATATGTGGTGTACATATAAATCATGTGAAGCGTCTCATCATCCTACGCGTCTAATCAACTATGGTAATTACCGTAAGAACTACGTCGTAAATACTAAGCTGAACAGGCGGTTCGGATTGGATCGGTCACGGTTACCAATACTGGTAGAAAACCGATGACCGTCAACAGGTTTCCGCCAAAAGTACGGCATCGACTACACGGAGACGTTTTCGCCTGTGGTCAAGTATGTGACGCTGCGAATGGTGATCGCAATTTCCAAGCATTTTGGATGGCCCATCGACCAGCTTGATGTGGTGACAGCTTTCCTGTATGGCGTCATGAAGGAACAAGTGTTCTGCGTGATTCCTGAAGGCGTCGAACTTGACAGTACGTTCGACTGCCTGGAATCGGTGAAGTCAATTTACGGCCTCAAGCAAGCGTCGCGAGTGTGGAACGAGACGTTCGACGAGTATGTGTGCTCCATCGGATTTCAAGTATCGGACTTCGACCCATGTCTCTACATCAAGACTTCGGACGGCCATTGCGTGTTTATACTGGTCTACGTGGACGACGTCTTGGTGACTGGAAGCTCACTCGAGCTGATTGCACAAACCAAGAACGACCTGAAGACGCGGTTCGAAATGACGGACAGCGGCAAGTGTGCGTTTGTTCTTGGGATCGAGCTTTTGGACGGTGAAGATGGCAGTGTGACACTATGTCAGCGTCGGTATGTCGATGATATCCTCAAGCGCTTTGGCATGGATGATTGCAAGGCAGTCGCAAGTCCAGTCGACATGAGCTCTCGACTTGTTTCAAGTGATGCAACTACCAAGGTCGATGCTCCTTTTCGCGAAGCTGTTGGTGCGTTGATGCACCTGACCACTGCAACGCGTCCGGACATTGCGTTTGCTGTGGGCTATGTGTCGCGGTTCATGGAAAATCCCCAAGAAGAACACTGGGTTGCAGTTAAGCGTATCTTTCGCTACCTACAAGGCACCAAGACGCATGGAATTTGCTACAAGCCAAGTGCAAGGATCGACTTCCGTGGATATTCGGATGCGGATTGGGCTGGTGATCTTACCGACCGCAAGTCAACATCGGGGTACACGTTCATGCTACTCGGTGCGCCAGTGAGTTGGGGCAGCAAGAAGCAGCCAAGTGTTTCGTTGTCCACGAGTGAAGCCGAATACATCGCAATCAGCTTGGCGATTCAAGAGGGCAAGTGGATTCATCGTCTGCTTTGTGAGATCGTGATGGCTGCCAATGAAGAAGGACCGGAACTCATGATCCATGAAGACAATCAGTCATGTATCAAGATGACGAAGAACCCAGTCAACCACGGCCGTGCCAAGCACATTGATATCAAGTACCATCACATCCGTGATGAGGTCAAGCGCGGTGAAGTGAAGCTCAAGTACTGTGAAACTGCGGTGATGTTAGCGGACATCATGACGAAGGGACTTCATGGACCACGCCACAAGGAGATGACGACGGCTCTCGGGATTCGTGAGCATTCGGATTGAGGGGGCGTGTTGACGGTCATCGGTTTTCTACCAGTATTGGTAACCGTGACCGATCCAATCCGAACCGCCTGTTCAGCTTAGTATTTACGACGTAGTTCTTACGGTAATTACCATAGTTGATTAGACGCGTAGGATGATGAGACGCTTCACATGATTTATATGTACACCACATATAAATCATGTAGTAAGTAGTAAGCCCCGATAATCAATCACTTTCGAATCTTCCAACTATTGGGCAAGTGTTTTCTGCTCTACTCTCTTCGGTCTCTCCGCTCCGTTTGCTCCGCTTTCCTCGCTCCATCTACAATGCAACAGTTTCTTCGAAACCGCTGTCCAACACGTGCCATTCACCAAGACAAGTCTCCATATCAAGTGTGGACGATGAAGAAACCGATTCTGGCCAACCTTAAAGTGTTTGGATGCCACGCGTATGTTCAAGTGCCTCAAGACAAACGCGCGAAGTTCGACTCCAAGTCATCACTCTGTCGTTTCCTGGGATACGCCGAACACCAGAAGTCATATCGATTTGAGGAAGTGTCAACAGGAGCGATCAAGATCAGTCTCGATGCCACATTCATGGAAGACAAGTTTGATGAAGGTCCGCGCAACTACAACGATGAGTCAAGTGCCGTTGAGTTTGATGATCAAGACTGTTGACGGTCATCGGCTTTCTACCAGTATTGGTAACCGTGACCGATCCAATCCGAACCGCCTGTTCAGCTTAGTATTTACGACGTAGTTCTTACGGTAATTACCATAGTTGATTAGACGCGTAGGATGATGAGACGCTTCACATGATTTATATGTACACCACATATAAATCATGTAGTAAGTAGTAAGCCCCGATAATCAATCACTTTCGAATCTTCCAACTATTGGGCAAGTGTTTTCTGCTCTACTCTCTTCGGTCTCTCCGCTCCGTTCGCTCCGCTTTCCTCGCTCCGATCTACAATGCAACAGGTTATGAGCCCAAGCGCCATGTCGTCCACCAGCAACGCCTCCATTGACAAGTTCAACGGAGACAATTACGCAACGTGGAGCCGGTACATGCGCGGTGTGTTTTTGACGAAGTCCGTCTGGCACGTTGTCAACCGTGAAGTGACTCCGACTTTCACCGACCCACGAGCGTCCGATGACTACGTCAAGGCAAGCAACGTCGCGTTTGGTATGATGCTGCTGCACATGAACGCGGACTACCATCATGTGCTGGACAACTGCGAGGAAGCCTGGGTTGCGTGGACAAGTCTGAAGACGCTGTACGGTGGGTCGCAGAAGGCAGGACGCATCTACCTCAAGCGACAACTTTTCAGTATCAAGATGGCTGAAGGCGCGAACGTCATGCATCACTGCAACGAGGTCCTCAACATCTCCGCCAAGCTTAGCGGCATCGGTGCGAAGATGGAAGACGAAGACGTTGCAATTTGTCTGCTACTCAGTCTTCCGAAGAGCTACGAAAATGTGGTGCTCAACATGGAAATGAGCAGCACCGAGCTTCGCACTCAAGATGTGGTGAGAGTCCTGACGAATGAGCATGCCAAGCGTCAAGGAGAAAAAGGGACAACGACAGCGACTACGGTGAAGGCTGAAGATGCAAGCAAGGCATTCAGCGCCGAGCGTGAGCCCTACCAATGCACGTATTGTGGCAAGGTGGGACACACGGTGGATCGTTGCTGGACAAAGCAGAAGAACGAAGGTCGGGGAGCCCGACGCGGTGTTGCATTGTAGATCGGAGCGAGGAAAGCGGAGCAAACGGAGCGGAGAGACCGAAGAGAGTGTTGAAAAGACAGCGGCTGTGAAGAAGACACCTCGTCAAGCTGCGTCAAGTGTTGAAGCAAGTGGAAGACCAAGCTTCGCTATACCGGTGGGTACCGGTATGTACCAGTAAGGGCGAAGTCAGGAAATGACGTCACTGGATGACGTCATTGCATGACGTCAGTGGGTGACGTCAGTGGGTGACGTCAGTGGGTGACGTCACTGGATGATGTCACTGCGAATAATAGGCTTAGAGGTAGTATTCAAAGTTGCGAACTAAGTACCTATTATAAATATATATTCACTTTGCGTTTTGCACTCGGACCAAGAAGTCTAAAGTTCATCAGGTTATGAGCCCAAGTTCGTCAGACTCTGAAACCGCCAACAATTCAAGCTTAGCTGCCATGGACGCCTCCTCCCTCCGCATCTCCAAGTTCGATGGAACTAACTTCCACGCCTGGAAGTTCAAGATGCAGATGGTGCTGGAGGAACGGGACATATGGGAGGTCGTCAGCGGTGAGATCAAGGCGGAACAGTGCGAGACTCAGTTGGACCAAGCGACGTACAAGAGGAAGTCAAGAAAGGCGATGGCAGTGATCTGTCTAGCCATGGAAGATTCCCAGCTACCGTTGGTCCGGTCGGCAAGTGGTGCATGCGACGCATGGTCAAGGTTGGAAGACCACTTCGAGAAGAAGAGTCTTGCCAACAAGCTGTTCTTGCGCCGTCGCTTCTTCACGACAATGATGGAAGAAGGCGACGATGTGCTCGAACACATCAACAAGCTCAAGACGCTGGCGGAACAGCTAGAAGCGGTGGGGGCTCCAGTCTGCGAGGACGATCTGGTGATCACACTCCTCGGCAGCCTGAGTGACTCGTATCAATTCTTGATCACAGCTTTGGAGTCGCGCTCAGACACTCTTAGCTGGGAGCTCGTGACGTCTCGACTGCTTCATGAAGAAATGAAGCGGAAGGAGCAAGGAAGTAAAGGTGATGAAGCTTCGCAAGGTCAAGCGTTCATCACAAGGGACAATCAGCGCAAAGGGCGACCAGTGAAGAAGTCCTGGCCGTGCCACAATTGCGGAAAGATTGGTCACTGGATGGCGGAGTGCCCCTCGCGCATCCAAGAAAACACGGAGAGACACCGGCCACAGCGTGCTCAAGACAGCGGCGACCGCTATCGATCACAACGTGCAAACGTCGCTCAAGAAGAAGACTCGGGCGACTACCTCTTTTCGATCGGTGAAACGACATCTGCGAAATCGAGCGACATCTGGCTGGTCGACTTCGGGGCGACGCAGCACATGACGTGCTCCAAGAAGTTCATGCGGAACTACAAGGGGTTTGACGCTGTGGATGTCCATCTCGCGGATGATGGAATCGTCCAAGCAATCGGCAGTGGGGACATTGTCATGTCGATGAAGACACCCCAAGGGATGAAGAAAGGTGTGCTCACAAACGTGTGGCACATCCCAAAGTTATCCAGAAACCTGTTCTCGGTCGGCCGCTTCACCAAGGATGTCGGCCCAGTGACGTTCACGAAGGATGGGTGCTATGGAGAAGCGAAAGGGACCAAGTGGAAAATTGGTGCCCGTGAAGGTAAAGGACTGTTCAAGCTGCAAATGACTCCAGTGGCGCCGGAACAAGCAAATGCAGCCAAGTCGTCGGGATGTCAAGGGGGCACCAAGTCGTACCTCTGGCACCTTCGGCTTGGCCACATAGGTCACGATGGACTTAATTGCATCGTGACGAAGAACATTGGAATTGGCATCGACATATCTTCGGTGAAGAAGTGGGACGTGTGTGAAGGTTGTGCTCTGGGAAAACAGACTCGAGTGCGCTTCCAATCAAACACTACAGCTCGCACCTCCAAACTCCTCGAAGTGATTCACAGCGACGTATGCGGACCGATGTCGATGGCAACTTTCAGTGGAAAACGGTACTTCGTGACATTCATTGATGACAAGTCAAGATACTGTGTCGTCTATCTGCTCAAGAGCAAATCTGAAGTTGCGGCGAAGTTCATGGAATACGCTGCGATGGCCGAAACGCAAACCGGAAAGCGCGTGAAGTACCTTCAAAGCGACAATGGGGGTGAATACAAGTCCGACAAGCTGGCACGATTCTGCGCGGAACGGGGAATACAACAAAGGTTCACAACCCCATATACTCCTCAGCTAAACGGAGTAGCTGAGAGAATGAATCGCACGCTGGTCGAGTGTGCGCGTTGCATGATGGAACACGCTGGACTGGGAAAGAGCTACTGGGGTGAAGCAGTGATGACGGCGATGTTTCTTCGAAACCGCTGTCCAACACGTGCCATTCACCAAGACAAGTCTCCATATCAAGTGTGGACGATGAAGAAACCGATTCTGGCCAACCTTAAAGTGTTTGGATGCCACGCGTATGTTCAAGTGCCTCAAGACAAACGCGCGAAGTTCGACTCCAAGTCATCACTCTGTCGTTTCCTGGGATACGCCGAACACCAGAAGTCATATCGATTTGAGGAAGTGTCAACAGGAGCGATCAAGATCAGTCGCGATGCCACATTCATGGAAGACAAGTTTGATGAAGGTCCGCGCAACTACAACGATGAGTCAAGTGTCGTTGAGTTTGATGATCATGATGAGGACGAAGAAAAAGAAGAAGGTAAAACTGACGACGACATGGACTCGAGCGACGATGACAACGAAGACACCAGGTCTTCGAAGAGCAACATCAAGAGACACACGCGCACTCAATCACTTGAGAAAGCTACCGTCATTCCAAGTCCCAAGCGAAGAACATACAGAGGTCCGTCGCTTGAGCATGTGTCAGCGGCTGCAATGGATTTTGAAGCAGCCTACATCGTTGATTCAGTGGGGGAAACGCCGACTACATTCAAGTCGGCGATGGAATCAAGCGACTCCGGCAAGTGGAAAGAAGCGTGTGACTCGGAGTTCGATTCGCTTCGGAGAAACGACACGTGGGAAATCGTGTCTCTTCCGAAAGGTCGCAAGGCCATCGGGTGCCGATGGGTTTTTCGTGTAAAGGAGAATCAAGATGGCGAAGTTGAACGTTTCAAGGCAAGACTTGTGGCCAAACGATTCTCACAGAAATTCGGAGTTGACTATGAAGAAACTTTCGCACCGGTGGCCAAGTTCACATCGATTCGTGTGGTGCTCAGTATGGCGGCTAAGTACGGCCTAATGCTACATCAGATGGACGTCAAGACAGCGTTTCTTAACGGCTCCCTCAACGAAGACATCTACATGGACCAGCCGGAACGGATACCTGGATGCAACACAGCCGGACTATGTGTGCAAGCTAAAGAGATCACTCTACGGCTTGAAGCAATCGCCTCGCATGTGGAACCAAACAATCGATGGGTTCATGATCAAGATGGGATTCAAGAAGTGCGAATCGGACCACTGCATCTACATCAAGCGAGACGACCAAGACATGATTCTCGTGGTGCTCTACGTCGATGATCTCATCCTGGCCAGCAGCAACAACGAACTCCTCAAGTCAACCAAGATGGCGCTGAGCAAACGCTTCGAAATGACGGATCTCGGTGAGCTCGATTACTTTCTCGGCATGGAGATCAAGAACGACCGTAAGACGGGAATGGTGACTGTACAACAAACCAAGTTTCTCAAGTCCGTGTTGACCAAGTTCGGAATGGATAACAGCAAGCCAGTGAAGACGCCTCAAGATCCCGGCCTGAAGCTAACCAAGAACATGTGTGAACAAGAATGCAAGCACGAAGACACCATGTGCAACGTGCCATATCGAAGTGCTGTCGGAGGCATCATGTATCTCATGGTCGCCACACGTCCGGATCTAGCTGCTGCAGTGGGATCATTATCCCAGTTCTCGTCCGACCCATGCCCGACTCACTGGCAAGCTTTGAAGCGTGTGCTGAGATACCTGCAAGCAACGCCCAATCATGGTCTTGAGTTTACACGTGAAGAAGGAAGCCGTATCTGCGGTACACTGACGCAGACTGGGCCGGCGACATTGAGTCAAGACGAAGTACAAGCGGCTATGTGTTCATGATGAGCGGAGGATGCATCAGCTGGAAAAGCCAGAAACAACGGACGGTCGCGCTATCTTCAACAAAAGCAGAATACATGGCGCTTTCCGAAGCAACCAAAGAAGCAGTATGGCTCAAAGTGCTTTTGGGGGAACTTGGTGAGATGACAAGCGACGAAGCGATCAAGATGTATGAAGACAACCAAGGATCAATCGCTCTCGCCAAGAACCCGGAGTTCCATAAGAGAACAAAACACATCGACATACGCTACCATTTTGTGCGTGAGAAGGTGGAATCAGGTGAAGTCGTTTTGGAGTATTGCCTGTTGTAATTTGAGCGCGAGGCGAAGAGAAAACGAAGCGGAGAGTGTTGCATTGTAGATCGGAGCGAGGAAAGCGGAGCAAACGGAGCGGAGAGACCGAAGAGAGTAGAGCAGAAAACACTTGCCCAATAGTTGGAAGATTCGAAAGTGATTGATTATCGGGGCTTACTACTTACTACATGATTTATATGTGGTGTACATATGAATCATGTGAAGCGTCTCATCATCCTACGCGTCTAATCAACTATGGTAATTACCGTAAGAACTACGTCGTAAATACTAAGCTGAACAGGCGGTTCGGATTGGATCGGTCACGGTTACCAATACTGGTAGAAAACCGATGACCGTCAACACGCCCCCTCAATCCGAATGCTCACGAATCCCGAGAGTCGCCGTCATCTCCTTGTGGCGTGGCCCGTGAAGTCCCTTCGTCATGATGTCCGCTAACATCACCGCAGTTTCACAGTACTTGAGCTTCACTTCACCGCGCTTGACCTCATCACGGATGTGATGGTACTTGATATCAATGTGCTTGGCACGGCCGTGGTTGACTGGGTTCTTCGTCATCTTGATACACGACTGATTGTCTTCATGGATCATGAGTTCCGGTCCTTCTTCATTGGCAGCCATCACGATCTCACAAAGCAGACGATGAATCCACTTGCCCTCTTGAATCGCCAAGCTGAGTGCGATGTATTCGGCTTCACTCGTGGACAACGAAACACTTGGCTGCTTCTTGCTGCCCCAACTGACTGGCGCACCGAGTAGCATGAACGTGTACCCCGATGTTGACTTGCGGTCGGTAAGATCACCAGCCCAATCCGCATCCGAATATCCACGGAAGTCGATCCTTGCACTTGGCTTGTAGCAAATTCCATGCGTCTTGGTGCCTTGTAGGTAGCGAAAGATACGCTTAACTGCAACCCAGTGTTCTTCTTGGGGATTTTCCATGAACCGCGACACATAGCCCACAGCAAACGCAATGTCCGGACGCGTTGCAGTGGTCAGGTGCATCAACGCACCAACAGCTTCGCGAAAAGGAGCATCGACCTTGGTAGTTGCATCACTTGAAACAAGTCGAGAGCTCATGTCGACTGGACTTGCGACTGCCTTGCAATCATCCATGCCAAAGCGCTTGAGGATATCATCGACATACCGACGCTGACATAGTGTCACACTGCCATCTTCACCGTCCAAAAGCTCGATCCCAAGAACAAACGCACACTTGCCGCTGTCCGTCATTTCGAACCGCGTCTTCAGGTCGTTCTTGGTTTGTGCAATCAGCTCGAGCGAGCTTCCAGTCACCAAGACATCGTCCACGTAGACCAGTATAAACACGCAATGGCCGTCCGAAGTCTTGATGTAGAGACATGGGTCGAAGTCCGATACTTGAAATCCGATGGAGCACACATACTCGTCGAACGTCTCGTTCCACACTCGCGACGCTTGCTTGAGGCCGTAAATTGACTTCACCAATTCCAGGCAGTCGAACGTACTGTCAAGTTCGACGCCTTCAGGAATCACGCAGAACACTTGTTCCTTCATGACGCCATACAGGAAAGCTGTCACCACATCAAGCTGGTCGATGGGCCATCCAAAATGCTTGGAAATTGCGATCACCATTCGCAGCGTCACATACTTGACCACAGGCGAAAACGTCTCCGTGTAGTCGATGCCATACTTTTGGCGGAAACCCTTGGCCACAAGTCGTGCCTTGTACTTCTCGATTGACCCATCCGCCTTGCGCTTGATCTTGAACACCCATTTTGTGCCAATGGCGCGTTGTCCGTTGGGCAGCTTGGCTGCACGAAACACACCGCGAAGTCGCATTGACTCGAGCTCTGCATGAATTGCTTTTCTCCAGTGCACTTGGTCAGGGCCGCTTACTGCTGCTTCAAATGTTGAGGGTTCTGATAAGTCCACTGCTGCTTCAACGGCATTTGCACTCGCACGCCAAAACACAGGCGGTGTTGAATCACCAGAATCCTTCGTTTCTTCGTCTTCTTCTTGTCGTGACGAGTTGTTTTCCGGCGCGCTTGACTCTTCTAGTCCTGGTCGTTGACGCACTGCACGCGGTCGTGGAGCTGCTGTATCTTCATCATTGAGTCGGTTCTTGCGCTTGCCTGTTTGCTTGTACTCCATTTGACGCAGCTCTTCGTCATCAAGATCCAGCAATTCGAAGTCCAGGTCATCGACATCTTCATCAGTGATCGGCAGTTGAAGTCCAAAGGTGGACTCGTCGAAGTTGACATCGCGGCTGATAACCACCTGCCCCGCCTCGATGTCATAAACACGATATGCCTTCGAAACTTCTTCGTAGCCCACGAATATGCCAGCGCGAGCCTTTGGATCCCACTTGAGTCGATTCTCTTTAGGCGTCAGTATGTATGTCTGACACCCGAATGTTCGCATGTGCTTGACGCTTGGTTTCAAGTTGTAGACGATCTCAAACGGGGGTCTTGTGCACGACTTTAGGTGACGGCAGTCGATTCTTGACGTAGATGGCCGTCATCGCTGCTTCGGCCCAGAAACACTTGTCCAGTTTGGCATGATGAAGCATGCTGCGGCCGATCGTGACAATAGTCCTAATGGCACGCTCTGCTGTTCCGTTTGTTTGATGTGCATACGGCACCGTTGTCTGCTGTTCAATGCCTTCGTCTTCGTAGAACAGTTGAAGCGAGTTGGTTGCAAACTCGCGAGCTCCGTCGTGTCGCACGAACTTGACCTTCTTACAGAATTGCGTCTGTACCATGGTGATATATTTCCGGATGTAGTCTTCACTCTCGGACTTCACTCGTAGACAAAAGCCCTTCATGCATCCACTGGCTTCGTCGATGATCAGCAGCAAATATTTGCTGCCACCGAGCGAATCCTTTTCCATGGGCCCGCAGATGTCCAGATGAAGTAGCTCAAACGTATCGTAGCTGCGCTTGTCTCGGTTGCTTGGAAATGGTTTTTGGACCATTTTCCCTTGTTGACATCCTCGACATGTAGTTGCTCCACCCGACTTGAGAGGGACTCGCACATCCTTGATCATGTTGGTCGCGATCATCTTGCGAAGTACATCGACTGGAGCATGACCCATTCTCGCATGTAGATCGGCACAACTGGTTCCACTTGTTGTCACATTCGCTGATCGTTGAGTCGTCCGAAGCCAGTAGAGTCCATCCACGAGATCCGCTGTCGCCACCACTTGCTGTGAGTTCTTGAGAGTCACATACATCTTGGACCCGTCAAACACGACTTGAAACTTGCCATGGCTGTTAATCTGTGGCACCGAGAGCAGGTTCTTGCTCATACTTGGAACATATAGCGCGTTCTTGATTTCGATCTCACGCTCTTCACCGTTGGGCAGAACCACCTTTTCCATGATGGTTCCCACACCCTTGATGGCCACCTTGTTGCCATCAGCCACCAAGAGTTCGCCCTCATTGCGCTCTGCCAAACTTGCGAACTTGGTCTTGTCGTGGCAAATGTGGTGCGTTGCACCACTGTCGACGGCCCACATTCCAGACACGTCCTTGCTCGTCGAAACTCCACATTCGAACGAGACTGCAAACGCCACTCGATCGTAGCCATTGCCTTCATCATGATGTCCCCACTGGACATTGTTAGCCCCCGCGTCCACGACCATTGCCGCCGCGTCGGGCTCCCCGACCTTCGTTCTTCTGCTTTGTCCAGCAACGATCCACCGTGTGTCCCACCTTGCCACAATACGTGCATTGGTAGGGCTCACGCTCGGCGCTGAATGCCTTGCTTGCATCTTCAGCCTTCACCGTAGTCGCTGTCGTTGTCCCTTTTTCTCCTTGACGCTTGGCATGCTCATTCGTCAGGACTCTCACCACATCTTGAGTGCGAAGCTCGGTGCTGCTCATTTCCATGTTGAGCACCACATTTTCGTAGCTCTTCGGAAGACTGAGTAGCAGACAAATTGCAACGTCTTCGTCTTCCATCTTCGCACCGATGCCGCTAAGCTTGGCGGAGATGTTGAGGACCTCGTTGCAGTGATGCATGACGTTCGCGCCTTCAGCCATCTTGATACTGAAAAGTTGTCGCTTGAGGTAGATGCGTCCTGCCTTCTGCGACCCACCGTACAGCGTCTTCAGACTTGTCCACGCAACCCAGGCTTCCTCGCAGTTGTCCAGCACATGATGGTAGTCCGCGTTCATGTGCAGCAGCATCATACCAAACGCGACGTTGCTTGCCTTGACGTAGTCATCGGACGCTCGCGGGTCGGTGAAAGTCGGAGTCACTTCACGGTTGACAACGTGCCAGACGGACTTCGTCAAAAACACACCGCGCATGTACCGGCTCCACGTTGCGTAATTGTCTCCGTTGAACTTGTCAATGGAGGCGTTGCTGGTGGACGACATGGCGCTTGGGCTCATAACCTGTTGCATTGTAGATCGGAGCGAGGAAAGCGGAGCAAACGGAGCGGAGAGACCGAAGAGAGTAGAGCAGAAAACACTTGCCCAATAGTTGGAAGATTCGAAAGTGATTGATTATCGGGGCTTACTACTTACTACATGATTTATATGTGGTGTACATATAAATCATGTGAAGCGTCTCATCATCCTACGCGTCTAATCAACTATGGTAATTACCGTAAGAACTACGTCGTAAATACTAAGCTGAACAGGCGGTTCGGATTGGATCGGTCACGGTTACCAATACTGGTAGAAAACCGATGACCGTCAACACGCCCCCTCAATCCGAATGCTCACGAATCCCGAGAGTCGCCGTCATCTCCTTGTGGCGTGGCCCGTGAAGTCCCTTCGTCATGATGTCCGCTAACATCACCGCAGTTTCACAGTACTTGGGCTTCACTTCACCGCGCTTGACCTCATCACGGATGTGATGGTACTTGATATCAATGTGCTTGGCACGGCCGTGGTTGACTGGGTTCTTCGTCATCTTGATACACGACTGATTGTCTTCATGGATCATGAGTTCCGGTCCTTCTTCATTGGCAGCCATCACGATCTCACAAAGCAGACGATGAATCCACTTGCCCTCTTGAATCGCCAAGCTGAGTGCGATGTATTCGGCTTCACTCGTGGACAACGAAACACTTGGCTGCTTCTTGCTGCCCCAACTGACTGGCGCACCGAGTAGCATGAACGTGTACCCCGATGTTGACTTGCGGTCGGTAAGATCACCAGCCCAATCCGCATCCGAATATCCACGGAAGTCGATCCTTGCACTTGGCTTGTAGCAAATTCCATGCGTCTTGGTGCCTTGTAGGTAGCGAAAGATACGCTTAACTGCAACCCAGTGTTCTTCTTGGGGATTTTCCATGAACCGCGACACATAGCCCACAGCAAACGCAATGTCCGGACGCGTTGCAGTGGTCAGGTGCATCAACGCACCAACAGCTTCGCGAAAAGGAGCATCGACCTTGGTAGTTGCATCACTTGAAACAAGTCGAGAGCTCATGTCGACTGGACTTGCGACTGCCTTGCAATCATCCATGCCAAAGCGCTTGAGGATATCATCGACATACCGACGCTGACATAGTGTCACACTGCCATCTTCACCGTCCAAAAGCTCGATCCCAAGAACAAACGCACACTTGCCGCTGTCCGTCATTTCGAACCGCGTCTTCAGGTCGTTCTTGGTTTGTGCAATCAGCTCGAGCGAGCTTCCAGTCACCAAGACGTCGTCCACGTAGACCAGTATAAACACGCAATGGCCGTCCGAAGTCTTGATGTAGAGACATGGGTCGAAGTCCGATACTTGAAATCCGATGGAGCACACATACTCGTCGAACGTCTCGTTCCACACTCGCGACGCTTGCTTGAGGCCGTAAATTGACTTCACCAATTCCAGGCAGTCGAACGTACTGTCAAGTTCGACGCCTTCAGGAATCACGCAGAACACTTGTTCCTTCATGACGCCATACAGGAAAGCTGTCACCACATCAAGCTGGTCGATGGGCCATCCAAAATGCTTGGAAATTGCGATCACCATTCGCAGCGTCACATACTTGACCACAGGCGAAAACGTCTCCGTGTAGTCGATGCCATACTTTTGGCGGAAACCCTTGGCCACAAGTCGTGCCTTGTACTTCTCGATTGACCCATCCGCCTTGCGCTTGATCTTGAACACCCATTTTGTGCCAATGGCGCGTTGTCCGTTGGGCAGCTTGGCTGCACGAAACACACCGCGAAGTCGCATTGACTCGAGCTCTGCATGAATTGCTTTTCTCCAGTGCACTTGGTCAGGGCCGCTTACTGCTGCTTCAAATGTTGAGGGTTCTGATAAGTCCACTGCTGCTTCAACGGCATTTGCACTCGCACGCCAAAACACAGGCGGTGTTGAATCACCAGAATCCTTCGTTTCTTCGTCTTCTTCTTGTCGTGACGAGTTGTTTTCCGGCGCGCTTGACTCTTCTAGTCCTGGTCGTTGACGCACTGCACGCGGTCGTGGAGCTGCTGTATCTTCATCATTGAGTCGGTTCTTGCGCTTGCCTGTTTGCTTGTACTCCATTTGACGCAGCTCTTCGTCATCAAGATCCAGCAATTCGAAGTCCAGGTCATCGACATCTTCATCAGTGATCGGCAGTTGAAGTCCAAAGGTGGACTCGTCGAAGTTGACATCGCGGCTGATAACCACCTGCCCCGCCTCGATGTCATAAACACGATATGCCTTCGAAACTTCTTCGTAGCCCACGAATATGCCAGCGCGAGCCTTTGGATCCCACTTGAGTCGATTCTCTTTAGGCGTCAGTATGTATGTCTGACACCCGAATGTTCGCATGTGCTTGACGCTTGGTTTCAAGTTGTAGACGATCTCAAACGGGGTCTTGTGCACGACTTTAGGTGACGGCAGTCGATTCTTGACGTAGATGGCCGTCATCGCTGCTTCGGCCCAGAAACACTTGTCCAGTTTGGCATGATGAAGCATGCTGCGGCCGATCGTGACAATAGTCCTAATGGCACGCTCTGCTGTTCCGTTTGTTTGATGTGCATACGGCACCGTTGTCTGCTGTTCAATGCCTTCGTCTTCGTAGAACAGTTGAAGCGAGTTGGTTGCAAACTCGCGAGCTCCGTCGTGTCGCACGAACTTGACCTTCTTACAGAATTGCGTCTGTACCATGGTGATATATTTCCGGATGTAGTCTTCACTCTCGGACTTCACTCGTAGACAAAAGCCCTTCATGCATCCACTGGCTTCGTCGATGATCAGCAGCAAATATTTGCTGCCACCGAGCGAATCCTTTTCCATGGGCCCGCAGATGTCCAGATGAAGTAGCTCAAACGTATCGTAGCTGCGCTTGTCTCGGTTGCTTGGAAATGGTTTTTGGACCATTTTCCCTTGTTGACATCCTCGACATGTAGTTGCTCCACCCGACTTGAGAGGGACTCGCACATCCTTGATCATGTTGGTCGCGATCATCTTGCGAAGTACATCGACTGGAGCATGACCCATTCTCGCATGTAGATCGGCACAACTGGTTCCACTTGTTGTCACATTCGCTGATCGTTGAGTCGTCCGAAGCCAGTAGAGTCCATCCACGAGATCCGCTGTCGCCACCACTTGCTGTGAGTTCTTGAGAGTCACATACATCTTGGACCCGTCAAACACGACTTGAAACTTGCCATGGCTGTTAATCTGTGGCACCGAGAGCAGGTTCTTGCTCATACTTGGAACATATAGCGCGTTCTTGATTTCGATCTCACGCTCTTCACCGTTGGGCAGAACCACCTTTTCCATGATGGTTCCCACACCCTTGATGGCCACCTTGTTGCCATCAGCCACCAAGAGTTCGCCCTCATTGCGCTCTGCCAAACTTGCGAACTTGGTCTTGTCGTGGCAAATGTGGTGCGTTGCACCACTGTCGACGGCCCACATTCCAGACACGTCCTTGCTCGTCGAAACTCCACATTCGAACGAGACTGCAAACGCCACTCGATCGTAGCCATTGCCTTCATCATGATGTCCCCACTGGACATTGTTAGCCCCGCGTCCACGACCATTGCCGCCGCGTCGGGCTCCCCGACCTTCGTTCTTCTGCTTTGTCCAGCAACGATCCACCGTGTGTCCCACCTTGCCACAATACGTGCATTGGTAGGGCTCACGCTCGGCGCTGAATGCCTTGCTTGCATCTTCAGCCTTCACCGTAGTCGCTGTCGTTGTCCCTTTTTCTCCTTGACGCTTGGCATGCTCATTCGTCAGGACTCTCACCACATCTTGAGTGCGAAGCTCGGTGCTGCTCATTTCCATGTTGAGCACCACATTTTCGTAGCTCTTCGGAAGACTGAGTAGCAGACAAATTGCAACGTCTTCGTCTTCCATCTTCGCACCGATGCCGCTAAGCTTGGCGGAGATGTTGAGGACCTCGTTGCAGTGATGCATGACGTTCGCGCCTTCAGCCATCTTGATACTGAAAAGTTGTCGCTTGAGGTAGATGCGTCCTGCCTTCTGCGACCCACCGTACAGCGTCTTCAGACTTGTCCACGCAACCCAGGCTTCCTCGCAGTTGTCCAGCACATGATGGTAGTCCGCGTTCATGTGCAGCAGCATCATACCAAACGCGACGTTGCTTGCCTTGACGTAGTCATCGGACGCTCGCGGGTCGGTGAAAGTCGGAGTCACTTCACGGTTGACAACGTGCCAGACGGACTTCGTCAAAAACACACCGCGCATGTACCGGCTCCACGTTGCGTAATTGTCTCCGTTGAACTTGTCAATGGAGGCGTTGCTGGTGGACGACATGGCGCTTGGGCTCATAACCTGTTGCATTGTAGATCGGAGCGAGGAAAGCGGAGCAAACGGAGCGGAGAGACCGAAAGAGAGTAGAGCAGAAAACACTTGCCCAATAGTTGGAAGATTCGAAAGTGATTGATTATCGGGGCTTACTACTTACTACATGATTTATATGTGGTGTACATATAAATCATGTGAAGCGTCTCATCATCCTACGCGTCTAATCAACTATGGTAATTACCGTAAGAACTACGTCGTAAATACTAAGCTGAACAGGCGGTTCGGATTGGATCGGTCACGGTTACCAATACTGGTAGAAAACCGATGACCGTCAACACAACGCACCACATTTGCCACGACAAGACCAAGTTCGCAAGTTTGGCAGAGCGCAATGAGGGCGAACTCTTGGTGGCTGATGGCAACAAGGTGGCCATCAAGGGTGTGGGAACCATCATGGAAAAGGTGGTTCTGCCCAACGGTGAAGAGCGTGAGATCGAAATCAAGAACGCGCTATATGTTCCAAGTATGAGCAAGAACCTGCTCTCGGTGCCACAGATTAACAGCCATGGCAAGTTTCAAGTCGTGTTTGACGGGTCCAAGATGTATGTGACTCTCAAGAACTCACAGCAAGTGGTGGCGACAGCGGATCTCGTGGATGGACTCTACTGGCTTCGGACGACTCAACGATCAGCGAATGTGACAACAAGTGGAACCAGTTGTGCCGATCTACATGCGAGAATGGGTCATGCTCCAGTCGATGTACTTCGCAAGATGATCGCGACCAACATGATCAAGGATGTGCGAGTCCCTCTCAAGTCGGGTGGAGCAACTACATGTCGAGGATGTCAACAAGGGAAAATGGTCCAAAAACCATTTCCAAGCAACCGAGACAAGCGCAGCTACGATACGTTTGAGCTACTTCATCTGGACATCTGCGGGCCCATGGAAAAGGATTCGCTCGGTGGCAGCAAATATTTGCTGCTGATCATCGACGAAGCCAGTGGATGCATGAAGGGCTTTTGTCTACGAGTGAAGTCCGAGAGTGAAGACTACATCCGGAAATATATCACCATGGTACAGACGCAATTCTGTAAGAAGGTCAAGTTCGTGCGACACGACGGAGCTCGCGAGTTTGCAACCAACTCGCTTCAACTGTTCTACGAAGACGAAGGCATTGAACAGCAGACAACGGTGCCGTATGCACATCAAACAAACGGAACAGCAGAGCGTGCCATTAGGACTATTGTCACGATCGGCCGCAGCATGCTTCATCATGCCAAACTGGACAAGTGTTTCTGGGCCGAAGCAGCGATGACGGCCATCTACGTCAAGAATCGACTGCCGTCACCTAAAGTCGTGCACAAGACCCCGTTTGAGATCGTCTACAACTTGAAACCAAGCGTCAAGCACATGCGAACATTCGGGTGTCAGACATACATACTGACGCCTAAAGAGAATCGACTCAAGTGGGATCCAAAGGCTCGCGCTGGCATATTCGTGGGCTACGACGAAGTTTCGAAGGCATATCGTGTTTATGACATCGAGGCGGGGCAGGTGGTTATCAGCCGCGATGTCAACTTCGACGAGTCCACCTTTGGACTTCAACTGCCGATCACTGATGAAGATGTCGATGACCTGGACTTCGAATTGCTGGATCTTGATGACGAAGAGCTGCGTCAAATGGAGTACAAGCAAACAGGCAAGCGCAAGAACCGACTCAATGATGAAGATACAGCAGCTCCACGACCGCGTGCAGTGCGTCAACGACCAGGACTAGAAGAGTCAAGCGCGCCGGAAAACAACTCGTCACGACAAGAAGAAGACGAAGAAACGAAGGATTCTGGTGATTCAACACCGCCTGTGTTTTGGCGTGCGAGTGCAAATGCCGTTGAAGCAGCAGTGGACTTATCAGAACCCTCAACATTTGAAGCAGCAGTAAGCGGCCCTGACCAAGTGCACTGGAGAAAAGCAATTCATGCAGAGCTCGAGTCAATGCGACTTCGCGGTGTGTTTCGTGCAGCCAAGCTGCCCAACGGACAACGCGCCATTGGCACAAAATGTGATAAATTTTAGACTTCTTGGTCCGAGTGCAAAACGCAAAGTGAATATATATTTATAATAGGTACTTAGTTCGCAACTTTGAATACTACCTCTAAGCCTATTATTCGCAGTGACGTCATCCAGTGACGTCACCCACTGACGTCATGCAATGACGTCATCCAGTGACGTCATTGCCTGACTTCGCCCTTACTGGTACATACCGGTACCCACCGGTATAGCGAAGCTTGGTCTTCCACTTGCTTCAACACTTGACGCAGCTTGACGAGGTGTCTTCTTCACAGCCGCTGTCTTTTCAACACTCCCTCTCGACTCGTTAGCTGCGGCACCTTGTGTTGACGGTCATCGGTTTTCTACCAGTATTGGTAACCGTGACCGATCCAATCCGAACCGCCTGTTCAGCTTAGTATTTACGACGTAGTTCTTACGGTAATTACCATAGTTGATTAGACGCGTAGGATGATGAGACGCTTCACATGATTTATATGTACACCACATATAAATCATGTAGTAAGTAGTAAGCCCCGATAATCAATCACTTTCGAATCTTCCAACTATTGGGCAAGTGTTTTCTGCTCTACTCTCTTCGGTCTCTCCGCTCCGTTCGCTCCGCTTTCCTCGCTCCGGTCTACAATGCAACAGGTTATGAGCCCAAGCGCCATGTCGTCTACCAGCAACGCCTCCATTGACAAGTTCAACGGAGACAATTACGCAACGTGGAGCCGGTACATGCGCGGTGTGTTTTTGACGAAGTCCGTCTGGCACGTTGTCAACCGTGAAGTGACTCCGACTTTCACCGACCCGCGAGCGTCCGATGACTCCGTCAAGGCAAGCAACGTCGCGTTTGGTATGATGCTGCTGCACATGAACGCGGACTACCATCATGTGCTGGACAACTGCGAGGAAGCCTGGGTTGCGTGGACAAGTCTGAAGACGCTGTACGGTGGGTCGCAGAAGGCAGGACGCATCTACCTCAAGCGACAACTTTTCAGTATCAAGATGGCTGAAGGCGCGAACGTCATGCATCACTGCAACGAGGTCCTCAACATCTCCGCCAAGCTTAGCGGCATCGGTGCGAAGATGGAAGACGAAGACGTTGCGATCTGTCTGCTACTCAGTCTTCCGAAGAGCTACGAAAATGTGGTGCTCAACATGGAAATGAGCAGCACCGAGCTTCGCACTCAAGATGTGGTGAGAGTCCTGACGAATGAGCATGCCAAGCGTCAAGGAGAAAAAGGGACAACGACAGCGACTACGCTGAAGGCTGAAGATGCAATCAAGGCATTCAGCGCCGAGCGTGAGCCTTACCAATGCACATATTGTGGCAAGGTGGGACACACGGTGGATCGTTGCTGGACAAAGCAGAAGAACGAAGGTCGGGGAGCCCGACGCGGCGGCAATGGTCGTGGACGCGGGGCTAACAATGTCCAGTGGGGACATCATGATGAAGGCAATGGCTACGATCGAGTGGCGTTTGCAGTCTCGTTCGAATGTGGAGTTTCGACGAGCAAGGACGTGTCTGGAATGTGGGCCGTCGACAGTGGTGCAACGCACCACATTTGCCACGACAAGACCAAGTTCGCAAGTTTGGCAGAGCGCAATGAGGGCGAACTCTTGGTGGCTGATGGCAACAAGGTGGCCATCAAGGGTGTGGGAACCATCATGGAAAAGGTGGTTCTGCCCAACGGTGAAGAGCGTGAGATCGAAATCAAGAACGCGCTATATGTTCCAAGTATGAGCAAGAACCTGCTCTCGGTGCCACAGATTAACAGCCATGGCAAGTTTCAAGTCGTGTTTGACGGGTCCAAGATGTATGTGACTCTCAAGAACTCACAGCAAGTGGTGGCGACAGCGGATCTCGTGGATGGACTCTACTGGCTTCGGACGACTCAACGATCAGCGAATGTGACAACAAGTGGAACCAGTTGTGCCGATCTACATGCGAGAATGGGTCATGCTCCAGTCGATGTACTTCGCAAGATGATCGTGTTGACGGTCATCGGTTTTCTACCAGTATTGGTAACCGTGACCGATCCAATCCGAACCGCCTGTTCAGCTTAGTATTTACGACGTAGTTCTTACGGTAATTACCATAGTTGATTAGACGCGTAGGATGATGAGACGCTTCACATGATTTATATGTACACCACATATAAATCATGTAGTAAGTAGTAAGCCCCGATAATCAATCACTTTCGAATCTTCCAACTATTGGGCAAGTGTTTTCTGCTCTACTCTCTTCGGTCTCTCCGCTCCGTTTGCTCCGCTTTCCTCGCTCCGATCTACAATGCAACAGGTTATGAGCCCAAGCGCCATGTCGTCCACCAGCAACGCCTCCATTGACAAGTTCAACGGAGACAATTACGCAACGTGGAGCCGGTACATGCGCGGTGTGTTTTTGACGAAGTCCGTCTGGCACGTTGTCAACCGTGAAGTGACTCCGACTTTCACCGACCCGCGAGCGTCCGATGACTACGTCAAGGCAAGCAACGTCGCGTTTGGTATGATGCTGCTGCACATGAACGCGGACTACCATCATGTGCTGGACAACTGCGAGGAAGCCTGGGTTGCGTGGACAAGTCTGAAGACGCTGTACGGTGGGTCGCAGAAGGCAGGACGCATCTACCTCAAGCGACAACTTTTCAGTATCAAGATGGCTGAAGGCGCGAACGTCATGCATCACTGCAACGAGGTCCTCAACATCTCCGCCAAGCTTAGCGGCATCGGTGCGAAGATGGAAGACGAAGACGTTGCAATTTGTCTGCTACTCAGTCTTCCGAAGAGCTACGAAAATGTGGTGCTCAACATGGAAATGAGCAGCACCGAGCTTCGCACTCAAGATGTGGTGAGAGTCCTGACGAATGAGCATGCCAAGCGTCAAGGAGAAAAAGGGACAACGACAGCGACTACGGTGAAGGCTGAAGATGCAAGCAAGGCATTCAGCGCCGAGCGTGAGCCCTACCAATGCACGTATTGTGGCAAGGTGGGACACACGGTGGATCGTTGCTGGACAAAGCAGAAGAACGAAGGTCGGGGAGCCCGACGCGGCGGCAATGGTCGTGGACGCGGGGCTAACAATGTCCAGTGGGGACATCATGATGAAGGCAATGGCTACGATCGAGTGGCGTTTGCAGTCTCGTTCGAATGTGGAGTTTCGACGAGCAAGGACGTGTCTGGAATGTGGGCCGTCGACAGTGGTGCAACGCACCACATTTGCCACGACAAGACCAAGTTCGCAAGTTTGGCAGAGCGCAATGAGGGCGAACTCTTGGTGGCTGATGGCAACAAGGTGGCCATCAAGGGTGTGGGAACCATCATGGAAAAGGTGGTTCTGCCCAACGGTGAAGAGCGTGAGATCGAAATCAAGAACGCGCTATATGTTCCAAGTATGAGCAAGAACCTGCTCTCGGTGCCACAGATTAACAGCCATGGCAAGTTTCAAGTCGTGTTTGACGGGTCCAAGATGTATGTGACTCTCAAGAACTCACAGCAAGTGGTGGCGACAGCGGATCTCGTGGATGGACTCTACTGGCTTCGGACGACTCAACGATCAGCGAATGTGACAACAAGTGGAACCAGTTGTGCCGATCTACATGCGAGAATGGGTCATGCTCCAGTCGATGTACTTCGCAAGATGATCGCGACCAACATGATCAAGGATGTGCGAGTCCCTCTCAAGTCGGGTGGAGCAACTACATGTCGAGGATGTCAACAAGGGAAAATGGTCCAAAAACCATTTCCAAGCAACCGAGACAAGCGCAGCTACGATACGTTTGAGCTACTTCATCTGGACATCTGCGGGCCCATGGAAAAGGATTCGCTCGGTGGCAGCAAATATTTGCTGCTGATCATCGACGAAGCCAGTGGATGCATGAAGGGCTTTTGTCTACGAGTGAAGTCCGAGAGTGAAGACTACATCCGGAAATATATCACCATGGTACAGACGCAATTCTGTAAGAAGGTCAAGTTCGTGCGACACGACGGAGCTCGCGAGTTTGCAACCAACTCGCTTCAACTGTTCTACGAAGACGAAGGCATTGAACAGCAGACAACGGTGCCGTATGCACATCAAACAAACGGAACAGCAGAGCGTGCCATTAGGACTATTGTCACGATCGGCCGCAGCATGCTTCATCATGCCAAACTGGACAAGTGTTTCTGGGCCGAAGCAGCGATGACGGCCATCTACGTCAAGAATCGACTGCCGTCACCTAAAGTCGTGCACAAGACCCCGTTTGAGATCGTCTACAACTTGAAACCAAGCGTCAAGCACATGCGAACATTCGGGTGTCAGACATACATACTGACGCCTAAAGAGAATCGACTCAAGTGGGATCCAAAGGCTCGCGCTGGCATATTCGTGGGCTACGAAGAAGTTTCGAAGGCATATCGTGTTTATGACATCGAGGCGGGGCAGGTGGTTATCAGCCGCGATGTCAACTTCGACGAGTCCACCTTTGGACTTCAACTGCCGATCACTGATGAAGATGTCGATGACCTGGACTTCGAATTGCTGGATCTTGATGACGAAGAGCTGCGTCAAATGGAGTACAAGCAAACAGGCAAGCGCAAGAACCGACTCAATGATGAAGATACAGCAGCTCCACGACCGCGTGCAGTGCGTCAACGACCAGGACTAGAAGAGTCAAGCGCGCCGGAAAACAACTCGTCACGACAAGAAGAAGACGAAGAAACGAAGGATTCTGGTGATTCAACACCGCCTGTGTTTTGGCGTGCGAGTGCAAATGCCGTTGAAGCAGCAGTGGACTTATCAGAACCCTCAACATTTGAAGCAGCAGTAAGCGGCCCTGACCAAGTGCACTGGAGAAAAGCAATTCATGCAGAGCTCGAGTCAATGCGACTTCGCGGTGTGTTTCGTGCAGCCAAGCTGCCCAACGGACAACGCGCCATTGGCACAAAATGGGTGTTCAAGATCAAGCGCAAGGCGGATGGGTCAATCGAGAAGTACAAGGCACGACTTGTGGCCAAGGGTTTCCGCCAAAAGTATGGCATCGACTACACGGAGACGTTTTCGCCTGTGGTCAAGTATGTGACGCTGCGAATGGTGATCGCAATTTCCAAGCATTTTGGATGGCCCATCGACCAGCTTGATGTGGTGACAGCTTTCCTGTATGGCGTCATGAAGGAACAAGTGTTCTGCGTGATTCCTGAAGGCGTCGAACTTGACAGTACGTTCGACTGCCTGGAATTGGTGAAGTCAATTTACGGCCTCAAGCAAGCGTCGCGAGTGTGGAACGAGACGTTCGACGAGTATGTGTGCTCCATCGGATTTCAAGTATCGGACTTCGACCCATGTCTCTACATCAAGACTTCGGACGGCCATTGCGTGTTTATACTGGTCTACGTGGACGACGTCTTGGTGACTGGAAGCTCGCTCGAGCTGATTGCACAAACCAAGAACGACCTGAAGACGCGGTTCGAAATGACGGACAGCGGCAAGTGTGCGTTTGTTCTTGGGATCGAGCTTTTGGACGGTGAAGATGGCAGTGTGACACTTTGTCAGCGTCGGTATGTCGATGATATCCTCAAGCGCTTTGGCATGGATGATTGCAAGGCAGTCGCAAGTCCAGTCGACATGAGCTCTCGACTTGTTTCAAGTGATGCAACTACCAAGGTCGATGCTCCTTTTCGCGAAGCTGTTGGTGCGTTGATGCACCTGACCACTGCAACGCGTCCGGACATTGCGTTTGCTGTGGGCTATGTGTCGCGGTTCATGGAAAATCCCCAAGAAGAACACTGGGTTGCAGTTAAGCGTATCTTTCGCTACCTACAAGGCACCAAGACGCATGGAATTTGCTACAAGCCAAGTGCAAGGATCGACTTCCGTGGATATTCGGATGCGGATTGGGCTGGTGATCTTACCGACCGCAAGTCAACATCGGGGTACACGTTCATGCTACTCGGTGCGCCAGTCAGTTGGGGCAGCAAGAAGCAGCCAAGTGTTTCGTTGTCCACGAGTGAAGCCGAATACATCGCACTCAGCTTGGCGATTCAAGAGGGCAAGTGGATTCATCGTCTGCTTTGTGAGATCGTGATGGCTGCCAATGAAGAAGGACCGGAACTCATGATCCATGAAGACAATCAGTCGTGTATCAAGATGACGAAGAACCCAGTCAACCACGGCCGTGCCAAGCACATTGATATCAAGTACCATCACATCCGTGATGAGGTCAAGCGCGGTGAAGTGAAGCTCAAGTACTGTGAAACTGCGGTGATGTTAGCGGACATCATGACGAAGGGACTTCACGGGCCACGCCACAAGGAGATGACGGCGACTCTCGGGATTCGTGAGCATTCGGATTGAGGGGGCGTGTTGACGGTCATCGGTTTTCTACCAGTATTGGTAACCGTGACCGATCCAATCCGAACCGCCTGTTCAGCTTAGTATTTACGACGTAGTTCTTACGGTAATTACCATAGTTGATTAGACGCGTAGGATGATGAGACGCTTCACATGATTTATATGTACACCACATATAAATCATGTAGTAAGTAGTAAGCCCCGATAATCAATCACTTTCGAATCTTCCAACTATTGGGCAAGTGTTTTCTGCTCTACTCTCTTCGGTCTCTCCGCTCCGTTTGCTCCGCTTTCCTCGCTCCGATCTACATTGCAACACCTCTCAAGTCGGGTGGAGCAACTACATGTCGAGGATGTCAACAAGGGAAAATGGTCCAAAAACCATTTCCAAGCAACCGAGACAAGCGCAGCTACGATACGTTTGAGCTACTTCATCTGGACATCTGCGGGCCCATGGAAAAGGATTCGCTCGGTGGCAGCAAATATTTGCTGCTGATCATCGACGAAGCCAGTGGATGCATGAAGGGCTTTTGTCTGCGAGTGAAGTCCGAGAGTGAAGACTACATCCGGAAATATATCACCATGGTACAGACGCAATTCTGTAAGAAGGTCAAGTTCGTGCGACACGACGGAGCTCGCGAGTTTGCAACCAACTCGCTTCAACTGTTCTACGAAGACGAAGGCATTGAACAGCAGACAACGGTGCCGTATGCACATCAAACAAACGGAACAGCAGAGCGTGCCATTAGGACTATTGTCACGATCGGCCGCAGCATGCTTCATCATGCCAAACTGGACAAGTGTTTCTGGGCCGAAGCAGCGATGACGGCCATCTACGTCAAGAATCGACTGCCGTCACCTAAAGTCGTGCACAAGACCCCGTTTGAGATCGTCTACAACTTGAAACCAAGCGTCAAGCACATGCGAACATTCGGGTGTCAGACATACATACTGACGCCTAAAGAGAATCGACTCAAGTGGGATCCAAAGGCTCGCGCTGGCATATTCGTGGGCTACGAAGAAGTTTCGAAGGCATATCGTGTTTATGACATCGAGGCGGGGCAGGTGGTTATCAGCCGCGATGTCAACTTCGACGAGTCCACCTTTGGACTTCAACTGCCGATCACTGATGAAGATGTCGATGACCTGGACTTCGAATTGCTGGATCTTGATGACGAAGAGCTGCGTCAAATGGAGTACAAGCAAACAGGCAAGCGCAAGAACCGACTCAATGATGAAGATACAGCAGCTCCACGACCGCGTGCAGTGCGTCAACGACCAGGACTAGAAGAGTCAAGCGCGCCGGAAAACAACTCGTCACGACAAGAAGAAGACGAAGAAACGAAGGATTCTGGTGATTCAACACCGCCTGTGTTTTGGCGTGCGAGTGCAAATGCCGTTGAAGCAGCAGTGGACTTATCAGAACCCTCAACATTTGAAGCAGCAGTAAGCGGCCCTGACCAAGTGCACTGGAGAAAAGCAATTCATGCAGAGCTCGAGTCAATGCGACTTCGCGGTGTGTTTCGTGCAGCCAAGCTGCCCAACGGACAACGCGCCATTGGCACAAAATGGGTGTTCAAGATCAAGCGCAAGGCGGATGGGTCAATCGAGAAGTACAAGGCACGACTTGTGGCCAAGGGTTTCCGCCAAAAGTATGGCATCGACTACACGGAGACGTTTTCGCCTGTGGTCAAGTATGTGACGCTGCGAATGGTGATCGCAATTTCCAAGCATTTTGGATGGCCCATCGACCAGCTTGATGTGGTTGTAAGAATTAGGAGTTAAGTAAAGTAAATGACTTGTATATTACCGCGCACCAGACGCGTTTCGGCCCCCCCGCCGGGTGCCTCATCAGTGGTTTGTCAATCTACAAGTGAGAACTATCCATACGTCTAGCTGCCGTACGACCTATAATAATGCATAGAACCCTAAAGAACATTCTAGACATACCCTATCATGGGTCGAATCTCTGGAGTCGAATCCAGTGCATCATGCACTTACAACACTCCCCCTCGACGACATGAGATGCAGACCACTTTGGTATCGACCCGCCTGTAATCCTCACTGCTGCATCCGTGCACCATGGGAATCTTGATTGAGTCTTGCCCCTGCGCTCCAGCCAACCTCGATGATACCGAGCGTTCCAGGTATTCCAGCTCCCCCATCGTCCAGCACCATGTCACATCTTGACATCTCGTAGTCGTCGTTCGCCTTGCATGTAGTTTCCACTTCTTCTTGACCACAAATACACTTGTCACCACTTGACTTGACTCTTCCTTCGATAGCACTCGCGCATTCAGACCATCTCGCGTCACCACCCTTGCACAAACCCTTTTCGACTGCACGCGCACCGTCAACGATCCCTGTCGATGAATTCTTCGGCGCCTTACTCGTGCATCGAGCGCCTTCTCTGACGGGGTGTCCCTCGCACAAGTTGGTCCTTGGTGAGGTGTCTGCAGCGAGCACTTGGGCTCATAACCTGTAAGAAGTAGGAGTTAAGTAAAGTAAATGACTTGTATATTACCGCGCACCAGACGCGTTTCGGCCCCCCGCCGGGGGCCTCATCAGTGGTTTGTCAATCTACAAGTGAGAACTATCCATACGTCTAGCTGCCGTACGACCTATGATAATGCATAGAACCCTAAAGAACATTCTAGACATACCCTATCATGGGTCGAATCTCTGGAGTCGAATCCAGTGCATCATGCACTTACAACAGTGGTGACAGCTTTCCTGTATGGCGTCATGAAGGAACAAGTGTTCTGCGTGATTCCTGAAGGCGTCGAACTTGACAGTACGTTCGACTGTCTGGAATTGGCGAAGGCACTTTACGGCCTGAAGCAAGCTTTGCGAGTATGGAACGAGACTTTTGACGAGTTTGTGTGTTCCATTGGATTTCAAGTGTCAGGCTTCGACCCATGTCTCTACATCAAGACTTCGGACGGCCATTGCGTGTTTATACTGGTCTACGTGGACGACGTCTTGGTGACTGGAAGCTCGCTCGCGCTGATTGCACAAACCAAGAACGACCTGAAGACGCGGTTCGAAATGACGGACAGCGGCAAGTGTGCGTTTGTTCTTGGGATCGAGCTTTTGGACGGTGAAGATGGCAGTGTGACACTATGTCAGCGTCGGTATGTCGATGATATCCTCAAGCGCTTTGGCATGGATGATTGCAAGGCAGTCGCAAGTCCAGTCGACATGAGCTCTCGACTTGTTTCAAGTGATGCAACTACCAAGGTCGATGCTCCTTTTCGCGAAGCTGTTGGTGCGTTGATGCACCTGACCACTGCAACGCGTCCGGACATTGCGTTTGCTGTGGGCTATGTGTCGCGGTTCATGGAAAATCCCCAAGAAGAACACTGGGTTGCAGTTAAGCGTATCTTTCGCTACCTACAAGGCACCAAGACGCATGGAATTTGCTACAAGCCAAGTGCAAGGATCGACTTCCGTGGATATTCGGATGCGGATTGGGCTGGTGATCTTACCGACCGCAAGTCAACATCGGGGTACACGTTCATGCTACTCGGTGCGCCAGTCAGTTGGGGCAGCAAGAAGCAGCCAAGTGTTTCGTTGTCCACGAGTGAAGCCGAATACATCGCACTCAGCTTGGCGATTCAAGAGGGCAAGTGGATTCATCGTCTGCTTTGTGAGATCGTGATGGCTGCCAATGAAGAAGGACCGGAACTCATGATCCATGAAGACAATCAGTCGTGTATCAAGATGACGAAGAACCCAGTCAACCACGGCCGTGCCAAGCACATTGATATCAAGTACCATCACATCCGTGATGAGGTTGTTGACGGTCATCGGTTTTCTACCAGTATTGGTAACCGTGACCGATCCAATCCGAACCGCCTGTTCAGCTTAGTATTTACGACGTAGTTCTTACGGTAATTACCATAGTTGATTAGACGCGTAGGATGATGAGACGCTTCACATGATTTATATGTACACCACATATAAATCATGTAGTAAGTAGTAAGCCCCGATAATCAATCACTTTCGAATCTTCCAACTATTGGGCAAGTGTTTTCTGCTCTACTCTCTTCGGTCTCTCCGCTCCGTTCGCTCCGCTTTCCTCGGTCCGATCTACAATGCAACACTCTCATTTCCATGTTGAGCACCACATTTTCGTAGCTCTTCGGAAGACTGAGTAGCAGACAAATTGCAACGTCTTCGTCTTCCATCTTCGCACCGATGCCGCTAAGCTTGGCGGAGATGTTGAGGACCTCGTTGCAGTGATGCATGACGTTCGCGCCTTCAGCCATCTTGATACTGAAAAGTTGTCGCTTGAGGTAGATGCGTCCTGCCTTCTGCGACCCACCGTACAGCGTCTTCAGACTTGTCCACGCAACCCAGGCTTCCTCGCAGTTGTCCAGCACATGATGGTAGTCCGCGTTCATGTGCAGCAGCATCATACCAAACGCGACGTTGCTTGCCTTGACGTAGTCATCGGACGCTCGCGGGTCGGTGAAAGTCGGAGTCACTTCACGGTTGACAACGTGCCAGACGGACTTCGTCAAAAACACACCGCGCATGTACCGGCTCCACGTTGCGTAATTGTCTCCGTTGAACTTGTCAATGGAGGCGTTGCTGGTGGACGACATGGCGCTTGGGCTCATAACCTGTTGCATTGTAGATCGGAGCGAGGAAAGCGGAGCGAACGGAGCGGAGAGACCGAAGAGAGTAGAGCAGAAAACACTTGCCCAATAGTTGGAAGATTCGAAAGTGATTGATTATCGGGGCTTACTACTTACTACATGATTTATATGTGGTGTACATATAAATCATGTGAAGCGTCTCATCATCCTACGCGTCTAATCAACTATGGTAATTACCGTAAGAACTACGTCGTAAATACTAAGCTGAACAGGCGGTTCGGATTGGATCGGTCACGGTTACCAATACTGGTAGAAAACCGATGACCGTCAACAAGCAGCACCGAGCTTCGCACTCAAGATGTGGTGAGAGTCCTGACGAATGAGCATGCCAAGCGTCAAGGAGAAAAAGGGACAACGACAGCGACTACGGTGAAGGCTGAAGATGCAAGCAAGGCATTCAGCGCCGAGCGTGAGCCCTACCAATGCACGTATTGTGGCAAGGTGGGACACACGGTGGATCGTTGCTGGACAAAGCAGAAGAACGAAGGTCGGGGAGCCCGACGCGGCGGCAATGGTCGTGGACGCGGGGCTAACAATGTCCAGTGGGGACATCATGATGAAGGTAATGGCTACGATCGAGTGGCGTTTGCAGTCTCGTTCGAATGTGGAGTTTCGACGAGCATGGACGTGTCTGGAATGTGGGCCGTCGACAGTGGTGCAACGCACCACATTTGCCACGACAAGACCAAGTTCGCAAGTTTGGCAGAGCGCAATGAGGGCGAACTCTTGGTGGCTGATGGCAACAAGGTGGCCATCAAGGGTGTGGGAACCATAATGGAAAAGGTGGTTCTGCCCAACGGTGAAGAGCGTGAGATCAAAATCAAGAACGCACTATATGTTCCAAGTATGAGCAAGAACCTGCTCTCGGTGCCACAGATTAACAGCCATGGCAAGTTTCAAGTCGTGTTTGACGGGTCCAAGATGTATGTGACTCTCAAGAACTCACAGCAAGTGGTGGCGACAGCGGATCTCGTGGATGGACTCTACTGGCTTCGGACGACTCAACGATCAGCGAATGTGACAACAAGTGGAACCAGTTGTACCGATCTACATGCGAGAATGGGTCATGCTCCAGTCGATGTACTTCGCAAGATGATCGCGACCAACATGATCAAGGATGTGCGAGTCCCTCTCAAGTCGGGTGGAGCAACTACATGTCGAGGATGTCAACAAGGGAAAATGGTCCAAAAACCATTTCCAAGCAACCGAGACAAGCGCAGCTACGATACGTTTGAGCTACTTCATCTGGACATCTGCGGGCCCATGGAAAAGGATTCGCTCGGTGGCAGCAAATATTTGCTGCTGATCATCGACGAAGCCAGTGGATGCATGAAGGGCTTTTGTCTACGAGTGAAGTCCGAGAGTGAAGACTACATCCGGAAATATATCACCATGGTACAGACGCAATTCTGTAAGAAGGTCAAGTTCGTGCGACACGACGGAGCTCGCGAGTTTGCAACCAACTCGCTTCAACTGTTCTACGAAGACGAAGGCATTGAACAGCAGACAACGGTGCCGTATGCACATCAAACAAACGGAACAGCAGAGCGTGCCATTAGGACTATTGTCACGATCGGCCGCAGCATGCTTCATCATGCCAAACTGGACAAGTGTTTCTGGGCCGAAGCAGCGATGACGGCCATCTACGTCAAGAATCGACTGCCGTCACCTAAAGTCGTGCACAAGACCCCGTTTGAGATCGTCTACAACTTGAAACCAAGCGTCAAGCACATGCGAACATTCGGGTGTCAGACATACATACTGACGCCTAAAGAGAATCGACTCAAGTGGGATCCAAAGGCTCGCGCTGGCATATTCGTGGGCTACGAAGAAGTTTCGAAGGCATATCGTGTTTATGACATCGAGGCGGGGCAGGTGGTTATCAGCCGCGATGTCAACTTCGACGAGTCCACCTTTGGACTTCAACTGCCGATCACTGATGAAGATGTCGATGACCTGGACTTCGAATTGCTGGATCTTGATGACGAAGAGCTGCGTCAAATGGAGTACAAGCAAACAGGCAAGCGCAAGAACCGACTCAATGATGAAGATACAGCAGCTCCACGACCGCGTGCAGTGCGTCAACGACCAGGACTAGAAGAGTCAAGCGCGCCGGAAAACAACTCGTCACGACAAGAAGAAGACGAAGAAACGAAGGATTCTGGTGATTCAACACCGCCTGTGTTTTGGCGTGCGAGTGCAAATGCCGTTGAAGCAGCAGTGGACTTATCAGAACCCTCAACATTTGAAGCAGCAGTAAGCGGCCCTGACCAAGTGCACTGGAGAAAAGCAATTCATGCAGAGCTCGAGTCAATGCGACTTCGCGGTGTGTTTCGTGCAGCCAAGCTGCCCAACGGACAACGCGCCATTGGCACAAAATGGGTGTTCAAGATCAAGCGCAAGGCGGATGGGTCAATCGAGAAGTACAAGGCACGACTTGTGGCCAAGGGTTTCCGCCAAAAGTATGGCATCGACTACACGGAGACGTTTTCGCCTGTGGTCAAGTATGTGACGCTGCGAATGGTGATCGCAATTTCCAAGCATTTTGGATGGCCCATCGACCAGCTTGATGTGGTGACAGCTTTCCTGTATGGCGTCATGAAGGAACAAGTGTTCTGCGTGATTCCTGAAGGCGTCGAACTTGACAGTACGTTCGACTGCCTGGAATTGGTGAAGTCAATTTACGGCCTCAAGCAAGCGTCGCGAGTGTGGAACGAGACGTTCGACGAGTATGTGTGCTCCATCGGATTTCAAGTATCGGACTTCGACCCATGTCTCTACATCAAGACTTCGGACGGCCATTGCGTGTTTATACTGGTCTACGTGGACGACGTCTTGGTGACTGGAAGCTCACTCGAGCTGATTGCACAAACCAAGAACGACCTGAAGACGCGGTTCGAAATGACGGACAGCGGCAAGTGTGCGTTTGTTCTTGGGATCGAGCTTTTGGACGGTGAAGATGGCAGTGTGACACTATGTCAGCGTCGGTATGTCGATGATATCCTCAAGCGCTTTGGCATGGATGATTGCAAGGCAGTCGCAAGTCCAGTCGACATGAGCTCTCGACTTGTTTCAAGTGATGCAACTACCAAGGTCGATGCTCCTTTTCGCGAAGCTGTTGGTGCGTTGATGCACCTGACCACTGCAACGCGTCCGTACATTGCGTTTGCTGTGGGCTATGTGTCGCGGTTCATGGAAAATCCCCAAGAAGAACACTGGGTTGCAGTTAAGCGTATCTTTCGCTACCTACAAGGCACCAAGACGCATGGAATTTGCTACAAGCCAAGTGCAAGGATCGACTTCCGTGGATATTCGGATGCGGATTGGGCTGGTGATCTTACCGACCGCAAGTCAACATCGGGGTACACGTTCATGCTACTCGGTGCGCCAGTCAGTTGGGGCAGCAAGAAGCAGCCAAGTGTTTCGTTGTCCACGAGTGAAGCCGAATACATCGCACTCAGCTTGGCGATTCAAGAGGGCAAGTGGATTCATCGTCTGCTTTGTGAGATCGTGATGGCTGCCAATGAAGAAGGACCGGAACTCATGATTCATGAAGACAATCAGTCATGTATCAAGATGACGAAGAACCCAGTCAACCACGGCCGTGCCAAGCACATTGATATCAAGTACCATCACATCCGTGATGAGGTCAAGCGCGGTGAAGTGAAGCTCAAGTACTGTGAAACTGCGGTGATGTTAGCGGACATCATGACGAAGGGACTTCATGGACCACGCCACAAGGAGATGACGACGGCTCTCGGGATTCGTGAGCATTCGGATTGAGGGGCGTGTTGACGGTCATCGGTTTTCTACCAGTATTGGTAACCGTGACCGATCCAATCCGAACCGCCTGTTCAGCTTAGTATTTACGACGTAGTTCTTACGGTAATTACCATAGTTGATTAGACGCGTAGGATGATGAGACGCTTCACATGATTTATATGTACACCACATATAAATCATGTAGTAAGTAGTAAGTCCCGATAATCAATCACTTTCGAATCTTCCAACTATTGGGCAAGTGTTTTCTGCTCTACTCTCTTCGGTCTCTCCGCTCCGTTCGCTCCGCTTTCCTCGCTCCGATCTACAATGCAACAGAGGTCAAGCGCGGTGAAGTGAAGCTCAAGTACTGTGAAACTGCGGTGATGTTAGCGGACATCATGACGAAGGGACTTCACGGGCCACGCCACAAGGAGATGACGGCGACTCTCGGGATTCGTGAGCATTCGGATTGAGGGGGCGTGTTGACGGTCATCGGTTTTCTACCAGTATTGGTAACCGTGACCGATCCAATCCGAACCGCCTGTTCAGCTTAGTATTTACGACGTAGTTCTTACGGTAATTACCATAGTTGATTAGACGCGTAGGATGATGAGACGCTTCACATGATTTATATGTACACCACATATAAATCATGTAGTAAGTAGTAAGTCCCGATAATCAATCACTTTCGAATCTTCCAACTATTGGGCAAGTGTTTTCTGCTCTACTCTCTTCGGTCTCTCCGCTCCGTTCGCTCCGCTTTCCTCGCTCCGGTCTACAATGCAACACCTTGGATCCCAAGTCGATCGCGAATGTTTTCAAATTGTACAGCGGCGATCGGCTTGGTCATCATGTCTGCCAGCATATCTTGAGTCGGGCAATACTCCAAAACGACTTCACCTGATTCCACCTTCTCACGCACAAAATGGTAGCGTATGTCGATGTGTTTTGTTCTCTTATGGAACTCCGGGTTCTTGGCGAGAGCGATTGATCCTTGGTTGTCTTCATACATCTTGATCGCTTCGTCGCTTGTCATCTCACCAAGTTCCCCCAAAAGCACTTTGAGCCATACTGCTTCTTTGGTTGCTTCGGAAAGCGCCATGTATTCTGCTTCTGTTGAAGATAGCGCGACCGTCCGTTGTTTCTGGCTTTTCCAGCTGATGCATCCTCCGCTCATCATGAACACATAGCCGCTTGTACTTCGTCTTGACTCAATGTCGCCGGCCCAGTCTGCGTCGGTGTACCCGCAGATACGGCTTCCTTCTTCACGTGTAAACTCAAGACCATGATTGGGCGTTGCTTGCAGGTATCTCAGCACACGCTTCAAAGCTTGCCAGTGAGTCGGGCATGGGTCGGACGAGAACTGGGATAATGATCCCACTGCAGCAGCTAGATCCGGACGTGTGGCGACCATGAGATACATGATGCCTCCGACAGCACTTCGATATGGCACGTTGCACATGGTGTCTTCGTGCTTGCATTCTTGTTCACACATGTTCTTGGTTAGCTTCAGGCCGGGATCTTGAGGCGTCTTCACTGGCTTGCTGTTATCCATTCCGAACTTGGTTAACACGGACTTGAGAAACTTGGTTTGTTGTACAGTCACCATTCCCGTCTTACGGTCGTTCTTGATCTCCATGCCGAGAAAGTAATCGAGCTCACCGAGATCCGTCATTTCGAAGCGTTTGCTCAGCGCCATCTTGGTTGACTTTGTTGAAAAGACAGCAGCTGTGAAGAAGACACCTCGTCAAGCTGCGTCAAGTGTTGAAGCAAGTGGAAGACCAAGCTTCGCTATACCGGTGGGTACCGGTATGTACCAGTAAGGGCGAAGTCAGGAAATGACGTCACTGGATGACGTCATTGCATGACGTCAGTGGGTGACGTCAGTGGGTGACGTCACTGGATGACGTCACTGCGAATAATAGGCTTAGAGGTAGTATTCAAAGTTGCGAACTAAGTACCTATTATAAATATATATTTACTTTGCGTTTTGCACTCGGACCAAGAAGTCTAAAGTTCATCAGGTTATGAGCCCAAGTTCGTCAGACTCTGAAACCGCCAACAATTCAAGCTTAGCTGCCATGGACGCCTCCTCCCTCCGCATCTCCAAGTTCGATGGAACTAACTTCCACGCCTGGAAGTTCAAGATGCAGATGGTGCTGGAGGAACGGGACATATGGGAGGTCGTCAGCGGTGAGATCAAGGCGGAACAGTGCGAGACTCAGTTGGACCAAGCGACGTACAAGAGGAAGTCAAGAAAGGCGATGGCAGTGATCTGTCTAGCCATGGAAGATTCCCAGCTACCGTTGGTCCGGTCGGCAAGTGGTGCATGCGACGCATGGTCAAGGTTGGAAGACCACTTCGAGAAGAAGAGTCTTGCCAACAAGCTGTTCTTGCGCCGTCGCTTCTTCACGACAATGATGGAAGAAGGCGACGATGTGCTCGAACACATCAACAAGCTCAAGACGCTGGCGGAACAGCTAGAAGCGGTGGGGGCTCCAGTCTGCGAGGACGATCTGGTGATCACACTCCTCGGCAGCCTGAGTGACTCGTATCAATTCTTGATCACAGCTTTGGAGTCGCGCTCAGACACTCTTAGCTGGGAGCTCGTGACGTCTCGACTGCTTCATGAAGAAATGAAGCGGAAGGAGCAAGGAAGTAAAGGTGATGAAGCTTCGCAAGGTCAAGCGTTCATCACAAGGGACAATCAGCGCAAAGGGCGACCAGTGAAGAAGTCCTGGCCGTGCCACAATTGCGGAAAGATTGGTCACTGGATGGCGGAGTGCCCCTCGCGCATCCAAGAAAACACGGAGAGACACCGGCCACAGCGTGCTCAAGACAGCGGCGACCGCTATCGATCACAACGTGCAAACGTCGCTCAAGAAGAAGACTCGGGCGACTACCTCTTTTCGATCGGTGAAACGACATCTGCGAAATCGAGCGACATCTGGCTGGTCGACTCCGGGGCGACGCAGCACATGACGTGCTCCAAGAAGTTCATGCGGAACTACAAGGGGTTTGACGCTGTGGATGTCCATCTCGCGGATGATGGAATCGTCCAAGCAATCGGCAGTGGGGACATTGTCATGTCGATGAAGACACCCCCAAGGGATGAAGAAAGGTGTGCTCACAAACGTGTGGCACATCCCAAAGTTATCCAGAAACCTGTTCTCGGTCGGCCGCTTCACCAAGGATGTCGGCCCAGTGACGTTCACGAAGGATGGGTGCTATGGAGAAGCGAAAGGGACCAAGTGGAAAATTGGTGCCCGTGAAGGTAAAGGACTGTTCAAGCTGCAAATGACTCCAGTGGCGCCGGAACAAGCAAATGCAGCCAAGTCGTCGGGATGTCAAGGGGGCACCAAGTCGTACCTCTGGCACCTTCGGCTTGGCCACATAGGTCACGATGGACTCAATTGCATCGTGACGAAGAACATTGAATTGGCATCGACATATCTTCGGTGAAGAAGTGGGACGTGTGTGAAGGTTGTGCTCTGGGAAAACAGACTCGAGTGCGCTTCCAATCAAACACTACAGCTCGCACCTCCAAACTCCTCGAAGTGATTCACAGCGACGTATGCGGACCGATGTCGATGGCAACTTTCAGTGGAAAACGGTACTTCGTGACATTCATTGATGACAAGTCAAGATACTGTGTCGTCTATCTGCTCAAGAGCAAATCTGAAGTTGCGGCGAAGTTCATGGAATACGCTGCGATGGCCGAAACGCAAACCGGAAAGCGCGTGAAGTACCTTCAAAGCGACAATGGGGGTGAATACAAGTCCGACAAGCTGGCACGATTCTGCGCGGAACGGGGAATACAACAAAGGTTCACACCCCCATATACTCCTCAGCTAAACGGAGTAGCTGAGAGAATGAATCGCACGCTGGTCGAGTGTGCGCGTTGCATGATGGAACACGCTGGACTGGGAAAGAGCTACTGGGGTGAAGCAGTGATGACGGCGATGTTTCTTCGAAACCGCTGTCCAACACGTGCCATTCACCAAGACAAGTCTCCATATCAAGTGTGGACGATGAAGAAACCGATTCTGGCCAACCTTAAAGTGTTTGGATGCCACGCGTATGTTCAAGTGCCTCAAGACAAACGCGCAAAGTTCGACTCCAAGTCATCACTCTGTCGTTTCCTGGGATACGCCGAACACCAGAAGTCATATCGATTTGAGGAAGTGTCAACAGGAGCGATCAAGATCAGTCGCGATGCCACATTCATGGAAGACAAGTTTGATGAAGGTCCGCGCAACTACAACGATGAGTCAAGTGTCGTTGAGTTTGATGATCATGATGAGGACGAAGAAAAAGAAGAAGGTAAAACTGACGACGACATGGACTCGAGCGACGATGACAACGAAGACACCAGGTCTTCGAAGAGCAACATCAAGAGACACACGCGCACTCAATCACTTGAGAAAGCTACCGTCATTCCAAGTCCCAAGCGAAGAACATACAGAGGTCCGTCGCTTGAGCATGTGTCAGCGGCTGCAATGGATTTTGAAGCAGCCTACATCGTTGATTCAGTGGGGAAACGCCGACTACATTCAAGTCGGCGATGGAATCAAGCGACTCCGGCAAGTGGAAAGAAGCGTGTGACTCGGAGTTCGATTCGCTTCAGAGAAACGACACGTGGGAAATCGTGCCTCTTCCGAAAGGTCGCAAGGCCATCGGGTGCCGATGGGTTTTTCGTGTAAAGGAGAATCAAGATGGCGAAGTTGAACGTTTCAAGGCAAGACTTGTGGCCAAAGGATTCTCACAGAAATTCGGAGTTGACTATGAAGAAACTTTCGCACCGGTGGCCAAGTTCACATCGATTCGTGTGGTGCTCAGTATGGCGGCCAAGTACGGCCTAATGCTACATCAGATGGACGTCAAGACAGCGTTTCTTAACGGCTCCCTCAACGAAGACATCTACATGGACCAGCCGGACGGATACCTGGATGCAACACAGCCGGACTATGTGTGCAAGCTAAAGAGATCACTCTACGGCTTGAAGCAATCGCCTCGCATGTGGAACCAAACAATCGATGGGTTCATGATCAAGATGGGATTCAAGAAGTGCGAATCGGACCACTGCATCTACATCAAGCGAGACGACCAAGACATGATTCTCGTGGTGCTCTACGTCGATGATCTCATCCTGGCCAGCAGCAACAACGAACTACTCAAGTCGACAAAGATGGCGCTGAGCAAACGCTTCGAAATGACGGATCTCGGTGAGCTCGATTACTTTCTCGGCATGGAGATCAAGAACGACCGTAAGACGGGAATGGTGACTGTACAACAAACCAAGTTTCTCAAGTCCGTGTTAACCAAGTTCGGAATGGATAGCAGCAAGCCAGTGAAGACGCCTCAAGATCCCGGCCTGAAGCTAACCAAGAACATGTGTGAACAAGAATGCAAGCACGAAGACACCATGTGCAACGTGCCATATCGAAGTGCTGTCGGAGGCATCATGTATCTCATGGTCGCCACACGTCCGGATCTAGCTGCTGCAGTGGGATCATTATCCCAGTTCTCGTCCGACCCATGCCCGACTCACTGGCAAGCTTTGAAGCGTGTGCTGAGATACCTGCAAGCAACGCCCAATCACGGTCTTGAGTTTACACGTGAAGAAGGAAGCCGTATCTGCGGTACACCGACGCAGACTGGGCCGGCGACATTGAGTCAAGACGAAGTACAAGCGGCTATGTGTTCATGATGAGCGGAGGATGCATCAGCTGGAAAAGCCAGAAACAACGGACGGTCGCGCTATCTTCAACAGAAGTAGAATACATGGCACTTTCCGAAGCAACCAAAGAAGCAGTATGGCTCAAAGTGCTTTTGGGGGAACTTGGTGAGATGACAAGCGACGAAGCGATCAAGATGTATGAAGACAACCAAGGATCAATCGCTCTCGCCAAGAACCCGGAGTTCCATAAGAGAACAAAACACATCGACATACGCTACCATTTTGTGCGTGAGAAGGTGGAATCAGGTGAAGTCGTTTTGGAGTATTGCCCGACTCAAGATATGCTGGCAGACATGATGACCAAGCCGATCGCCGCTGTACAATTTGAAAACATTCGCGATCGACTTGGGATCCAAGGTGCCGCAGCTAACGAGTCGAGAGGGAGTGTTGAAAAGACAGCGGCTGTGAAGAAGACACCTCGTCAAGCTGCGTCAAGTGTTGAAGCAAGTGGAAGACCAAGCTTCGCTATACCGGTGGGTACCGGTATGTACCAGTAAGGGCGAAGTCAGGAAATGACGTCACTGGATGACGTCATTGCATGACGTCAGTGGGTGACGTCACTGGATGACGTCACTGCGAATAATAGGCTTAGAGGTAGTATTCAAAGTTGCGAACTAAGTACCTATTATAAATATATATTCACTTTGCGTTTTGCACTCGGACCAAGAAGTCTAAAGTTCATCATGGCTGGTCGACTCCGGGGCGACGCAGCACATGACGTGCTCCAAGAAGTTCATGCGGAACTACAAGGGGTTTGACGCTGTGGATGTCCATCTCGCGGATGATGGAATCGTCCAAGCAATCGGCAGTGGGGACATTGTCATGTCGATGAAGACACCCCAAGGGATGAAGAAAGGTGTGCTCACAAACGTGTGGCACATCCCAAAGTTATCCAGAAACCTGTTCTCGGTCGGCCGCTTCACCAAGGATGTCGGCCCAGTGACGTTCACGAAGGATGGGTGCCATGGAGAAGCGAAAGGGACCAAGTGGAAAATTGGTGCCCGTGAAGGTAAAGGACTGTTCAAGCTGCAAATGACTCCAGTGGCGCCGGAACAAGCAAATGCAGCCAAGTCGTCGGGATGTCAAGGGGGCACCAAGTCGTACCTCTGGCACCTTCGGCTTGGCCACATAGGTCACGATGGACTCAATTGCATCGTGACGAAGAACATTGGAATTGGCATCGACATATCTTCGGTGAAGAAGTGGGACGTGTGTGAAGGTTGTGCTCTGGGAAAACAGACTCGAGTGCGCTTCCAATCAAACACTACAGCTCGCACCTCCAAACTCCTCGAAGTGATTCACAGCGACGTATGCGGACCGATGTCGATGGCAACTTTCAGTGGAAAACGGTACTTCGTGACATTCATTGATGACAAGTCAAGATACTGTGTCGTCTATCTGCTCAAGAGCAAATCTGAAGTTGCGGCGAAGTTCATGGAATACGCTGCGATGGCCGAAACGCAAACCGGAAAGCGCGTGAAGTACCTTCAAAGCGACAATGGGGGTGAATACAAGTCCGACAAGCTGGCACGATTCTGCGCGGAACGGGGAATACAACAAAGGTTCACACCCCCATATACTCCTCAGCTAAACGGAGTAGCTGAGAGAATGAATCGCACGCTGGTCGAGTGTGCGCGTTGCATGATGGAACACGCTGGACTGGGAAAGAGCTACTGGGGTGAAGCAGTGATGACGGCGATGTTTCTTCGAAACCGCTGTCCAACACGTGCCATTCACCAAGACAAGTCTCCATATCAAGTGTGGACGATGAAGAAACCGATTCTGGCCAACCTTAAAGTGTTTGGATGCCACGCGTATGTTCAAGTGCCTCAAGACAAACGCGCGAAGTTCGACTCCAAGTCATCACTCTGTCGTTTCCTGGGATACGCCGAACACCAGAAGTCATATCGATTTGAGGAAGTGTCAACAGGAGCGATCAAGATCAGTCGCGATGCCACATTCATGGAAGACAAGTTTGATGAAGGTCCGCGCAACTACAACGATGAGTCAAGTGTCGTTGAGTTTGATGATCATGATGAGGACGAAGAAAAAGAAGAAGGTAAAACTGACGACGACATGGACTCGAGCGACGATGACAACGAAGACACCAGGTCTTCGAAGAGCAACATCAAGAGACACACGCGCACTCAATCACTTGAGAAAGCTACCGTCATTCCAAGTCCCAAGCGAAGAACATACAGAGGTCCGTCGCTTGAGCATGTGTCAGCGGCTGCAATGGATTTTGAAGCAGCCTACATCGTTGATTCAGTGGGGGAAACGCCGACTACATTCAAGTCGGCGATGGAATCAAGCGACTCCGAGTCATGATGAACTTTAGACTTCTTGGTCCGAGTGCAAAACGCAAAGTGAATATATATTTATAATAGGTACTTAGTTCGCAACTTTGAATACTACCTCTAAGCCTATTATTCGCAGTGACGTCATCCAGTGACGTCACCCACTGACGTCACCCACTGACGTCATGCAATGACGTCATCCAGTGACGTCATTTCCTGACTTCGCCCTTACTGGTACATACCGGTACCCACCGGTATAGCGAAGCTTGGTCTTCCACTTGCTTCAACACTTGACGCAGCTTGACGAGGTGTCTTCTTCACAGCCGCTGTCTTTTCAACACTCCCTCTCGACTCGTTAGCTGCGGCACCTTGGATCCCAAGTCGATCGCGAATGTTTTCAAATTGTACAGCGGCGATCGGCTTGGTCATCATGTCTGCCAGCATATCTTGAGTCGGGCAATACTCCAAAACGACTTCACCTGATTCCACCTTCTCACGCACAAAATGGTAGCGTATGTCGATGTGTTTTGTTCTCTTATGGAACTCCGGGTTCTTGGCGAGAGCGATTGATCCTTGGTTGTCTTCATACATCTTGATCGCTTCGTCGCTTGTCATCTCACCAAGTTCCCCCAAAAGCACTTTGAGCCATACTGCTTCTTTGGTTGCTTCGGAAAGCGCCATGTATTCTGCTTCTGTTGAAGATAGCGCGACCGTCCGTTGTTTCTGGCTTTTCCAGCTGATGCATCCTCCGCTCATCATGAACACATAGCCGCTTGTACTTCGTCTTGACTCAATGTCGCCGGCCCAGTCTGCGTCGGTGTACCCGCAGATACGGCTTCCTTCTTCACGTGTAAACTCAAGACCATGATTGGGCGTTGCTTGCAGGTATCTCAGCACACGCTTCAAAGCTTGCCAGTGAGTCGGGCATGGGTCGGACGAGAACTGGGATAATGATCCCACTGCAGCAGCTAGATCCGGACGTGTGGCGACCATGAGATACATGATGCCTCCGACAGCACTTCGATATGGCACGTTGCACATGGTGTCTTCGTGCTTGCATTCTTGTTCACACATGTTCTTGGTTAGCTTCAGGCCGGGATCTTGAGGCGTCTTCACTGGCTTGCTGTTATCCATTCCGAACTTGGTTAACACGGACTTGAGAAACTTGGTTTGTTGTACAGTCACCATTCCCGTCTTACGGTCGTTCTTGATCTCCATGCCGAGAAAGTAATCGAGCTCACCGAGATCCGTCATTTCGAAGCGTTTGCTCAGCGCCATCTTGGTTGACTTGAGGAGTTCGTTGTTGCTGCTGGCCAGGATGAGATCATCGACGTAGAGCACCACGAGAATCATGTCTTGGTCGTCTCGCTTGATGTAGATGCAGTGGTCCGATTCGCACTTCTTGAATCCCATCTTGATCATGAACCCATCGATTGTTTGGTTCCACATGCGAGGCGATTGCTTCAAGCCGTAGAGTGATCTCTTTAGCTTGCACACATAGTCCGGCTGTGTTGCATCCAGGTATCCGTCCGGCTGGTCCATGTAGATGTCTTCGTTGAGGGAGCCGTTAAGAAACGCTGTCTTGACGTCCATCTGATGTAGCATTAGGCCGTACTTAGCCGCCATACTGAGCACCACACGAATCGATGTGAACTTGGCCACCGGTGCGAAAGTTTCTTCATAGTCAACTCCGAATTTCTGTGAGAATCCTTTGGCCACAAGTCTTGCCTTGAAACGTTCAACTTCGCCATCTTGATTCTCCTTTACACGAAAAACCCATCGGCACCCGATGGCCTTGCGACCTTTCGGAAGAGGCACGATTTCCCACGTGTCGTTTCTCTGAAGCGAATCGAACTCCGAGTCACACGCTTCTTTCCACTTGCCGGAGTCGCTTGATTCCATCGCCGACTTGAATGTAGTCGGCGTTTCCCCACTGAATCAACGATGTAGGCTGCTTCAAAATCCATTGCAGCCGCTGACACATGCTCAAGCGACGGACCTCTGTATGTTCTTCGCTTGGGACTTGGAATGACGGTAGCTTTCTCAAGTGATTGAGTGCGCGTGTGTCTCTTGATGTTGCTCTTCGAAGACCTGGTGTCTTCGTTGTCATCGTCGCTCGAGTCCATTTCGTCGTCAGTTTTACCTTCTTCTTTTCTTCGTCCTCATCATGATCATCAAACTCAACGACACTTGACTCATCGTTGTAGTTGCGCGGACCTTCATCAAACTTGTCTTCCATGAATGTGGCATCGCGACTGATCTTGATCGCTCCTGTTGACACTTCCTCAAATCGATATGACTTCTGGTGTTCGGCGTATCCCAGGAAACGACAGAGTGATGACTTGGAGTCGAACTTCGCGCGTTTGTCTTGAGGCACTTGAACATACGCGTGGCATCCAAACACTTTAAGGTTGGCCAGAATCGGTTTATTCATCGTCCACACTTGATATGGAGACTTGTCTTGGTGAATGGCACGTGTTGGACAGCGGTTTCGAAGAAACATCGCCGTCATCACTGCTTCACCCCAGTAGCTCTTTCCCAGTCCAGCGTGTTCCATCATGCAACGCGCACACTCGACCAGCGTGCGATTCATTCTCTCAGCTACTCCGTTTAGCTGAGGAGTATATGGGGTTGTGAACCTTTGTTGCATTCCCCGTTCCGCGCAGAATCGTGCCAGCTTGTCGGACTTGTATTCACCCCCATTGTCGCTTTGAAGGTACTTCACGCGCTTTCCGGTTTGCGTTTCGGCCATCGCAGCGTATTCCATGAACTTCGCCGCAACTTCAGATTTGCTCTTGAGCAGATAGACGACACAGTATCTTGACTTGTCATCAATGAATGTCACGAAGTACCGTTTTCCACTGAAAGTTGCCATCGACATCGGTCCGCATACGTCGCTGTGAATCACTTCGAGGAGTTTGGAGGTGCGAGCTGTAGTGTTTGATTGGAAGCGCACTCGAGTCTGTTTTCCCAGAGCACAACCTTCACACACGTCCCACTTCTTCACCGAAGATATGTCGATGCCAATTCCAATGTTCTTCGTCACAATGCAATTGAGTCCATCGTGACCTATGTGGCCAAGCCGAAGGTGCCAGAGGTACGACTTGGTGCCCCCTTGACATCCCGACGACTTGGCTGCATTTGCTTGTTCCGGCGCCACTGGAGTCATTTGCAGCTTGAACAGTCCTTTACCTTCACGGGCACCAATTTTCCACTTGGTCCCTTTCGCTTCTCCATAGCACCCATCCTTCGTGAACGTCACTGGGCCGACATCCTTGGTGAAGCGGCCGACCGAGAACAGGTTTCTGGATAACTTTGGGATGTGCCACACGTTTGTGAGCACACCTTTCTTCATCCCTTGGGGTGTCTTCATCGACATGACAATGTCCCCACTGCCGATTGCTTGGACGATTCCATCATCCGCGAGATGGACATCCACAGCGTCAAACCCCTTGTAGTTCCGCATGAACTTCTTGGAGCACGTCATGTGCTGCGTCGCCCCGGAGTCGACCAGCCAGATGTCGCTCGATTTCGCAGATGTCGTTTCACCGATCGAAAAGAGGTAGTCGCCCGAGTCTTCTTCTTGAGCGACGTTTGCACGTTGTGATCGATAGCGGTCGCCGCTGTCTTGAGCACGCTGTGGCCGGTGTCTCTCCGTGTTTTCTTGGATGCGCGAGGGGCACTCCGCCATCCAGTGACCAATCTTTCCGCAATTGTGGCACGGCCAGGACTTCTTCACTGGTCGCCCTTTGCGCTGATTGTCCCTTGTGATGAACGCTTGACCTTGCGAAGCTTCATCACCTTTACTTCCTTGCTCCTTCCGCTTCATTTCTTCATGAAGCAGTCGAGACGTCACGAGCTCCCAGCTAAGAGTGTCTGAGCGCGACTCCAAAGCTGTGATCAAGAATTGATACGAGTCACTCAGGCTGCCGAGGAGTGTGATCACCAGATCGTCCTCGCAGACTGGAGCCCCCACCGCTTCTAGCTGTTCCGCCAGCGTCTTGAGCTTGTTGATGTGTTCGAGCACATCGTCGCCTTCTTCCATCATTGTCGTGAAGAAGCGACGGCGCAAGAACAGCTTGTTGGCAAGACTCTTCTTCTCGAAGTGGTCTTCCAACCTTGACCATGCGTCGCATGCACCACTTGCCGACCGGACCAACGGTAGCTGGGAATCTTCCATGGCTAGACAGATCACTGCCATCGCCTTTCTTGACTTCCTCTTGTACGTCGCTTGGTCCAACTGAGTCTCGCACTGTTCTGCCTTGATCTCACCGCTGACGACCTCCCATAGGTCCCGTTCCTCCAGCACCATCTGCATCTTGAACTTCCAGGCGTGGAAGTTAGTTCCATCGAACTTGGAGATGCGGAGGGAGGAGGCGTCCATGGCAGCTAAGCTTGAATTGTTGGCGGTTTCAGAGTCTGACAAACTTGGGCTCATAACCTGATGAACTTTAGACTTCTTGGTCCGAGTGCAAAACGCAAAGTGAATATATATTTATAATAGGTACTTAGTTCGCAACTTTGAATACTACCTCTAAGCCTATTATTCGCAGTGACGTCATCCAGTGACGTCACCCACTGACGTCACCCACTGACGTCATGCAATGACGTCATCCAGTGACGTCATTTCCTGACTTCGCCCTTACTGGTACATACCGGTACCCACCGGTATAGCGAAGCTTGGTCTTCCACTTGCTTCAACACTTGACGCAGCTTGACGAGGTGTCTTCTTCACAGCCGCTGTCTTTTCAACAAGTCACACGCTTCTTTCCACTTGCCGGAGTTCGACTCGCTTCAGAGAAACGACACGTGGGAAATTGTGCCTCTTCCGAAAGGTCGCAAGGCCATCGGGTGCCGATGGGTTTTTCGTGTAAAGGAGAATCAAGATGGCGAAGTTGAACGTTTCAAGGCAAGACTTGTGGCCAAAGGATTCTCACAGAAATTCGGAGTTGACTATGAAGAAACTTTCGCACCTGTGGCCAAGTTCACATCGATTCGTGTGGTGCTCAGTATGGCGGCCAAGTACGGCCTAATGCTACATCAGATGGACGTCAAGACAGCGTTTCTTAACGGCTCCCTCAACGAAGACATCTACATGGACCAGCCGGCAGGATACCTGGATGCAACACAGCCGGACTATGTGTGCAAGCTTAAGAGATCGCTCTATGGCTTGAAGCAATCGCCACGCATGTGGAACCAAACGATCGATGGGTTCATGATCAAGATGGGATTCAAGAAGTGCGAATCGGACCACTGCATCTACATCAAGCGAGACGACCAAGACATGATTATCGTGGTGCTCTACTTCGATGATCTCATCCTGGCCAGCAGCAACAACGAACTACTCAAGTCGACAAAGATGGCGCTGAGCACACGCTTCGAAATGACGGATCTCGGTGAGCTCGATTACTTTCTCGGTATGAAGATCAAGAACGACCGTAAGACTGGAATGGTGACTGTGCGACAAACCAAGTTTCTCAATTCCATGTTGACCAGGTTTGGAATGGATAACAGCAAGCCAGTGAAGACGCCTCAAGATCCCGATCTGAAGCTCACCAAGAACATGTGTGACCAAGAATGCAAGCACGAAGACACCATGTGCAACGTGCCATATCGAAGTGCTGTCGGAGGCATCATGTATCTCATGGTCGCCACACGTCCGGATCTAGCTGCTGCAGTGGGATCATTATCCCAGTTCTCGTCCGACCCATGCCCGACTCACTGGCAAGCTTTGAAGCGTGTGCTGAGATACCTGCAAGCAACGCCCAATCATGGTCTTGAGTTTACACGTGAAGAAGGAAGCCGTATCTGCGGGTACACCGACGCAGACTGGGCCGGCGACATTGAGTCAAGACGAAGTACAAGCGGCTATGTGTTCATGATGAACGGAGGATGCATCAGCTGGAAAAGCCAGAAACAACGGACGGTCGCGCTATCTTCAACAGAAGCAGAATACATGGCGCTTTCCGAAGCAACCAAAGAAGCAGTATGGCTCAAGGTGCTTTTGGGGGAACTTGGTGAGATGACAAGCGACGAAGCGATCAAGATGTATGAAGACAACCAAGGATCAATCGCTCTCGCCAAGAACCCGGAGTTCCATAAGAGAACAAAACACATCGACATACGCTACCATTTTGTGCGTGAGAAGGTGGAATCAGGTGAAGTCGTTTTGGAGTATTGCCCGACTCAAGATATGCTGGCAGACATGATGACCAAGCCGATCGCCGCTGTACAATTTGAAAACATTCGCGATCGACTTGGGATCCAAGGTGCCGCAGCTAACGAGTCGAGAGGGAGTGTTGAAAAGACAGCGGCTGTGAAGAAGACACCTCGTCAAGCTGCGTCAAGTGTTGAAGCAAGTGGAAGACCAAGCTTCGCTATACCGGTGGGTACCGGTATGTACCAGTAAGGGCGAAGTCAGGAAATGACGTCACTGGATGACGTCATTGCATGACGTCAGTGGGTGACGTCACTGGATGACGTCACTGCGAATAATAGGCTTAGAGGTAGTATTCAAAGTTGCGAACTAAGTACCTATTATAAATATATATTCACTTTGCGTTTTGCACTCGGACCAAGAAGTCTAAAGTTCATCAGGTTATGAGCCCAAGTTCGTCAGACTCTGAAACCGCCAACAATTCAAGCTTAGCTGCCATGGACGCCTCCTCCCTCCGCATCTCCAAGTTCGATGGAACTAACTTCCACGCCTGGAAGTTCAAGATGCAGATGGTGCTGGAGGAACGGGACCTATGGGAGGTCGTCAGCGGTGAGATCAAGGCGGAACAGTGCGAGACTCAGTTGGACCAAGCGACGTACAAGAGGAAGTCAAGAAAGGCGATGGCAGTGATCTGTCTAGCCATGGAAGATTCCCAGCTACCGTTGGTCCGGTCGGCAAGTGGTGCATGCGACGCATGGTCAAGGTTGGAAGACCACTTCGAGAAGAAGAGTCTTGCCAACAAGCTGTTCTTGCGCCGTCGCTTCTTCACGACAATGATGGAAGAAGGCGACGATGTGCTCGAACACATCAACAAGCTCAAGACGCTGGCGGAACAGCTAGAAGCGGTGGGGGCTCCAGTCTGCGAGGACGATCTGGTGATCACACTCCTCGGCAGCCTGAGTGACTCGTATCAATTCTTGATCACAGCTTTGGAGTCGCGCTCAGACACTCTTAGCTGGGAGCTCGTGACGTCTCGACTGCTTCATGAAGAAATGAAGCGGAAGGAGCAAGGAAGTAAAGGTGATGAAGCTTCGCAAGGTCAAGCGTTCATCACAAGGGACAATCAGCGCAAAGGGCGACCAGTGAAGAAGTCCTGGCCGTGCCACAATTGCGGAAAGATTGGTCACTGGATGGCGGAGTGCCCCTCGCGCATCCAAGAAAACACGGAGAGACACCGGCCACAGCGTGCTCAAGACAGCGGCGACCGCTATCGATCACAACGTGCAAACGTCGCTCAAGAAGAAGACTCGGGCGACTACCTCTTTTCGATCGGTGAAACGACATCTGCGAAATCGAGCGACATCTGGCTGGTCGACTCCGGGGCGACGCAGCACATGACGTGCTCCAAGAAGTTCATGCGGAACTACAAGGGGTTTGACGCTGTGGATGTCCATCTCGCGGATGATGGAATCGTCCAAGCAATCGGCAGTGGGGACATTGTCATGTCGATGAAGACACCCCAAGGGATGAAGAAAGGTGTGCTCACAAACGTGTGGCACATCCCAAAGTTATCCAGAAACCTGTTCTCGGTCGGCCGCTTCACCAAGGATGTCGGCCCAGTGACGTTCACGAAGGATGGGTGCTATGGAGAAGCGAAAGGGACCAAGTGGAAAATTGGTGCCCGTGAAGGTAAAGGACTGTTCAAGCTGCAAATGACTCCAGTGGCGCCGGAACAAGCAAATGCAGCCAAGTCGTCGGGATGTCAAGGGGGCACCAAGTCGTACCTCTGGCACCTTCGGCTTGGCCACATAGGTCACGATGGACTCAATTGCATCGTGACGAAGAACATTGGAATTGGCATCGACATATCTTCGGTGAAGAAGTGGGACGTGTGTGAAGGTTGTGCTCTGGGAAAACAGACTCGAGTGCGCTTCCAATCAAACACTACAGCTCGCACCTCCAAACTCCTCGAAGTGATTCACAGCGACGTATGCGGACCGATGTCGATGGCAACTTTCAGTGGAAAACGGTACTTCGTGACATTCATTGATGACAAGTCAAGATACTGTGTCGTCTATCTGCTCAAGAGCAAATCTGAAGTTGCGGCGAAGTTCATGGAATACGCTGCGATGGCCGAAACGCAAACCGGAAAGCGCGTGAAGTACCTTCAAAGCGACAATGGGGGTGAATACAAGTCCGACAAGCTGGCACGATTCTGCGCGGAACGGGGAATACAACAAAGGTTCACACCCCCATATACTCCTCAGCTAAACGGAGTAGCTGAGAGAATGAATCGCACGCTGGTCGAGTGTGCGCGTTGCATGATGGAACACGCTGGACTGGGAAAGAGCTACTGGGGTGAAGCAGTGATGACGGCGATGTTTCTTCGAAACCGCTGTCCAACACGTGCCATTCACCAAGACAAGTCTCCATATCAAGTGTGGACGATGAAGAAACCGATTCTGGCCAACCTTAAAGTGTTTGGATGCCACGCGTATGTTCAAGTGCCTCAAGACAAACGCGCGAAGTTCGACTCCAAGTCATCACTCTGTCGTTTCCTGGGATACGCCGAACACCAGAAGTCATATCGATTTGAGGAAGTGTCAACAGGAGCGATCAAGATCAGTCGCGATGCCACATTCATGGAAGACAAGTTTGATGAAGGTCCGCGCAACTACAACGATGAGTCAAGTGTCGTTGAGTTTGATGATCATGATGAGGACGAAGAAAAAGAAGAAGGTAAAACTGACGACGACATGGACTCGAGCGACGATGACAACGAAGACACCAGGTCTTCGAAGAGCAACATCAAGAGACACACGCGCACTCAATCACTTGAGAAAGCTACCGTCATTCCAAGTCCCAAGCGAAGAACATACAGAGGTCCGTCGCTTGAGCATGTGTCAGCGGCTGCAATGGATTTTGAAGCAGCCTACATCGTTGATTCAGTGGGGGAAACGCCGACTACATTCAAGTCGGCGATGGAATCAAGCGACTCCGGCAAGTGGAAAGAAGCGTGTGACTCGGAGTTCGACTCGCTTCAGAGAAACGACACGTGGGAAATCGTGCCTCTTCCGAAAGGTCGCAAGGCCATCGGGTGCCGATGGGTTTTTCGTGTAAAGGAGAATCAAGATGGCGAAGTTGAACGTTTCAAGGCAAGACTTGTGGCCAAAGGATTCTCACAGAAATTCGGAGTTGACTATGAAGAAACTTTCGCACCGGTGGCCAAGTTCACATCGATTCGTGTGGTGCTCAGTATGGCGGCTAAGTACGGCCTAATGCTACATCAGATGGACGTCAAGACAGCGTTTCTTAACGGCTCCCTCAACGAAGACATCTACATGGACCAGCCGGACGGATACCTGGATGCAACACAGCCGGACTATGTGTGCAAGCTAAAGAGATCACTCTACGGCTTGAAGCAATCGCCTCGCATGTGGAACCAAACAATCGATGGGTTCATGATCAAGATGGGATTCAAGAAGTGCGAATCGGACCACTGCATCTACATCAAGCGAGACGACCAAGACATGATTCTCGTGGTGCTCTACGTCGATGATCTCATCCTGGCCAGCAGCAACAACGAACTCCTCAAGTCGACCAAGATGGCGCTGAGCAAACGCTTCGAAATGACGGATCTCGGTGAGCTCGATTACTTTCTCGGCATGGAGATCAAGAACGACCGTAAGACGGGAATGGTGACTGTGCAACAAACCAAGTTTCTCAAGTCCGTGTTAACCAAGTTCGGAATGGATAACAGCAAGCCAGTGAAGACGCCTCAAGATCCCGGCCTGAAGCTAACCAAGAACATGTGTGAACAAGAATGCAAGCACGAAGACACCATGTGCAACGTGCCATATCGAAGTGCTGTCGGAGGCATCATGTATCTCATGGTCGCCACACGTCCGGATCTAGCTGCTGCAGTGGGATCATTATCCCAGTTCTCGTCCGACCCATGCCCGACTCACTGGCAAGCTTTGAAGCGTGTGCTGAGATACCTGCAAGCAACGCCCAATCATGGTCTTGAGTTTACACGTGAAGAAGGAAGCCGTATCTGCGGGTACACCGACGCAGACTGGGCCGGCGACATTGAGTCAAGACGAAGTACAAGCGGCTATGTGTTCATGATGAGCGGAGGATGCATCAGCTGGAAAAGCCAGAAACAACGGACGGTCGCGCTATCTTCAACAGAAGCAGAATACATGGCGCTTTCCGAAGCAACCAAAGAAGCAGTATGGCTCAAGGTGCTTTTGGGGGAACTTGGTGAGATGACAAGCGACGAAGCGATCAAGATGTATGAAGACAACCAAGGATCAATCGCTCTCGCCAAGAACCCGGAGTTCCATAAGAGAACAAAACACATCGACATACGCTACCATTTTGTGCGTGAGAAGGTGGAATCAGGTGAAGTCGTTTTGGAGTATTGCCCGACTCAAGATATGCTGGCAGACATCATGACGAAGCCGATCGCCGCTGTACAATTTGAAAACATTCGCGATCGACTTGGGATCCAAGGTGCCGCAGCTAACGAGTCGAGAGGGAGTGTTGAAAAGACAGCAGCTGTGAAGAAGACACCTCGTCAAGCTGCGTCAAGTGTTGAAGCAAGTGGAAGACCAAGCTTCGCTATACCGGTGGGTACCGGTATGTACCAGTAAGGGCGAAGTCAGGAAATGACGTCACTGGATGACGTCATTGCATGACGTCAGTGGGTGACGTCAGTGGGTGACGTCACTGGATGACGTCACTGCGAACAATAGGCTTAGAGGTAGTATTCAAAGTTGCGAACTAAGTACCTATTATAAATATATATTTACTTTGCGTTTTGCACTCGGACCAAGAAGTCTAAAGTTCATCAGACTTGAGGAGTTCGTTGTTGCTGCTGGCCAGGATGAGATCATCGACGTAGAGCACCACGAGAATCATGTCTTGGTCGTCTCGCTTGATGTAGATGCAGTGGTCCGATTCGCACTTCTTGAATCCCATCTTGATCATGAACCCATCGATTGTTTGGTTCCACATGCGAGGCGATTGCTTCAAGCCGTAGAGTGATCTCTTTAGCTTGCACACATAGTCCGGCTGTGTTGCCTCCAGGTATCCGTCCGGCTGGTCCATGTAGATGTCTTCGTTGAGGGAGCCGTTAAGAAACGCTGTCTTGACGTCCATCTGATGTAGCATTAGGCCGTACTTAGCGGCCATACTGAGCACCACACGAATCGATGTGAACTTGGCCACCGGTGCGAAAGTTTCTTCATAGTCAACTCCGAATTTCTGTGAGAATCCTTTGGCCACAAGTCTTGCCTTGAAACGTTCAACTTCGCCATCTTGATTCTCCTTTACACGAAAAACCCATCGGCACCCGATGGCCTTGCGACCTTTCGGAAGAGGCACGATTTCCCACGTGTCGTTTCTCTGAAGCGAATCGAACTCCGAGTCACACGCTTCTTTCCACTTGCCGGAGTCGCTTGATTCCATCGCCGACTTGAATGTAGTCGGCGTTTCCCCCACTGAATCAACGATGTAGGTGTTGACGGTCATCGGTTTTCTACCAGTATTGGTAACCGTGACCGATCCAATCCGAACCGCCTGTGCAGCTTAGTATTTACGACGTAGTTCTTACGGTAATTACCATAGTTGATTAGACGCGTAGGATGATGAGACGCTTCACATGATTTATATGTACACCACATATAAATCATGTAGTAAGTAGTAAGCCCCGATAATCAACAACTTTCGAATCTTCCAACTATTGGGCAAGTGTTTTCTACTCTACTCTCTTCGGTCTCTCCGCTCCGTTTGCTCCGCTTTCCTCGCTCCGATCTACAATGCAACAGGTTATGAGCCCAAGCGCCATGTCGTCCACCAGCAACGCCTCCATTGACAAGTTCAACGGAGACAATTACGCAACGTGGAGCCGGTACATGCGCGGTGTGTTTTTGACGAAGTCCGTCTGGCACGTTGTCAACCGTGAAGTGACTCCGACTTTCACCGACCCGCGAGCGTCCGATGACTACGTCAAGGCAAGCAACGTCGCGTTTGGTATGATGCTGCTGCACATGAACGCGGACTACCATCATGTGCTGGACAACTGCGAGGAAGCCTGGGTTGCGTGGACAAGTCTGAAGACGCTGTACGGTGGGTCGCAGAAGGCAGGACGCATCTACCTCAAGCGACAACTTTTTCAGTATCAAGATGGCTGAAGGCGCGAACGTCATGCATCACTGCAACGAGGTCCTCAACATCTCCGCCAAGCTTAGCGGCATCGGTGCGAAGATGGAAGACGAAGACGTTGCAATTTGTCTGCTACTCAGTCTTCCGAAGAGCTACGAAAATGTGGTGCTCAACATGGAAATGAGCAGCACCGAGCTTCGCACTCAAGATGTGGTGAGAGTCCTGACGAATGAGCATGCCAAGCGTCAAGGAGAAAAAGGGACAACGACAGCGACTACGGTGAAGGCTGAAGATGCAAGCAAGGCATTCAGCGCCGAGCGTGAGCCCTACCAATGCACGTATTGTGGCAAGGTGGGACACACGGTGGATCGTTGCTGGACAAAGCAGAAGAACGAAGGTCGGGGAGCCCGACGCGGCGGCAATGGTCGTGGACGCGGGGGCTAACAATGTCCAGTGGGGACATCATGATGAAGGCAATGGCTACGATCGAGTGGCGTTTGCAGTCTCGTTCGAATGTGGAGTTTCGACGAGCAAGGACGTGTCTGGAATGTGGGCCGTCGACAGTGGTGCAACGCACCACATTTGCCACGACAAGACCAAGTTCGCAAGTTTGGCAGAGCGCAATGAGGGCGAACTCTTGGTGGCTGATGGCAACAAGGTGGCCATCAAGGGTGTGGGAACCATCATGGAAAAGGTGGTTCTGCCCAACGGTGAAGAGCGTGAGATCGAAATCAAGAACGCGCTATATGTTCCAAGTATGAGCAAGAACCTGCTCTCGGTGCCACAGATTAACAGCCATGGCAAGTTTCAAGTCGTGTTTGACGGGTCCAAGATGTATGTGACTCTCAAGAACTCACAGCAAGTGGTGGCGACAGCGGATCTCGTGGATGGACTCTACTGGCTTCGGACGACTCAACGATCAGCGAATGTGACAACAAGTGGAACCAGTTGTGCCGATCTACATGCGAGAATGGGTCATGCTACAGTCGACGTGCTTCGCAAGATGGTCTCCAACAACATGATCAAAGATGTGGGAGTGCCTCTCAAGTCAAGTGGATCAGGTACATGTCGAGGATGTCAGCAAGGGAAAATGGTCCAAAACCCATTCCCAAGCAATCGTGACAAGCGAAGTTACGACACGTTTGAGCTACTTCATCTGGACATCTGCGGGCCCATGGAAAAGGATTCGCTCGGTGGCAGCAAATATTTGCTGCTGATCATCGACGAAGCCAGTGGATGCATGAAGGGCTTTTGTCTACGAGTGAAGTCCGAGAGTGAAGACTACATCCGGAAATATATCACCATGGTACAGACGCAATTCTGTAAGAAGGTCAAGTTCGTGCGACACGACGGAGCTCGCGAGTTTGCAACCAACTCGCTTCAACTGTTCTACGAAGACGAAGGCATTGAACAGCAGACAACGGTGCCGTATGCACATCAAACAAACGGAACAGCAGAGCGTGCCATTAGGACTATTGTCACGATCGGTCGCAGCATGCTTCATCATGCCAAACTGGACAAGTGTTTCTGGGCCGAAGCAGCGATGACGGCCATCTACGTCAAGAATCGACTGCCGTCACCTAAAGTCGTGCACAAGACCCCGTTTGAGATCGTCTACAACTTGAAACCAAGCGTCAAGCACATGCGAACATTCGGGTGTCAGACATACATACTGACGCCTAAAGAGAATCGACTCAAGTGGGATCCAAAGGCTCGCGCTGGCATATTCGTGGGCTACGAAGAATTTTCGAAGGCATATCGTGTTTATGACATCGAGGCGGGGCAGGTGGTTATCAGCCGCGATGTCAACTTCGACGAGTCCACCTTTGGACTTCAACTGCCGATCACTGATGAAGATGTCGATGACCTGGACTTCGAATTGCTGGATCTTGATGACGAAGAGCTGCGTCAAATGGAGTACAAGCAAACAGGCAAGCGCAAGAACCGACTCAATGATGAAGATACAGCAGCTCCACGACCGCGTGCAGTGCGTCAACGACCAGGACTAGAAGAGTCAAGCGCGCCGGAAAACAACTCGTCACGACAAGAAGAAGACGAAGAAACGAAGGATTCTGGTGATTCAACACCGCCTGTGTTTTGGCGTGCGAGTGCAAATGCCGTTGAAGCAGCAGTGGACTTATCAGAACCCTCAACATTTGAAGCAGCAGTAAGCGGCCCTGACCAAGTGCACTGGAGAAAAGCAATTCATGCAGAGCTCGAGTCAATGCGACTTCGCGGTGTGTTTCGTGCAGCCAAGCTGCCCAACGGACAACGCGCCATTGGCACAAAATGGGTGTTCAAGACCAAGCGCTTTGGCATGGATGATTGCAAGGCAGTAGCAAGTCCAGTCGACATGAGCTCTCGACTTGTTTCAAGTGATGCAACTACCAAGGTCGATGCTCCTTTTCGCGAAGCTGTTGGTGCGTTGATGCACCTGACCACTGCAACGCGTCCGGACATTGCGTTTGCTGTGGGCTATGTGTCGCGGTTCATGGAAAATCCCCAAGAAGAACACTGGGTTGCAGTTAAGCGTATCTTTCGCTACCTACAAGGCACCAAGACGCATGGAATTTGCTACAAGCCAAGTGCAAGGATCGACTTCCGTGGATATTCGGATGCGGATTGGGCTGGTGATCTTACCGATCGCAAGTCAACATCGGGGTACACGTTCATGCTACTCGGTGCGCCAGTCAGTTGGGGCAGCAAGAAGCAGCCAAGTGTTTCGTTGTCCACGAGTGAAGCCGAATACATCGCACTCAGCTTGGCGATTCAAGAGGGCAAGTGGATTCATCGTCTGCTTTGTGAGATCGTGATGGCTGCCAATGAAGAAGGACCGGAACTCATGATCCATGAAGACAATCAGTCGTGTATCAAGATGACGAAGAACCCAGTCAACCACGGCCGTGCCAAGCACATTGATATCAAGTACCATCACATCCGTGATGAGGTCAAGCGCGGTGAAGTGAAGCTCAAGTACTGTGAAACTGCGGTGATGTTAGCGGACATCATGACGAAGGGACTTCACGGGCCACGCCACAAGGAGATGACGGCGACTCTCGGGATTCGTGAGCATTCGGATTGAGGGGGCGTGTTGACGGTCATCGGTTTTCTACCAGTATTGGTAACCGTGACCGATCCAATCCGAACCGCCTGTTCAGCTTAGTATTTACGACGTAGTTCTTACGGTAATTACCATAGTTGATTAGACGCGTAGGATGATGAGACGCTTCACATGATTTATATGTACACCACATATAAATCATGTAGTAAGTAGTAAGTCCCGATAATCAATCACTTTCGAATCTTCCAACTATTGGGCAAGTGTTTTCTACTCTACTCTCTTCGGTCTCTCCGCTCCGTTTGCTCCGCTTTCCTCGCCCCGATCTACAATGCAACAGTAGGCTGCTTCAAAATCCATTGCAGCCGCTGACACATGCTCAAGCGACGGACCTCTGTATGTTCTTCGCTTGGGACTTGGAATGACGGTAGCTTTCTCAAGTGATTGAGTGCGCGTGTGTCTCTTGATGTTGCTCTTCGAAGACCTGGTGTCTTCGTTGTCATCGTCGCTCGAGTCCATGTCGTCGTCAGTTTTACCTTCTTCTTTTTCTTCGTCCTCATCATGATCATCAAACTCAACGACACTTGACTCATTGTTGTAGTTGCGCGGACCTTCATCAAACTTGTCTTCCATGAATGTGGCATCGCGACTGATCTTGATCGCTCCTGTTGACACTTCCTCAAATCGATATGACTTCTGGTGTTCGGCGTATCCCAGGAAACGACAGAGTGATGACTTGGAGTCGAACTTCGCGCGTTTGTCTTGAGGCACTTGAACATACGCGTGGCATCCAAACACTTTAAGGTTGGCCAGAATCGGTTTCTTCATCGTCCACACTTGATATGGAGACTTGTCTTGGTGAATATGGCACGTGTTGGACAGCGGTTTCGAAGAAACATCGCCGTCATCACTGCTTCACCCCAGTAGCTCTTTCCCAGTCCAGCGTGTTCCATCATGCAACGCGCACACTCGACCAGCGTGCGATTCATTCTCTCAGCTACTCCGTTTAGCTGAGGAGTATATGGGGGTGTGAACCTTTGTTGTATTCCCCGTTCCGCGCAGAATCGTGCCAGCTTGTCGGACTTGTATTCACCCCCATTGTCGCTTTGAAGGTACTTCACGCGCTTTCCGGTTTGCGTTTCGGCCATCGCAGCGTATTCCATGAACTTCGCCGCAACTTCAGATTTGCTCTTGAGCAGATAGACGACACAGTATCTTGACTTGTCATCAATGAATGTCACGAAGTACCGTTTTCCACTGAAAGTTGCCATCGACATCGGTCCGCATACGTCGCTGTGAATCACTTCGAGGAGTTTGGAGGTGCGAGCTGTAGTGTTTGATTGGAAGCGCACTCGAGTCTGTTTTCCCAGAGCACAACCTTCACACACGTCCCACTTCTTCACCGAAGATATGTCGATGCCAATTCCAATGTTCTTCGTCACGATGCAATTGAGTCCATCGTGACCTATGTGGCCAAGCCGAAGGTGCCAGAGGTACGACTTGGTGCCCCCTTGACATCCCGACGACTTGGCTGCATTTGCTTGTTCCGGCGCCACTGGAGTCATTTGCAGCTTGAACAGTCCTTTACCTTCACGGGCACCAATTTTCCACTTGGTCCCTTTCGCTTCTCCATAGCACCCATCCTTCGTGAACGTCACTGGGCCGACATCCTTGGTGAAGCGGCCGACCGAGAACAGGTTTCTGGATAACTTTGGGATGTGCCACACGTTTGTGAGCACACCTTTCTTCATCCCTTGGGGTGTCTTCATCGACATGACAATGTCCCCACTGCCGATTGCTTGGACGATTCCATCATCCGCGAGATGGACATCCACAGCGTCAAACCCCTTGTAGTTCCGCATGAACTTCTTGGAGCACGTCATGTGCTGCGTCGCCCCGGAGTCGACCAGCCAGATGTCGCTCGATTTCGCAGATGTCGTTTCACCGATCGAAAAGAGGTAGTCGCCCGAGTCTTCTTCTTGAGCGACGTTTGCACGTTGTGATCGATAGCGGTCGCCGCTGTCTTGAGCACGCTGTGGCCGGTGTCTCTCCGTGTTTTCTTGGATGCGCGAGGGGCACTCCGCCATCCAGTGACCAATCTTTCCGCAATTGTGGCACGGCCAGGACTTCTTCACTGGTCGCCCTTTGCGCTGATTGTCCCTTGTGATGAACGCTTGACCTTGCGAAGCTTCATCACCTTTACTTCCTTGCTCCTTCCGCTTCATTTCTTCATGAAGCAGTCGAGACGTCACGAGCTCCCAGCTAAGAGTGTCTGAGCGCGACTCCAAAGCTGTGATCAAGAATTGATACGAGTCACTCAGGCTGCCGAGGAGTGTGATCACCAGATCGTCCTCGCAGACTGGAGCCCCCACCGCTTCTAGCTGTTCCGCCAGCGTCTTGAGCTTGTTGATGTGTTCGAGCACATCGTCGCCTTCTTCCATCATTGTCGTGAAGAAGCGACGGCGCAAGAACAGCTTGTTGGCAAGACTCTTCTTCTCGAAGTGGTCTTCCAACCTTGACCATGCGTCGCATGCACCACTTGCCGACCGGACCAACGGTAGCTGGGAATCTTCCATGGCTAGACAGATCACTGCCATCGCCTTTCTTGACTTCCTCTTGTACGTCGCTTGGTCCAACTGAGTCTCGCACTGTTCCGCCTTGATCTCACCGCTGACGACCTCCCATAGGTCCCGTTCCTCCAGCACCATCTGCATCTTGAACTTCCAGGCGTGGAAGTTAGTTCCATCGAACTTGGAGATGCGGAGGGAGGAGGCGTCCATGGCAGCTAAGCTTGAATTGTTGGCGGTTTCAGAGTCTGACGAACTTGGGCTCATAACCTGATGAACTTTAGACTTCTTGGTCCGAGTGCAAAACGCAAAGTAAATATATATTTATAATAGGTACTTAGTTCGCAACTTTGAATACTACCTCTAAGCCTATTATTCGCAGTGACGTCATCCAGTGACGTCATCCAGTGACGTCACCCACTGACGTCACCCACTGACGTCATGCAATGACGTCATCCAGTGACGTCATTTCCTGACTTCGCCCTTACTGGTACATACCGGTACCCACCGGTATAGCGAAGCTTGGTCTTCCACTTGCTTCAACACTTGACGCAGCTTGACGAGGTTTCTTCTTCACAGCCGCTGTCTTTTCAACAAAATGGGTGTTCAAGATCAAGCGCAAGGCGGATGGGTCAATCGAGAAGTACAAGGCACGACTTGTGGCCAAGGGTTTCCGCCAAAAGTATGGCATCGACTACACGGAGACGTTTTCGCCTGTGGTCAAGTATGTGACGCTGCGAATGGTGATCGCAATTTCCAAGCATTTTGGATGGCCCATCGACCAGCTTGATGTGGTGACAGCTTTCCTGTATGGCGTCATGAAGGAACAAGTGTTCTGCGTGATTCCTGAAGGCGTCGAACTTGACAGTACGTTCGACTGCCTGGAATTGGTGAAGTCAAGTTACGGCCTCAAGCAAGCGTCGCGAGTGTGGAACGAGACGCTCGACGAGTATGTGTGCTCCATCGGATTTCAAGTATCGGACTTCGACCCATGTCTCTACATCAAGACTTCGGACGGCCATTGCGTGTTTATACTGGTCTACGTGGACGACGTCTTGGTGACTGGAAGCTCACTCGAGCTGATTGCACAAACCAAGAACGACCTGAAGACGCGGTTCGAAATGACGGACAGCGGCAAGTGTGCGTTTGTTCTTGGGATCGAGCTTTTGGACGGTGAAGATGGCAGTGTGACACTATGTCAGCGTCGGTATGTCGATGATATCCTCAAGCGCTTTGGCATGGATGATTGCAAGGCAGTCGCAAGTCCAGTCGACATGAGCTCTCGACTTGTTTCAAGTGATGCAACTACCAAGGTCGATGCTCCTTTTCGCGAAGCTGTTGGTGCGTTGATGCACCTGACCACTGCAACGCGTCCGGACATTGCGTTTGCTGTGGGCTATGTGTCGCGGTTCATGGAAAATCCCCAAGAAGAACACTGGGTTGCAGTTAAGCGTATCCTTCGCTACCTACAAGGCACCAAGACGCATGGAATTTGCTACAAGCCAAGTGCAAGGATCGACTTCCGTGGATATTCGGATGCGGATTGGGCTGGTGATCTTACCGATCGCAAGTCAACATCGGGGTACACGTTCATGCTACTCGGTGCGCCAGTCAGTTGGGGCAGCAAGAAGCAGCCAAGTGTTTCGTTGTCCACGAGTGAAGCCGAATACATCGCACTCAGCTTGGCGATTCAAGAGGGCAAGTGGATTCATCGTCTACTTTGTGAGATCGTGATGGCTGCCAATGAAGAAGGACCGGAACTCATGATCCATGAAGACAATCAGTCGTGTATCAAGATGACGAAGAACCCAGTCAACCACGGCCGTGCCAAGCACATTGATATCAAGTACCATCACATCCGTGATGAGGTCAAGCGCGGTGAAGTGAAGCTCAAGTACTGTGAAACTGCGGTGATGTTAGCGGACATCATGACGAAGGGACTTCACGGGCCACGCCACAAGGAGATGACGGCGACTCTCGGGATTCGTGAGCATTCGGATTGAGGGGGCGTGTTGACGGTCATCGGTTTTCTACCAGTATTGGTAACCGTGACCGATCCAATCCGAACCGCCTGTTCAGCTTAGTATTTACGACGTAGTTCTTACGGTAATTACCATAGTTGATTAGACGCGTAGGATGATGAGACGCTTCACATGATTTATATGTACACCACATATAAATCATGTAGTAAGTAGTAAGCCCCGATAATCAATCACTTTCGAATCTTCCAACTATTGGGCAAGTGTTTTCTGCTCTACTCTCTTCGGTCTCTCCGCTCCGTTTGCTCCGCTTTCCTCGCTCCGATCTACAATGCAACAACCCGCGAGCGTCCGATGACTACGTCAAGGCAAGCAACGTCGCGTTTGGTATGATGCTGCTGCACATGAACGCGGACTACCATCATGTGCTGGGCAACTGCGAGGAAGCCTGGGTTGCGTGGACAAGTCTGAAGACGCTGTACGGTGGGTCGCAGAAGGCAGGACGCATCTACCTCAAGCGACAACTTTTCAGTATCAAGATGGCTGAAGGCGCGAACGTCATGCATCACTGCAACGAGGTCCTCAACATCTCCGCCAAGCTTAGCGGCATCGGTGCGAAGATGGAAGACGAAGACGTTGCAATTTGTCTGCTACTCAGTCTTCCGAAGAGCTACGAAAATGTGGTGCTCAACATGGAAATGAGCAGCACCGAGCTTCGCACTCAAGATGTGGTGAGAGTCCTGACGAATAAGCATGCCAAGCGTCAAGGAGAAAAAGGGACAACGACAGCGACTACGGTGAAGGCTGAAGATGCAAGCAAGGCATTCAGCGCCGAGCGTGAGTGTTGCATTGTAGATCGGAGCGAGGAAAGCGGAGCAAACGGAGCGGAGAGACCGAAGAGAGTAGAGCAGAAAACACTTGCCCAATAGTTGGAAGATTCGAAAGTGATTGATTATCGGGGCTTACTACTTACTACATGATTTATATGTGGTGTACATATAAATCATGTGAAGCGTCTCATCATCCTACGCGTCTAATCAACTATGGTAATTACCGTAAGAACTACGTCGTAAATACTAAGCTGAACAGGCGGTTCGGATTGGATCGGTCACGGTTACCAATACTGGTAGAAAACCGATGACCGTCAACACGCCCCCTCAATCCGAATGCTCACGAATCCCGAGAGTCGCCGTCATCTCCTTGTGGCGTGGCCCGTGAAGTCCCTTCGTCATGATGTCCGCTAACATCACCGCAGTTTCACAGTACTTGAGCTTCACTTCACCGCGCTTGACCTCATCACGGATGTGATGGTACTTGATATCAATGTGCTTGGCACGGCCGTGGTTGACTGGGTTCTTCGTCATCTTGATACACGACTGATTGTCTTCATGGATCATGAGTTCCGGTCCTTCTTCATTGGCAGCCATCACGATCTCACAAAGCAGACGATGAATCCACTTGCCCTCTTGAATCGCCAAGCTGAGTGCGATGTATTCGGCTTCACTCGTGGACAACGAAACACTTGGCTGCTTCTTGCTGCCCCAACTGACTGGCGCACCGAGTAGCATGAACGTGTACCCCGATGTTGACTTGCGATCGGTAAGATCACCAGCCCAATCCGCATCCGAATATCCACGGAAGTCGATCCTTGCACTTGGCTTGTAGCAAATTCCATGCGTCTTGGTGCCTTGTAGGTAGCGAAAGATACGCTTAACTGCAACCCAGTGTTCTTCTTGGGGATTTTCCATGAACCGCGACACATAGCCCACAGCAAACGCAATGTCCGGACGCGTTGCAGTGGTCAGGTGCATCAACGCACCAACAGCTTCGCGAAAAGGAGCATCGACCTTGGTAGTTGCATCACTTGAAACAAGTCGAGAGCTCATGTCGACTGGACTTGCGACTGCCTTGCAATCATCCATGCCAAAGCGCTTGAGGATATCATCGACATACCGACGCTGACATAGTGTCACACTGCCATCTTCACCGTCCAAAAGCTCGATCCCAAGAACAAACGCACACTTGCCGCTGTCCGTCATTTCGAACCGCGTCTTCAGGTCGTTCTTGGTTTGTGCAATCAGCTCGAGTGAGCTTCCAGTCACCAAGACGTCGTCCACGTAGACCAGTATAAACACGCAATGGCCGTCCGAAGTCTTGATGTAGAGACATGGGTCGAAGTCCGATACTTGAAATCCGATGGAGCACACATACTCGTCGAACGTCTCGTTCCACACTCGCGACGCTTGCTTGAGGCCGTAAATTGACTTCACCAATTCCAGGCAGTCGAACGTACTGTCAAGTTCGACGCCTTCAGGAATCACGCAGAACACTTGTTCCTTCATGACGCCATACAGGAAAGCTGTCACCACATCAAGCTGGTCGACGGGCCATCCAAAATGCTTGGAAATTGCGATCACCATTCGCAGCGTCACATACTTGACCACAGGCGAAAACGTCTCCGTGTAGTCGATGCCATACTTTTGGCGGAAACCCTTGGCCACAAGTCGTGCCTTGTACTTCTCGATTGACCCATCCGCCTTGCGCTTGATCTTGAACACCCATTTTGTTGAAAAGACAGCGGCTGTGAAGAAGAAACCTCGTCAAGCTGCGTCAAGTGTTGAAGCAAGTGGAAGACCAAGCTTCGCTATACCGGTGGGTACCGGTATGTACCAGTAAGGGCGAAGTCAGGAAATGACGTCACTGGATGACGTCATTGCATGACGTCAGTGGGTGACGTCAGTGGGTGACGTCACTGGATGACGTCACTGCGAATAATAGGCTTAGAGGTAGTATTCAAAGTTGCGAACTAAGTACCTATTATAAATATATATTCACTTTGCGTTATGCACTCGGACCAAGAAGTCTAAAGTTCATCAAGACGTTCGACGAGTATGTGTGCTCCATCGGATTTCAAGTATCGTGTTGAAAAGACAGCGGCTGTGAAGAAGACACCTCGTCAAGCTGCGTCAAGTGTTGAAGCAAGTGGAAGACCAAGCTTCGCTATACCGGTGGGTACCGGTATGTACCAGTAAGGGCGAAGTCAGGAAATGACGTCAGTGGGTGACGTCAGTGGGTGACGTCACTGGATGACGTCACTGCGAATAATAGGCTTAGAGGTAGTATTCAAAGTTGCGAACTAAGTACCTATTATAAATATATATTTACTTTGCGTTTTGCACTCGGACCAAGAAGTCTAAAGTTCATCAGGTTATGAGCCCAAGTTCGTCAGACTCTGAAACCGCCAACAATTCAAGCTTAGCTGCCATGGACGCCTCCTCCCTCCGCATCTCCAAGTTCGATGGAACTAACTTCCACGCCTGGAAGTTCAAGATGCAGATGGTGCTGGAGGAACGGGACCTATGGGAGGTCGTCAGCGGTGAGATCAAGGCGGAACAGTGCGAGACTCAGTTGGACCAAGCGACGTACAAGAGGAAGTCAAGAAAGGCGATGGCAGTGATCTGTCTAGCCATGGAAGATTCCCAGCTACCGTTGGTCCGGTCGGCAAGTGGTGCATGCGACGCATGGTCAAGGTTGGAAGACCACTTCGAGAAGAAGATTCTTGCCAACAAGCTGTTCTTGCGCCGTCGCTTCTTCACGACAATGATGGAAGAAGGCGACGATGTGCTCGAACACATCAACAAGCTCAAGACGCTGGCGGAACAGCTAGAAGCGGTGGGGGCTCCAGTCTGCGAGGACGATCTGGTGATCACACTTCTCGGCAGCCTGAGTGACTCGTATCAATTCTTGATCACAGCTTTGGAGTCGCGCTCAGACACTCTTAGCTGGGAGCTCGTGACGTCTCGACTGCTTCATGAAGAAATGAAGCGGAAGGAGCAAGGAAGTAAAGGTGATGAAGCTTCGCAAGGTCAAGCGTTCATCACAAGGGACAATCAGCGCAAAGGGCGACCAGTGAAGAAGTCCTGGCCGTGCCACAATTGCGGAAAGATTGGTCACTGGATGGCGGAGTGCCCCTCGCGCATCCAAGAAAACACGGAGGGACACCGGCCACAGCGTGCTCAAGACAGCGGCGACCGCTATCGATCACAACGTGCAAACGTCGCTCAAGAAGAAGACTCGGGCGACTACCTCTTTTCGATCGGTGAAACGACATCTGCGAAATCGAGCGACATCTGGCTGGTCGACTCCGGGGCGACGCAGCACATGACGTGCTCCAAGAAGTTCATGCGGAACTACAAGGGGTTTGACGCTGTGGATGTCCATCTCGCGGATGATGGAATCGTCCAAGCAATCGGCAGTGGGGACATTGTCATGTCGATGAAGACACCCCAAGGGATGAAGAAAGGTGTGCTCACAAACGTGTGGCACATCCCAAAGTTATCCAGAAACCTGTTCTCGGTCGGCCGCTTCACCAAGGATGTCGGCCCAGTGACGTTCACGAAGGATGGGTGCTATGGAGAAGCGAAAGGGACCAAGTGGAAAATTGGTGCCCGTGAAGGTAAAGGACTGTTCAAGCTGCAAATGACTCCAGTGGCGCCGGAACAAGCAAATGCAGCCAAGTCGTCGGGATGTCAAGGGGGCACCAAGTCGTACCTCTGGCACCTTCGGCTTGGCCACATAGGTCACGATGGACTCAATTGCATCGTGACGAAGAACATTGGAATTGGCATCGACATATCTTCGGTGAAGAAGTGGGACGTGTGTGAAGGTTGTGCTCTGGGAAAACAGACTCGAGTGCGCTTCCAATCAAACACTACAGCTCGCACCTCCAAACTCCTCGAAGTGATTCACAGCGACGTATGCGGACCGATGTCGATGGCAACTTTCAGTGGAAAACGGTACTTCGTGACATTCATTGATGACAAGTCAAGATACTGTGTCGTCTATCTGCTCAAGAGCAAATCTGAAGTTGCGGCGAAGTTCATGGAATACGCTGCGATGGCCGAAACGCAAACCGGAAAGCGCGTGAAGTACCTTCAAAGCGACAATGGGGGTGAATACAAGTCCGACAAGCTGGCACGATTCTGCGCGGAACGGGGAATACAACAAAGGTTCACACCCCCATATACTCCTCAGCTAAACGGAGTAGCTGAGAGAATGAATCGCACGCTGGTCGAGTGTGCGCGTTGCATGATGGAACACGCTGGACTGGGAAAGAGCTACTGGGGTGAAGCAGTGATGACGGCGATGTTTCTTCGAAACCGCTGTCCAACACGTGCCATTCACCAAGACAAGTCTCCATATCAAGTGTGGACGATGAAGAAACCGATTCTGGCCAACCTTAAAGTGTTTGGATGCCACGCGTATGTTCAAGTGCCTCAAGACAAACGCGCGAAGTTCGACTCCAAGTCATCACTCTGTCGTTTCCTGGGATACGCCGAACACCAGAAGTCATATCGATTTGAGGAAGTGTCAACAGGAGCGATCAAGATCAGTCGCGATGCCACATTCATGGAAGACAAGTTTGATGAAGGTCCGCGCAACTACAACGATGAGTCAAGTGTCGTTGAGTTTGATGATCATGATGAGGACGAAGAAAAAGAAGAAGGTAAAACTGACGACGACATGGACTCGAGCGACGATGACAACGAAGACACCAGGTCTTCGAAGAGCAACATCAAGAGACACACGCGCACTCAATCACTTGAGAAAGCTACCGTCATTCCAAGTCCCAAGCGAAGAACATACAGAGGTCCGTCGCTTGAGCATGTGTCAGTGGCTGCAATGGATTTTGAAGCAGCCTACATCGTTGATTCAGTGGGGAAACGCCGACTACATTCAAGTCGGCGATGGAATCAAGCGACTCCGAGTCACACGCTTCTTTCCACTTGCCGGAGTTCGACTCGCTTCAGAGAAACGACACGTGGGAAATCGTGCCTCTTCCGAAAGGTCGCAAGGCCATCGGGTGCCGATGGGTTTTTCGTGTAAAGGAGAATCAAGATGGCGAAGTTGAACGTTTCAAGGCAAGACT